TACTATAATCGTTCCTTTACCCCCTAGGTTAAGAGGTATATTATTGCGTTCGTCTTAAGGAGACGAGTCGATTAATATAGGTATCGCATCTTTAAGCTATCTCCCTAACGAGATATAGGAGGGGTTACTAGCTATAGTGTCTATTACGGGCGTAGGAGGCATAGAGCTTAGTAACTCCGTGTTAAATATAGTATTAAGTAGAAGGGGTAACGTTAAAATCTCTATCCCTAGGCCTACTATTTCCGGAGGGGAAAGATATATATATCTATATAATCCCTATAAGGGCGTCTTTAATCCCTAATCTTCCGGAGTATATAGGGGCAATAGGTCCCGTAGGAGGGTAATTGCTTCTTCCGGCGTCTAACCGTTATCCGTATTATCGTCGGATAAACTTAGTACCCTAAAGGTTTCGGGTTCCCCGCTATCTATAACGTCGGTTACGGCTATATCTCTAAGGATATCGTAGCTATATATTTAGACTAGCTAGGCTTACTCTTCTCTTTTTATATCGTAGCTTATAGACTCGTTAAACTATATATTAGCTAATACTATTAGTTTATTCTATCTAATTAACGGTATCTATACGATGTATTATTAAGTAGACCTATAGCCTACTAGGTAGCCGATATAAGCTCTCTGCTTAAGGGGTGATTGCGTCTTATATAACTTAATATATTCTAATGCCGTAATTATTATTAGGAACGCTATATAGCTAAAGACCCTTAAATGTATAATGTCTAGTTTAATATCTTTAATATAGTAATATAGTAGATTATTTTCTTTTATCTAGGTCTACTAACGCTCGTATAGGCTCTGCTAGCTATAATTATATAATTCGAAGGGTGTTATATTAAGCAGGTATACCGCTATACGGTATATCTCTAGCCATAGCTCTTCTAGAAGCTTTAAGTTAAGCCTTATAACCCTTGCTTTTTCCTTTACTATTGCCCCTAATCTCTCTACGTGACCGTTTTACGTAGGCGTTAAAGGGGCTAACTATATAACTCGTATCCCTCTATTAGTTATATAATCTATTTATTCTATTGTTAAAAGAGCCCTTTCCCCGTTAGTAACTAATATAGTTATTTTAACTCTATACTAGGTCTTAAGTAACGCTACGAAGTTATTAAAGATATCCTTAATACCCGTTTTTCTTTCTATTAGGTAATAGAACCTTATAGATATATCTATATAGGTAAATAGGGCGAAGTTCTTTTCCCCGTTATATGCTATTATAGGGCTAGGGTAAAGGTCGAAGCTAACTTATACCCCCGGACCTTTAGGCCTTAGGGATAGTGTTTTTCTCGAGACTTCCCTCTTAGCTTTCCCTATTGCGCATATCTAATAGCTATATATTATAGGGCCTTAAAGCTTAGTGCCTAGGCAGGCTTCTAATAGCTTCTCTAGTGATTTTAGACTAGGATGCCTAAGGCGGCGATGCTATAGGTCACCCACCCCCCTAGTTAGCGGCTTAGGCGCTTATATAACTGCGAATACCCGCTTATACTATAGGAGTATTCCTATTACGAATTAACCTTCGAAGTCGGTTAGTTTAATACGAACCTCCTTCGTAGGTTCCGAATAGAGGTATCCTAGGAGCTGGTTCTAGAATATCCCTGCTATTATCCCTAGCCTAGCTAAGAAGACACTTATCGGCATTTCTAGGATAAAGTAGGCATCTAGCAGGGTTATCTTTCTACCGTTAATTATAGGGATAACTGCTATTCCTATTCCTTGTACCCTAAAGGCTTGGTCTCTAACCTAGACTTCGTCGTTAGAACCCTATTTAAAGGTTCCTTCCTAGAACCAACCTAGGTTATTAAAGAGGTTAATATCGGCCCCTAAGTCGTATATTAATTTATCGGCAAGTAACGACGTTCCCTTAATAGCCGTGTTTACCCTAGACAGAGTAACCGTGTTAATAGTCTTTCCTAGCCCGTTATTGCTAATAATAGTATCTGCTAGTTCTCTTCCTTTAGGGTGGGAATTAGGGGTCTAGGCTATGCATTTTACTTTCTCGTCTAGATGGTCCTTTAGCCGTTTTTCGATATTCTATTTAGCTAGATCACTGCATTTCTAGCCTATCGGGGGCTTCTTATTATATATCACCCGTAGTAAGTAGTAATTTTCCTACTAGCTTGTTAAGCTATTAACGTGCTACTTATAGCCAGCGCATTTAGCTTAGGTGTCTGATTTCCTAGAGATTTAATTAGCGCTTCCCCTTTTTACGGGTAGTTGCGACTTCTTCCTATAGGTATATTCTTATTTAAAGTTAGCGATTAGGTTCCTTAGGGGAAGTTAATCTTTGCCGTATCTTTCGTTATAGAGGTCGAGAGCCCTTATTATTATAGACTAATATAGGTCCCACTCGTCTGCCGCTATAAGAAAGTCCTATCTAATTCTCACATCGTTAAGTGTATCGACCTTAAGGTCTCGTAAATCTATAATAATTTAGTCGAGCTATTCTGCCTATGCTTTCTAGTCTCGCGTGCCTCTTTTATTAATAGAGGTCGTGTATCTCTCGTAAATTAGCTTTTTCTCCTCTGCCCCTAAAGGCAGGGCTTGCTTCTTTAATTCCCTGATTTTCTCTCTTAGGCTATTATGCATTAGGGTTATCCCCTAAAGCCCTTTACTAATCGTTTTCTTAATTAATTCTTTGAGTGCGATTAGGGCTTTCTGCTAGACCTTATAGCGATCGAATTATAGCTAGAACCTTTTCTCGAGGTTGCGAAAGGAGTCCTTTGCATCCTAGTATCGTTCGTTATAGCCTGTTCGCCTCGCTAGGAACGCAGCCTCGGTTTCATCTTCTCGTTGGGATGGTCTCCCTCTAAGGTTAACAATAAATTGCTCCCAGTCCGGCTATTAGGGCTATTTAAGCTCCTTTATGCCGTCTAGGTCAGCATATTCCTAAATCTCGTAAGTCTAGGCCCACGATTTAATCCCCCTAATCTATAGGGTCTAATCGAGGCTTTCCTTTAGTCTCACGATATAATTATCCCCTCTTGCTTCCTTTAACGTTATCTTAGGAAAATAAGGGGTTCTAGCTTAATAAGTGATATCCTTCTTTAAGGGATGCGTAATTCGTGCAATTCGTGTGTTTCTAGTAGTGCCCCTTAGTGTGGCTAGGTTCCTTGCCTTAATACTATAATTTGAGCGTTATAACGGCGTTAATAGCTCGTAAATAGCTTTAAAGGTAATATCGGCGGGCAAAAGATGGTCTAGCCGTGTAGGCCGGGCTCATAACTCTTAAGCAGTGGCTTAAGAGTATAGTGGAAGAAATAGGGGCATAGAAAGGTGAATTTAGTGATGCATGTCTTAGTCTATCTATTGGGACAAGGGAGGGGCTTATATAGGTATAGTGACCACATATAGCTAGCTAAAAGAGGGCAATAGGATGTTCCTATACCTAAGTCAAGCCTACATAGTGTCCTTGGGCTAGGGGAGTTATGTTGTTCAGGCAGGCTTCCTTGTGCATGACTATTGGGTCCACTGAGCATGACTGTGGCTACTTATGCCCACTCTCTCTCCTCAACACCCTTTTTATACGTGCACACCCTCTTTAAAGGAGGCTTTTATTTAAACTAGCCTCCCCTCTCAACTACCCCGAGCATGGCTATTACCCCTGTTTGGCCCGGCTACCTGGTTCTTCTGAAACTTTTTTCTCCCAAGTTCCAAGTCGAATTGTTATACGAAGGCTGATGTCAAAAGAAATCATACACGTAGAGGTAACTTGGTGCACTTCTTACCGTATTAGGTTTTCGGAGACCATAATCGATGTCTTGTAAGTTTCTACTGCTATAAGTTCAACCTGTCTAGACGTAAAAGAGCATATAGGCCCTGCAGAGGCCTATGCCTACAACTTTTTTTCTTCTAGAAAATACTCTCTTCTTGTAAGTTGTGAATAACAGAAGTAAATACAAAGCGATCGTTTAAGTATACCGTGCGTGGCAGCTCCTATATGGTAGCAGAGAAAACTAGGAACCCATGCGCGTATGATTTCTTTTGGTATCAGCCTTCGTGGTTTCTTGGCAGATCCCATAAATTCTCTACTTGCACTTACGGCCCATTTTGAAGATGCGCACCAACGCCTGACGAAACTGCAGGCGCGCCACCCCTACCGCGTCCTCCTCTTGATCCCCTTCCTTCTGTGTTTTCTTGGGTCGACGATCTCTGTTATGACTCTGCGAGAGACGTCGGGCTGCAGCAGGTTTATGGATCTTATTGTGCAAGGAAGTGTCTTTAAACGCTTGCGTTGAGCCGCCTTAGGCTAGCCTAAGGAGTCCGGCGAGTAAGGCAGTCAGTCCACTAACAGCATACCATCCAAGTTGAGCCTATGTGGCCAATGTGATTTGGGCCGTTATCTTGAGCGAGTTTAAAACCTGGCCCTTCTATTGGAGTTGAGCTGTTTCTGGTATTCAAGTCAGCTCGCTCGGGCAAAACACCGCTATTAGTCGAGGCTTACGAATGCCAGACGGAAGACTATAACATGAAGTTTAACTTATTGCGCGGGCTTAGTGATCGTAGTGAACACCACCACCTTCTGATAGTGCCAGCTCGGGAGCTGTAAATGCTTGTAGAGTGACGCGCGGCAACGATAGGAATCGCTATAGAGCATGCCTCATTGCGCTTGTGAGCATACTGCTGGCAGAATATTTATGCCGGACAACAGGAATGTTTTCAAGATCTGGGCTTTCTTTCATTCACGTCTTGGTGTTCTGGAAGAGAGGGAAGAATTGGAAAGCCAGGGTTGTTTGTATATCATAGAATAAGTTATGGCCACTCCCCTCCAAGTATGTTGCCCTTCATATTGAACCAACGCTCTGGTTTTACCAACTCGCAGCGAGCCGCTTTTGGAAGGCATTCCTGCAGCTTGAAGCCCCGGTTATCGTCCCAAGCTCGCCTTGCATTGTCCAGAGCTCCTTGACCACACCGTATCATCACAATTTCGTCGCCGGACCTGGGAAATGGAAGCGGAACAAGAGGAAGCGACAGTGTACAAGATGACTGCCTCCAGATCCCCGACATTAAACGCCGCCGGAGACTTCCCAGACGTGCTTAGGAAGGGGAAAGAGAATGGTAGTCTTGCAAAGGATAGCACATGCAGCGAAAGCGACCAGACAGACCAGAAAGTTGCTGCAGATGAGTATCCGCACGGGATACGGCTAGTCCTCCTTGCGGGGGCGTCTACCATGGGCATCTTCCTGATAGCTCTGGACCAGGTGAGAAGCCATTTTCAATGGCACTACATGTAGTCATGTAGCACATTCTCCCAGTTCCATCTCTAACACAACTGCAGACCATCGTCGGGACAGCGATACCCAAGATCACGAGCGAATTCCATGGCATTAATGACGTCTCTTGGTACGGCGCGGCGTACTTCATGACCTTTGGCGGTCTCGAGGCTGCTTAGGGTAAAGCCTACAAGCACTTTAACCTCAAGCTAGGCTTCCTCGTTGCGATCTTTATCTTCGAGCTCGGCAGCTTGATTTGCGGTGCGGCTCCAAACTCCAAGGCCTTGATCCTTGGCCGCACCATCGCTGGTGTTGGCAGCGCTGGTATGTTAGTAGGGTGCACTAGCATAGTCGTTTTCAGCACCGAGCCAAAGACGCGGCCGGTATTGATGGGATTCATCGGGCTAATGTACGGCCTTGCTGCCGTTCTTGGACCCATGCTCGGCGGCGTCTTTACGGATAAAGTCAGTTGGCGATGGTGTTTCTACGTCAATTTGCCAATCGGGGGTCTCGTCGCTGTCGTTGTGCTTATTCTTTTCCACCCTCCGAGTGCTGCCAAGCCCCCCGAAGTCAGTCTGAAGAACAAGCTGTTACATTTGGATCCGGTTGGCATCGCTCTGGCTATGGTGGCTATTGTCTGCTTCATCCTCGGCCTTCAGTATGCAGGAACCGCCCATCCGTGGAGCAGCAGTCTGGTGATCGGTCTGCTCGTCGGGTTTGGCGCTATCTCAGCTGCCCTAGTCACTTGGGAGATATTTCTAGGCGAGTATGCCATGCTATTGCCGCGATTGCTTAGAAGACGGACACTTTGGAGTGTGGCCCCTTATCAGTTCTGCTTCCTCGGCACGCTTTTTCTTCTTCTTTACTACCTCCCCATCTATTTCCAAAGCATTCGGGGCGCGAACCCCCTCGAGTCCGGCGTCAATAACCTACCCATAGTGGTGTCGGTGGCTCTATTTTCTATTATTGGCGGCTCTGTCGTCTCTAAGACTGGTCAAGCGACAATAACCATGTTTGTTGGCGCAGCCATTGCCTCAGTTGCGACTAGCCTAGTGTATACTCTCGACGTCGACTCGGCGACTGGAAAGTGGATTGGCTATCAGATTCTCGCCGGATCTGCCATCGCTTTTTCGGCGCAGAATGGCCTAAATATCGCACAAGCCAACGTGAGCCCTGAAGATGTCACGGCCGTCACGGCCAACCTTTACTGTACGTGTCTTCTCTTGACGTTTTCGTCACGAGTTAGAGCTAACGGAGATTTGCAGTCTTCCAGATGGTTGGATCTGCATTCAGCACCTCGGCGGGATAGGCGGCCTTCGTCAACAGACTGCTCGCCAACTTGCCCATCACGGCCCCTGGCGTGGATCCAGCCCCGGTTATGGCGACGGGCGCCACTGGTCTCCGAACTGTATTCACATCGGATGAGCTTCCTGGTATCCTGCTTGCGTATATGCAAGGCATTAAAGCCGCCTTTGCAGTTGCAATTGGCCTATGCGTCATTGGGTTTTTAGACACCTTGATCATTCCCTGGAGCAGACTCCCTGCTTATGTGGGAGACAAATCTGACGGCGACCGCAAAGATGATGCCGCTGCTTCAGAGTGATGGATGGGCAAGTTGGCCACCGCCTCGCCAACCATTGGCGCTTTCGGCCCTGATCCACAACGTCGGGCAGGTGGTCGGTGGTCTGGCGCTATTTCACGCCCAATCAGGCAGTGAAGATATGCCCTTTTAACCAGGGAGCTTTCAATGCTTCCTGGATATACATGCTCATAGACACGGGTGAGGTCATCACGGAAATCTGGCAACGCAGGGCCCGGGTCCCTCAAGGAAACGCAGTCGGCGTAGATTGATGGACCTCCAATTCAGAGTTACGAAGCCGGCGGTAAGTCAAATAAAGTCTAAGACGAAAGAGTGTCGCACCCTACTGCTCCTCACACACCAGCACAGAACGGCCCTACTGAGCGTTCTGGGGGGGTAATAGGCACAAAGGCTAGGAACATGCACGTCGAGGCGAATCTCGATGATGATATGCGGCCTGAGACCTGGACCGCCGCCACCCAGCTGTACTACCAGTCGCCTCAACTTCGCGAGAACCAGAAGACTCGTTTCCAAAGGCTACACGAGCGGCTTAGGGACAGCAACCGAGACACTGGCTTCTCAGCGAATCCTTTACCCGACATCACTCACCTGAATGCATATGGCTGCAAAGCCTATCCTTGCACTACTACTGCGCTTCAGGGTACCCAGAAGAGAGACCTTAAGACGCAACCATGTGCTGAGATGAGTTATCTCCTGGGATATAATTCCCATTGTATTTACAGTCCTTGGATCCTATGACGTTTGGGAGTCCGCCGAGTCCGTGATGTCACTTTGGATGAATTACCAGCAGAGTCTCTTGCTTCCCTGCTGTTCAGATGACATGAACGTCTTGAGATACAATAACCACACACACACACACACACACACACACACACACACACATATATATATATATATATAAACTATCTAGTTGCCTTTGCCTGTATGCCGTGCGTGCTTTAGGTGTATGCCCTCGTCCCCGTTAGTAGTTACAGTAATATCGGCGCCGCTATTTATACCGTATTGACTTTTTGAGTCACGTGTATCATGTCGTTTAGGCAAGGCAATAGTGTCGCAGGTGACTGTAATAACCAACAGATAGCAACAACAACAACAACAACAACAACTCGTGACCGCTCGCGCGCCATGATGTCGGCCTCTCTCATGCGCTCGGCAACGGCCACGGCCGCTCTTCTGCTCCTCGTCCCCGTCGCCGTGTCCGCCGTCCGTCTGAACCGAGCCGTCCGCTCCAAGACGACGTCGCATGCGGGGGTCCGCCCGTCCCATGAGACGTCCCATGAGGCGTCTGAGGAGCCGCCGACGACGACGGCGCTCCTGCTGCAATCCCCAAAGGATCCCGCGAGCCTCCCCGCACACGTTAAGTCGCCGCAGTGGGTCGTCGCCTACGAGCGCGTTGTCTCCAGCCCCGTCCCGATCTCGTCCCTCGCCGACCCCTCCTCGTCCTCCACCTCTAGCCATGCCCAGTCCAGTCCGTCGGCCCTGTTGCGACGATATATGCGCGCAACACACATCGCCTTTGCTTGGACGCCCCAGGCCTGGCTGATCCGTGCCCTTGTCGGCGACGCCCACGCTCGGCGGAGCTTTGACACCGACTGGATAGACGCACTAGCCTTTGCGCCTGGTGACCTCGTTAATGGCGTCTACAAGGTTGCCTGTCATGAGAGGGAGGGGCCGGGCTTCGCTCTGCCGGAGCGGGCAGAGCTGCTTATACAAGCCCCCGCAACCTACAGGGGGCCAAGCGTCTGCGGCTTGCTCCTTGCCGCTATCGAGCCGGCCCTCTCTGCCAGTGCAGACACGGCGGCAGGCAAAGGCCATGAGCCGAGCGTCGTCTTCGTCAACGAGACGTGGATGTGGAGGCGAGCCGGTGAGAAACCCGTGCTCCTGGAGACCCCGCTGGGCAAATGGTTCCATGGGCTGTTGGCCCGATGGCTTGTCTTCAAGGGGCTCGACGCGGTAGTCGTGGCGCCTTGAAGGGTGGCAGACCGAGGCCTCGTTGGCCATCGCCCAGCATGTCCGTCGCCATGTGCCGAATTCAATTTCGAAAATACATATCTTTCTCCCGTCTTGAGTCTTTTCTCTTATCCTAAGACTTTGGTCATCACATGCCGCCGAGTGTCCCAAAACCAACCCGTGGTCACAGATACAAGGCATTGGATGCCGGTGCCAGAACTCCCTCACAGCAGACAGGGACAAGACGTTCGACTCATTGTCGACACATCCGTGGTGGGCATCTTGGCTGGCCAGGTCAGCCTCGAGGTTGTTTTAGACGCCTTGCGCCCGCCGCTGCAGCCTCCGGTATTACCTCGTTGCGACGCCACGCGTCCCGGTGTTGACCGTATGCGTGTCAAGGAGCCCCATTCGCAGCCGGCCAGGTCCGGTGGCTTCAAACAGCAACTCCACCGCCTAGGCTCCCTCTGACGGGATGATCCAGCGAGACATCTCTCCATTAAAGTGCAAGGTTCAGAAATGATGCACTGGGGCTTCTTCCCCCCTGAGTACGTACACGTTGCGATATACACTGGGCCACCGACGCCTTCTGTGGAGGCAGGATTGGAGGGGACGACGCGAACATACTCCCAGGCTGATGGTCCAAGGCTGTCATCCACATCGGCTAATGATTCATGGCCTGCACGCCAAGCGGACTGGAGAGTTACTACTGAGGCAAACTGCAGGGTTATATTTCAAATCGCCCGAGTCACCGGCTCGCCAGGACCTGTGGGCTGCGCGGTGTCGATCTCGGAATGGCTTTCTTGGAGATGAGGCGACGCTAGACCCTTGTCTTTTCACATCGTCTGTCGGACTCGCCCTCTGTAGATGCGCGAGGCAAAGAAGCCGAAAGTTGGGAGGAAACAACCGGGTGCGTCCGCGCTTACATTGCCTTTGCTTATTTTTGGTAGTGGGAGAACAAGGGTGAAACGGAGATTCTGAGTTGACCTCGGGCAACATCAAACATTCAGAGTGTCGGTAAACAAGTCAACCGTCCCGAGTCAGCAGTTGCTTATCATCCTTGGGCGATGGGACAGCGTCGGATCGGCGTGTGCAGCTTGGAGGTGGGTTCGGAGGAACGATTGCGAACCGTCTCACGGTCTGAAGGCCTGTCAAGGGAAGAAGGGGACGCGTCCAAGTCTCCCACCCCCATGGATGAGTCGGCTGTGGCGCTGGCAGGCAGGCCGTTATCTTTGCACATGCACGCGTCATGGGGCAGTCGAGGAAGATGACCAAGACGTTGCGCGGCCAAGTCTTGGCACAGGGATGGAGTCCATGCGAGTCGAGGACAAGGTTGGCGATCGCTCGAAGGGATGCTGATAAGGCTCATCCACATATGCCTGCGGATGTCTACAAAGGGCGCACAAGTTTCCACGGCAAGGACCCAGGGGGCCACTTGGTTCGCCCAATGAGGGCGGCTAATGCAAGGAACCGGGCTGCGCTCAGCTACGCGCTGTGGGTAGACTGTGGGCGGATGGAACGGGACGGGGATTGTGGTCGGTCCGGGCTGGTTTGGTCCACAACTGAGAACTCCATATTGACCGGCAGCGGTGGTTTTGACCATCGCGTTGGTATCTGTAGAAAAGAAGAGAAAAGAAGACGTGAAGAAATAATACCTCGTAGCTACTGTACTGTACTGCTGGCCGCGTCGTCTCGGTGGGCCCAAGATAGCCGCCGGGACAGGGGTGGGCATGTCGGAGGAGAGACGGGGCCGGACCGGGGCCTGGCCGGCTGTTTTTCGGGGCGCCGCTCTGCCGCCTCGGAGGTATGAGCGGGCCGGAGGGTCTCAACCTTAATCTCGCAGACGAATTATGCAGGGGAGGGTATTTGTAGTATATGCAACAGTATATGCAACGGCTTACGTGTTCATAAAGTAAATTTACCTCAACTTTATGGAGCGCTGTATTTATACTTATTTATGCATTATGGGTTTATGCATCGAGTATCCGTATGGAGCGTCAGTTGGCTGCTACAGATTGGGTCCCAATGGCAGTCGATTCTATTGCATGAGATGGCCGAGGCGGAGATGGAAATGGAGACTGGGCTGCGTAAAACATGACGAGGCAACAAGAGGGACCAGTTGTTCTTGTTTCAAGTGTCCGTAAAGTTGTACATGTCACTGAGAGGCGGATTCGCATTCCTGGCATCAAAGAGCCCTGTTTGGCACCGTTACAGTAGGAAAGAGGTGCCAGAAAGGTGCCAATAACATGATCCAGAGGCTGGGCAGACACGGGACAAATGGTGTCTCTCCAGGGCTATTTCTCAGGTCTAGCACAGAACCGGCAAGTGGCGGGAAAAAGCCACGCTTGCACCACTCCCAAGCCCGGCCGGGAGTGCTCTCGGCATTGAGGCCGCACAGGCAGGGGGTGGCAAGTCAAGACGGCTCCCCGTGGGCGGATTTCACCGGTTCCCATCCTCCATCCGAGGGTGTATGATGGTGACAAGCAGCTTCTCTCTGGTGGCCATGGTGGAGGGGGAACAGGGACCCTGGTTTTGCAAAACTTGAATTTATAAAAGCAACGAGGCAATTGAGAGTCCTGTAAAGAAGAGCGGCCAAGGGAGGAGGAGAGAAAAAGGAATTCCCTCGAGTGTGCGAGGGCTTGGCGCTTGCAGGGTGACCCTTGATGCTGGACGACGGCCGAACCCGCCGGAAGCCAGGGAGCGCCACCACTGATGGAGGCTGCCGGAGCGATCGCTGTCGTGCTAGCGTGGCAGTACCTGCAGCAGGGGCAAAGGCCTGAGCCGTGTCTCTTGGCCTCGTTCACTCCGTCGTGGCCGTCCGTGTTGATGGAGCCGGTCCCGCTGTTGGCTGTGGCGGATGAAATACAGTATATACATACATGGCAAGACACAAAATTGCGGCTTTCGATGGCGGGCAGGCCAAGAAGGGAGAGAAGAAAGAAGCCTCTGTCGACGAGAGAGATGAGCCAAGAAAGGGGGGGGGGGCATCTGTTCATCGTCATCCCTGGCGGAGGCGATGGGACATGCAGATTAATTACACGGCATGCAGAAAAACACGGTGAATTGCCCTTTTCCTTCATCCGAACCAGCTCGCTTGAGAGTAGCACAAAGGCCCAAGCAGCGAAGCAGCAGGTCAAGATCAAACAGGTTTCTCCTTCAGTTTGAGGACTGACTCGGCCCCCGGGTGCCCGTCACAGAAATGCGGGTCGCGGAGGGGGGCGGCCGCGGAGAAGGAAACATGTAAAAAGGCTACGGGCTTGGGCCATTGAATAATTAAATGGCTCGCACATTGGTAGAAGGGGAAAGAGATTTGAACAAGTGACGATGGAAGCAAGAGGGAAACCACCAAGACCAAAGACACACGTCATCACCACAGAAGCGGCAGCTGAAAAGGAAATCAAGTGCGTAGACGCCGTTTCGAATACCCGCTGTAACAGAGCTACTTCCTTGTTTCTCCTCCTAAAATAATCACGGGCGCTGCTGGTACACACGGCAGAGTCGACTCGCTGTAGGGACGAAACGCCGCCGCGACTCGAGGCCGCGCTGTAGCTTTCCAGCGGACGGTCCAGTGTGCCTTGGCCCCCCTACCCGCGGCCTCTTGGCAAGGGCCCGCACCGCCTCCCCTGGAGACACCGCGATCTGCGCCTGTACCTCCAAACCTGGAATGCAATCGTTTATGCTCCGGACAAGCCACCGACTGGAGTGGGCTGCAACTCCCGAGGAGGGACGACCAGGCGGCAGCCGAAAAAAAGCCCATCTCTGACGAAAGCAATCTACTGCCATTGGACCGGACACTACAGGTAGTTGAAAACAACGAACAAAAACAGAGAGAGCGAGAGACGGGAGGGAGAACAAGACGGGCCGTCCATGTCCGGCCGGCGTGGCTGCCTGGAGGCTTGGCGTCCCGGCCCCCGCCACGGCGCCGACGGACGACACGCCCGCCCCGCTATTCCGGCCAGGGACGTCCCGGCTCTCTCCCTTTCCCTACCTCTCTCCCGCATACGGAGCGCTCTTTTTATCTCTTCTTCTCCCTCGCTTTCTGTCATGAGCCCAGAACGCGTCTACCGAGACACAGCTGCTGGCTTACACGTTTTACATCTCTTTTTCCTCTCCAATGCCCTTGACCCCTTGATGTAGCTGTGGTTTGAAGTTGAGAGGCACCGTCGTGTATATACGACTGTATCAACAGGCTTGGGCCTTCTCGCCGTGACGGAACGCGGGAAAAACAAGAAAAACCGAGCGCAATGGCATGCATGCATGGCAGGCCAGGCCAGCAGCAGCCTTGACACGAGACGGGGGCCACCCCCATCTCTTATCTCTGAGAGCGTGCATGTGCAACGTCGAGAGTTGAAACTGGTTTATTTCCGTACCACCTCGAGACGGCTAGTGTTCCGATGGACCTCGTCTCTCTCCCGGCCGGCTCCTCTTGGAGACGACCCGGTCTTTCCACAGACTACTTGCTGGAGCTAGACTCCTTTGGCCAGGGCATCTGCAAGTGCCGCGAGCGGGTTCCGCTTGTCAACAACCCAGCCCGCCAGCCTCCTCGGGAACCGCATCCCTCCGCCGCCCATACAGTCGCCGTCGACGGCCTCTGTAGCATCGCTGCGAACCGCGACGTCCAACGTTCGGAGCCGGCCCCCCACACCCACCAGCGTGAGGCAGGGCTCGTCCCAGCGCGGCCTCGGCGATCTCTCACCCATGGCCCGGCATCGCCCATGCAGGCAGGGCCTTTCGCCAATCCCCTCCCTTGGCTATGGCCGCTCATCATCCATCCATCCATCCCTGGCCTCCCGTCTTTGCCCGTCTACACGCACACTTACTTGCGGGCCTACCTTCCCTCCCGGCACCGCTCCACCAGCTTGAGACGCCGGAGCCCTCTCGTCGGGCCTTGGCACCCGCCCCGCCCGAAAAGGTCGCCCAAACATCCATCCGCCTCTCTCTCCCGCTGCATAGACGGCGAGACGCTTAAGGTTTGCCTCGTCCGTGGCGTGGCCCGCAGCGGATCTCTCTCTTGCTGGGCTGCCAAAAAAGGGAATCTGCTCCCCTTGAAGGGGTGCGAGGCGGAAGGGCACGGCCGCCGTCGTGATCTCCCCGGAACAGAGGGAAGGGGGGGCCTTATTCAGTTCCGGGTCGCGACAATGATAAGGGGAGTCCATGTCTCCAGTTTATTGTTATATCTTGTCCTCCTCTTTTCTCTTTCCGTCTTCTCGACTTCTTTTGTTTGACCTTCATTACTCGATCCCGGGTTCACGGTTTTGACAGCCGTATTTGTCTTTTCCTTCCGTCGTCGTCGTCTTCTTCTTCTTTAGCCCCGTCCCTGCATCCTCTCCTCATCTAATTGATACATATCATCCGCTTCCCATTTCCCATACCTGGTATCTGGATAGAAGCAGCAGCATCACCACTCTCTCTCTCTCTCTCTCTCTCTCTCTCTCTCGCGAGAGCACGAGGAAGCAGAAGAAACGGGTCAAGATGGACAGAAACGGACCACGCCGATTCCAGGCCTGGACCGACTCCAACCAGTCGACGCGGAGAAACTCGACAGCAACCCAGCGCTCGCGCGAATACCCTCCCCTCGACATGCCCCCCGACGAGAAGCACCCCAAGGGCCTCGGCTACAACACCACGTCGACGCCCGTCCTCGAGTCCCAGCGCCCCGCCCCCCCGGCCCCCGAGGTCGACATCTTCGACCCCAACCGGCCCAAGCTGCCCTTCCGCCAGCGCCTCCACCACTTCACATGGGCGTGGTACACGCTGCCCATGAGCGCGGGCGGTCTCTCGCTGCTCGTCTTCGCCCAGCCCAACCAGTTCCCCGGCCTCAAGTCCATCGGCCTCGTCGTCTACATCATCAACATCATCGTCTTCAGCACCATCACCATCCTCATGCTGACCCGCTTCTTCCTCCACCCCGGCGACATGACCAGCTCGCTCAGGCACCCTCGCGAGGGCTTCTTCTTTCCCACCTTTTTCCTGTCCGTCGCCACAATCATCACCAGCACAGAGCGCTACGCCATTCCCAAAAACGACACGGCCCTCGTCTGGGCCATCCAGGGCGCCTTCTGGGCCTACCTCACCCTCACCCTCATCCTGGCCATTGGCCAGTACAGCTTCGTCTTTGCCGCCCACAGCTTCGGCCTGCAGACCATGATGCCCACGTGGATTCTGCCCATCTTCCCCATCATGCTGTCGGGCACCATTGCCTCGGTCATCGCCGACACCCAGCCCGACATTGCCGCCATACCCATTCTCATCGCCGGCTTGACCTGCCAGGGCCTCGGCTTCTCCGTGGCCGTCCTCATGTACGCCCACATGGTCGGCCGTCTCATGCAGTCGGGCCTCCCCAACCGCGAGCACCGCCCCGGTCTCTTCATGTGCGTCGGGCCTCCTGCATTTACCGCCCTCGCCGTCATCGGCATGGCCAACGGCCTGCCCAAGCCCGCCGCCGCCGTTGCCGGCTCCCTGTTCCTCGACGTCGGCGTCATCAAAACCATTGCCGTCATTGTCGCCGTCTTCCTCTGGGCCCTGAGCTTCTGGTGGTTCGGCATCGCCCTCGTCGCCGTCATCCAGTCACCCCCCAGGTACTTTCACCTCGGCTGGTGGGCCATGGTCTTCCCCAACACCGGCTTCACCCTGGCCACCATTTCCATTGCCAAAGAGATTGGCACCCCGGCCCTGTTGTGGGTGACGACAGGCATGAGCATCGTGATGCTGCTGATCTTCAGCTTTGTGCTCTACCACCACATCCGGGCCGTCATTGTCCAAGACATCATGTATCCCGGACGCGATGAGGACGTCGAGGATCACTAAAGCATTGCATTGCCTCTCCTTTTCTCCTTTTCTAATTTTCCTTTTCATCCATCACAAGTGCACCTTGGAACCCCAGATGGAGGGAGACCTTTCTGCATTCTACCATGGGAGGGCCCAGCAATGACGGGCACTCGGTTATAAAGACATTCACTCTAAACAGCACAGCATCATGGAAGGCAGGCGTTCCGGCTGGAAACAAAATTTGACTCAGAACTGAGCTACAAGGGGGAAAGCGCTGATATCAGAGACGCTACATATGCCTGAGCAGACTGAAGATCGTCACGGGTTTTATTTTAGAGAAAATATATAGCAAAATTGGCAACAGTAAGCTCGGGTCCCCATAATGAGCGACTTTCCTCACCCATACTCGGCGCTGTACGAACACGCTCCTCATCCATCCAGCGTGTCTGCACTTATTGGCGCTGTGAGCAGCCTGATACGAGTTCGAGGGTACAGGGAACGGAATGCCCAGCCTACATCGAAACGGCGCTTGGAGGTTCGAGACGCAGCCCCTTGATTGAGGCCGACCCTCGTATCATCTGCTACCATTGATCGCTGGTGACCAACTACGGCTTTCGTCGAGTCACGCATTGAACAAGAAGCCCAGCCAAAGACGATGACACTCGCAAGCCGTGGCGTTGTGGCGAGCTTAGTTAGTTTGTCAATGAAGACGCCGCAGGACACCCCGGGCGCCTATCGTCGTCCCTCTCCGCGACGACGGCTACCGATATCAATGGACCGATGCGGGCCTTGGGGCTTGCGCGACGGACTGGAGCAAAGGGTCCCTTCTTTAAGACTAGGTCTTGTCTCCCTCACTCCCCACCCCAGAGTGCCGCCATAGTCGAGACAATTGACGCAACGTCCTGCTCGACTCCGTATCTCTGGGCTTGAGCGATGAAGAAAACAGGACCATTGGTCGTATCACTCGTGGGTTGACACAATTCAAGCCGTGTGTTCGAAAAGGGGGCCAAGCAAGCACCGATGGGTGCTGGCTTAGTGTTGATGCTACTCATGTTGTCCAAACCCAACCGCTTTCCCGTCTGCCTGTGTCCCAGTTCCCATCAGAAACCTGCTGCCTGCCCATCCAGATGCCTCAAGCATTAGCCGCGCCATCAACAATCTGAACCTTGACCACCGCCCTCGCTTTCCCCCCTCCCGCCGGCGTCTCCTGGTGCCGCCCGCCGCCGACGAGCTTCATGGCAGCCACGGCGTCGTCGAGGGCGAAGCGGTGCGTGACGAGGCTCTCGAGGCGGGCCTGGTCGATGAGGCCGCCCTCGACGGCACGCACGGCCGCCGGCCAGGTGTCGTGGTAGCGGTTGATGAAGAGCAGCTTGACCTCAGCCAGCGACAGGTGCATAAAAGGCACCTTGTCGATGGTGATGCGCGGCGACACGCCCACGACGTTGATGCATCCGCCGCGCCGCACCGTGTAGGCGGCCGTGGCGATGGACGACTCGACGCCCGTGCACTCGAGCACCAGCTGCGGCATGTCGTACTCGGCCGCGGCCGCTGCGTGCGTGTCCTCGTCTCCCTCGTTTGTCTCTCTCTGCTTCGTCTCCGTCTTCTGTTCGCCGGTTCCACCGCCCGCAGCAGCGTCCCAGCCGCCCACAAACAGGGCCCGAATCTTGCATCCGCTCTCGGCCGGCTCATGGTCCTCGTGGACCAGGTACGTGCGGCAGGCTGGCTCAAACTCGCGCGCAAAGGCCAGCCGGGCCGGGTCCACGTCGGTGATGACGATGGGGTGCGCGCCCGAGGCCCGGGCGGCCGCCATGGCCAGCAGGCCGATGGGCCCGGCGCCGAAGACGGCGACGGGCGAGCCGAGGGTGACGGGGCTGGTGCGCAGAGCGTGCAGCGCCACCGACAGCGGCTCGAGCAGCGCGGCGGCGGTGAAGCCGATGGAGTCGGGCAGCCGGTGGACGTGGCTGGCCGGGTGCGTCTTGTACCGCTGCATGGTGCCGTGGTGAGGATAGACGCCCGAGAAGGCGACGTGCTGGCACAGGTTGTAGCGGCCGCCGATGCAGAGGAAGCACCGGCCGCACGAGACGCCGGGCTCGATGGCCACGCGGTCGCCTGGGAGGAGGGAGGGGAGGGAGGTCAGCGGAATGGCCATGCATCGGAGCCTATACACCGAGTATATGAAGAGATATATATATATATATATATATATATATATCTTCATATAGACTTGCACGCTCAAACAGTCGACCCCAAACTCACCCCTCTTGACGCGCGTCACGGCGGACCCGACCTCGAGCACCACGGCTGCCGCCTCGTGGCCCAGGATGCAGTCGCCGTCGACGGTTATGTCACCGATGCGGCCATGGTGCCAGAAGTGAATGTCGGAGCCGCAGACGCCCGTTGCGCGCACGTGGAGAAGCACCTCATCGGGCCCGGGCTCGTGGACGGGCGCGTCCTGCAGCTTGATGTGGCCGTCGGCCGTGACGACGAGCGACGGGTTCTTCATGTCGAAGCCCCTGGAGGCGGAGGTGACGGCCCTGGCGGCAGGCGGACGAGGGCCCGGCGTGGCCATGGGCGGGAGAGGGAGAGGGAGAGAGGCTTTTGGTCTTGGTGTTCTCGACGTGATGGTCTTTTTCGCCCTCGTTTCTTGCCTTGGCACTGGCGCGTCTCGGCTCGTACATCTCCCGGGCATCTCTCGCTCATATCCTCTCTCCCGCCTCCCGCTCCTCTCCCTCTCCCGCCTCTCCTTGGGCTGCGGGGGGCGAGGGGCCAAGGGCCAGCATTAGATATTCCTCGCCAGGGCCGAGCAAGCGGAAGCGCTGAATGACGTGTCAACGGGCATGTGCCCTGTTAGGCATCCCGGACTGAGCCCTACGCATGCACAGCACCGCGGGAGGCTCGCGAGGCGCGTCATGTATGTATGGATGATTGCATCGGTACGTAAGTCGCGGTTGCACGAGGCACCTTGCCACCGCCGCATGCGGCCGGCGACTCGTCCGAGGGGAGAGTCTGCTCGGCGTGTCCGATGCCATGGCTTTGCCGTACCACTCTGGCGGCACCGTGGCTGCAAAAGTAGGTGAGCCGTCTGGTGTCGCGCCATTGGTCGCCGACGCAATGTTTTAGCTTTTCTGCCTGGAGGACACGTCGAAACGTCTGCCACCGCCTCTCTCTCTCTCTGCTTTGAGCATCCCGGGGCGGCGACCACCGACGACTTGGAGTCGCCGATGGGGAGTCGGGTCGGGGCTGAGACGGGGCTTGAGGAGGGCATCGGCATCGGCTCACAACAGCATGTGTCCCGGGCAGGCAATGAATGGGGTGCCAGTCACCTGTGGGTGGCTCCATGGCCAGAGGCCACTCGTGGTTTCTGCCGACAGGGTGAGGCCGGAGGGTAAGGGGGGCATTGGGGGCATGGGCATGGGGGGCATGGGCATGGGGGGCATGGGGGGCGTGGGGGGCATTGATGAAGAAAAGGAGGTGGGGGCCGAGCAGCAGCGCCCGAAAGTATCCGTTTATCATGAATTTTATTATTATTAATTGGATTTCCAGGACGGCCATTGTAAGGTTACGACACGCAATCGATTGCACGCATGTCTGAATCCTGCATTGCCTGATTCCCCGCCAAACAAGAACAAGGCCAGCAGCGCGAGCTTAACGAGGCCATCCATCGAGCATGACGGATTGTGTGGGACATTCCTACTGTACATATCTGTACACACGTTTGGTATTATGTACAGATTCCAACACTGTATTCGTACAGTACACCCAGTAGTAACTAGTAACTATTACCTAGCAACGACACAGAGAGACAGAGAGGGCCCGTTTGTGCATCGGCGGCAGACGGGGATCCCCTGGCTCGCCGGGCTCCATCTCCCCGGACTTCCCCCGCGGGGGACGGTATTCCCTCAGCCCTCAACAAACACGGCCACCTGTTTAACCTTCTCAACAAAGGTTGATTCCCTCGAGACATGTTCTTCTTCGCCATCATAAACGAGAGAGCGATGGGTCGTGGGCTTGGCATACCCTTGACCGTGGACTCTCCAGCAGTAACACTCCCTCTTCAGCGCTCCTCGAGGCTGGATAAGCTTTGCCGTGACAGAATTCTAGAAGCCCGCCGCCCACAAGGGAGCTGATAAGGCGCCCAGCTAATCGTGACAGGGAAAAACCCTTCAGCCCGTTACAACCGCCGGACGCTGGCCCCCCACCACGTGAGTCCGCTGACCTCCCCCTCCTCCGCTTCCGCGACTCGAGCGCATCCATCGTGGACCTCGGGAAACAAAAAGCAAAAAAAAAGAGGCGCCCTCGACGCCATGCTTCCTGTGCTCGTCGACACAATTGCTCGCCTTCAGTCGCATTCCACCTCGTCCTAGAGCAGAAGAGTCGAGGAGAAGGACCGTGGTCGAGTCGAGCCTCTGTGCCGGCTTGTCCTCCTCCTCCTCTCCCCCTCCTCACTCCCCCTCTCCCCCTCCTCCGCACTCCTCCTCGCTCCTCCTCACTCCTCCCACGACGCCATCATGGACGGCCGCAGACACTCGGCCGCCGACCAGGCCCTCGCCAGCCTCGGCTACAAGGGCGAGCTGCCGCGCAACCTCAGCATGATGAGCATCCTCGGCCTCTCCTTTGCCATCATGGCCGTGCCCTTTGGCATGTCGACGACGCTCTACATCACCCTCACAAACGGCCAGGCCGTCTCCGTCCTCTACGGCTGGATCCTCGTCTCCCTCATCTCCGTCTGCATCGCCGCCTCCCTCGCCGAGATCTGCGCCGTCTTCCCCACCGCCGGCGGCGTCTACTACTGGTCCGCCATGCTCAGCACCCGGCCCTGGGCGCCCCTCGTCAGCTTCGTCGACGGCTGGCTCACCCTCGTCGGCAACTGGACCGTCACCCTGGCCATCACCTTTTCCGGCGCCCAGCTCATCCTCAGCGCAATCTCCATCTTCAACCCCGACTACGTCGCCACCCAGTGGCAGACGCTGCTCTGCTTCTGGGCCGTCATGCTCGTCTGCGCCCTCGTCAACGCCTTTGCCTCGCGCTACCTCGACCTCATCAACAAGCTGTGCATCTACTGGACCGCCGTCAGCGTCGTCGTCATCCTCGTCACCCTCCTCGTCATGGCCCCGGCCCGCCGCGACGCCGCCTTTGTCTTTGCCCACTACGACGCCTCGGCCAGCGGCTGGCCCACGGCCTGGTCCTTTTTTGTCGGCCTGCTGCAAGGTGAGTCTCCCAGCCAGGCCTCGCCACGCCCGTGCTCACCCCTTCTCAGCCGCCTACACCCTCACCGGCTATGGCATGGTGGCCGCCATGTGCGAGGAGGTCCAGAACCCCGAGCGCGAGGTCCCCAAGGCCATTGTCCTCTCCGTCGTTGCCGCCGGCGTCACCGGCGTCGTCTACATCGTCCCCATCCTCTTCGTCCTGCCCGACGTTCAGATGCTGCTCCAGGTGGCCAACTCGCAGCCCATCGGTCTTCTCTTCAAGACCGTCACCGGCTCCGCCGCCGGCGGCTTCGGCCTGCTCTTCCTCATCCTCGGCATCCTCATGTTCGCCGGCATCGGCGCCCTCACCGCCGCCTCGCGCTGCACCTACGCCTTTGCCCGCGACGGCGCCATCCCAGGCTACACGCTGTGGAGCCGCGTCAACACCCGCCTCGACATGCCCCTGTGGGCCCTCGGCCTCTCCACCGTCATCGACTGCCTGCTCGGCTGCATCTACCTCGGCTCCACCGCCGCCTTCAACTCCTTCACCGGCGTCGCCACCATCTGCCTCTCCACCTCGTATGGCGTCCCCGTCCTCGTCAGCCTCGTCCGCCGCCGCCAGCACGTCAAGCACTCGCCCTTTCCCCTCGGCCGCCTCGGCCCCGCCGTCAACGTCATCTGCGTCGTCTGGATCGCCTTTGCCATTGTCATCTTTTGCATGCCCGTCTCGCTGCCCGTCACCGCGAGCTCCATGAACTACGCCTCGGCCGTCTTTGCAGGCTTCGCCGCCATCGCCTTCGTCTGGTACTTTGCCTACGCCCGCAAGAACTTTACCGGCCCTCCCGTCGCCGACGCCGACGCGTACGGTCCTGGCGTCATGTTAGGCAAGTCTCTCAAGGACCCCGCGGAGAACGGGACCGCCGACTCGGAGGAAACACAGGCGCCCGCCGTCGAGGGAAAACCCACGTAGATCATGTCATGCTATGCTGTATCATATATTTTTGCCTACATAAGAGCATCATGAAATCATTGGGTAAAACTGGCGATGTCGTCACGTCCTGCTCCGTGTATTATTTCATCCTCTACACTCGGCCTCGATGCAGGACAGGCTATACCCCAAAATTTACAAATATTGTCCCGGTTATTAGCAAGGGTATATTCTGAGCTCGTAGATGCAATGTAATCTCATCGCCCTTGCTCGACCTCGACACAGTAACACGTTCTATCCCGAAATATACGAAGATAAAGTCCCGGTCGTAAAGGGTATATTCTGGACTCGTCGAGGCCAGCCACAGCGAGGCCGATGTATGCAACAAAGTGACCCAGTACATGACTGCTGCCAGCCTCGTCATACGCTAATGGTTCTGAAGACGCTAAACTCCTCGCCCGTGGCCACCAGGCTGCCGGTAATCTGCGGGTGCCAGTGCAGCTCCTTGACGGCCTTGAGGTAGTGGACGAACAGCAGCTGCGGGGGCACGTCCTTGACGCCGGCCGTGTCCTTGCTCTCCTCGTCGTCGAGCTCGACGGCCAGGTCCCACAGGGTGACGGTGTTGTCGCCCGCGGCGACGGCCATGATGGAGTCGTCGGTCGGGTGCCACTCGACGCTGGTGATTTGCTCCTTGTGGAAGTCGAAGCTGGCCAGGGGCTGCGGCGTGTCGGCGGCGCCGGCCTTCCACTGCCGCAGGTCCCACACGGCCCAGGTGCCGTCGTCGGCGCCCGAGGCGAGCAGGTGCGACGTCTGGCGCGACCACGACAGGACGTTGACGTCCGAGGCCGACACCTGGACGGTGAGGGCGGGCTTGCGCGACTTGGAGCGCACGTCCCAGACGCGGACGGTGCCGTCGCTCGAGGCCGACGCAAACACCGACTGCTCCGACGGCGACCACTGAATTTCCTCGACGCTGCCCGTGTGGCCCTGGAAGGCCCTCGAGTCCGTCACCCAGCCGCCGCCGTCGGTGCGCGTCGTCACGTAGACGAGGCCGTCGTTGTCGCCCGTCAGCAGCTTGCCGCCGGGCACCGTGGGCGACCAGTCGACGGCGTAGCCCTCGGCCTTGTGCGCCCGGATGGTCGAGATGGGCTTGTTCTGCTGCGGCGTGATGACGGTGCCCGGGTTGTCGAACGAGGCCAGGTGCGGCGTGACGTCGTGGATGAAGACGTTGCTCGACTCCGTCATGGTGGCCGTCAGCGTCGTGGGCGGCCGGCCGGGCTCCGAGGCGGGAATCTGGTGGGCGCGGATGCGGTTCGTCGTCGAGCCGAGGGGAATCGACTTGCTCTCCAAGATGGGCTCTGCTTCTTCGTCGTCGTCGTCGTCGTCGTCCGACTCGTCCTCGCCGTGCCGCTCCATCCTGCTCAGCCCGCTAAACTTGTTGACCATGAGCTGGTTCTCCTGCGCCCTCGCGTGTTCGGCCTGGGTGCCGGCGACGGTGTACATGGTCGCCGGGTAGGCCTTTCTGGCATCGCCGAGCCCATCCCGGACAATGTCAAAGGACAGGCACGGCCAGGGGGTGCTGAGGTTGTGGAGCATCTCGTACGTCGAGAGGTCTGGCGCGAGCGTCTGGCCGGGCTCGAGCTTGCTGCGCCCGACGATGAATGTGCCCTGGTCGACGTCCATGGCCGCTGCGGATCGTCCCGTCAGCAGCTGCCCTGCGTGCTGGCCTGCATTCGCGGGGACGCGGCGCAGACGGCCGTCTCACCTGCTTTCTCCTCGGCCTCCCTCTCGGCATCAGGCCGTCCGTCGACGCCGGCCTCAAGGATCTCGTCTTCGCTCTCAAACTCGTCCTCGAATTCGTCCTCGAAGTCGCCCATTTCCTTGTCGCCGTCAATGTCCATTTGCTCGGGGCGATCGCCGCTCTTGAGAGGGCCATGGCCGTTCTCGGCGTCGGCCGTTCGTTTCGACATGGCCGACGACTGGCGGGTGCTCTTAGTTTCAACGGCCGGCAAGGGGGAAGTTTGAGGGATGTTCAACTCCTGCCGCTTCCGTCGCGGCTGGGCTCTGGTGATGGCGATGCTGAAGCTGGTGATTTTATCTTTTTTTTTTACCCATTGCGACCCCTCCATCAAAAATTCTGGCGCAACCCCGCCATGTGTCGATGAGGTGTGGCTTGACGCAGTGGCGGTGCAGCTATCTAACCACCAAGGCAGTACCGGTAGTTTACGAAGTACAAAGAACACAATAGAAGTTGGGCAACACCATCTGATAACAGACAGAAACATCACGATATGCGCCGTGCCCACGCTCCCTGTCCCGCTATCCGACGTGCCCGGCGCCGTCTCGTCGACGCCGAGCAGCGCCACGGCCCGGTGCCGATGCGGTTGAAGTAGTTGCTGGGCCCGCCCTCGCCCATCTGGTTCCAGGGCTGCGGGCCGGAATCCGTCAGGCTGTACGCTTTGAAGCACGGGTTCGACTCCATAGCAGCCGTCAGGACAGCCCAGCTCATGAGAAGCATGAGTCCAGCTCTAAGCATTCACGGGCAAGGTCACCACCGTCTTGCATGGCTACGTGCACACTGCTCATGGGATCGAGAATCTGCACGCCTAGGATGTTAGTTAGAGTACATCAAGTCTTCCCCTTCCATGATCCGCGAAGCAATGTAGGGAATCATGTGGCCAGCGTAGCTCTCGCCAATGTCAAGGCCGACATCCGGGATGCATTTTCCGTCGACGACGAATTCTCTCCGTTGATGTCAGAAGTCAAGACCAATCTCCGTGTGCGTTTAGGCCGATTATTGGAGCTCACTTCCAGCCTTGTTGTTCAAGTAGCGAGAAGGCGCTGCATTGACGGTGCCGTCGAACGTCACAGGGTCCAGAACCAGGGTCAACAGGTGTCTTGTAGTGGTGACGCCATATATAAGTCATGCCCGTGCCTGAAACCCGTTATCCTACTTGATGATGGCCATTTTATTTTTAGTTATTTTTCTTGGTGACTTCGCATGCCATCATCGGATGCCAGCAGCCTCCAAGGGTCCAGTCCTCCTAGCCGTTTCGGGCCAAGGGCAAATCACGTCACCGCAGGGGCCGAAAAACCGGAACGGCATGGAATAATCTCGGCATCTGTGGTTGCACAGCCCAGTCTCTTTCTTTGTCAGCGCCGTGGCTTTACGAAGCGAGTATTTACGATGCTGGCGACATGACGAGAGCCTATGACTTCATCTCAGCCCCTCTTACAAATCCCTGTTACGTGCTCAAGACGCTTTCGATACATAAATCCGTTCTGTGCTTCGTCTTTTCTTGCATCTACTTCCTCAAAGTTCATCACCTCTTTTCCACCTTGTTCAACCAAATATCGTGCATCGACAGCTCAAAAGACAAGACAGACTAGGTACAAAGTGCCCGCTTAATAAGGCGCCGGAAAGAAAAACACTCGCGAGCCTCCCCCGCTTGCGCATCGTCCCAGCTTTCAGCTTTACCCCGCCGCCACATTTGCCTCATCCTCCATCCTTTTCCACCGCCACCACCACCATCACCACCACCACAACAGCCTGATCGCGACGCCTCAAATCCAAACAACAACCACCCCCAGCCACCGCCCACGATGAGCGCCGAAGCCCCCAACGTCACCAAAATCACGAGCAAGGCTCAGTTCGACGAGCTCATCAAGCAGAATCCCCGCGTCGCCGTCCAGGCCCACGCCGAGTGGTGCGGCCCCTGCAAGGCCATCTCGCCCGTCTTCGACAAGCTCTCGACCTCAGCCACCGGCGTCACCTTTGCCCGCTTCGACACCGACGACGTCCCGGACCTCTCCCAGGAGTTCGGCATCCGCAGCATCCCCGCCTTCTTCTTCTTCAAGGACGGCAACAAGGAAAGCAACATTGCCGGCGCCAATCCAAAAGCCCTTCAGGAAGCCGTCTCGTCCTTGTCCAAGTAGGCCGCCTTTTTCTGCCTCTGCAACAACTGTGCAGGAAATACCATCCTCTCGCCCTTTCACCGTGCCTCATCAACCACGAACCACCGTTGATTGGAGTTGCTCTTACGGCATGAATAATGGGTCGTCTTGCTCGCAACAACGATCACGACGTCGGTCACATCGCTTTCAAATCAATGACCACATGTACGGTAACTACATGGTAGTGTAAAGAGGTGCGCGGGGACGGAAAAGAATACCCTTAGACATGACCGCCGCCGCAGAATGTACCCTGGTTTCTCAGATAGAAAATGTTATCCACTTCGAGATGCGTGCCAAGTTTTTGTATCGCGCGTCCAACAGGCACGATTAATGTTCGTGAAACGACTGAGCCACCAAGCACATGCTGCCTCTTCATATCCTTGTTACTACCTATTCGCACATGCATCCATACGTCCAGCTTATGCTCACCAAAGAAAAAACCGGCTCCAAGCTTCCTGTCGCGCTCTATGTTCCATGACGGGTATATCTGTACTCGTTGTCATCCTATCCATGGGCCAACGGGGAATATCCAAACAGCCAGCTTCCTGCGCACCGACATGATGCCGAAGCCCTCCACCACGGCATGACCATCACCAGCAATGCACGCTCTCAATATATGTTTCGGGTCCCGTTATCCTCATTCCTGCATGTTTCCTGTTTCATTGCCACCCTGCGTACGTGTCCACGGTTGCACTCATCAAGCCACACCCGAGTTCATCCGTCGATTGCTCGAGTAGGGGCCATCTCGAGTTTTGGGCCGGTCTGATCCCCTGACGGCCTTGGCGTCCGACTCGCTCGCTCTCGACTTGGACGGCTGCGCAGGGTCGACCGACTTCGGTCGGCCGCCGTCGTCGCCGAGTTTTGACTTGCGGTGCTCACTGAGCACCATGCTCCTGCGACCCGGCGGCTTCCCCTCGGCCACGACACCCTCACTTTTGGTCTTCGAGTGGTCCGAAGACGACGACTCTTTGCCCATGGGAGCCGGCGCAGCCGCGTTTGTCGGGTACTTTAGCACTTTCCATCGACTCAGGTTCCAAAAGCCCCCTTCACCCTTGAGTTCCTGGTGGTCCGAGTCCGACACGCTGAGCAGGCTGAAGCTCGGCGTCGGCGGAACCGTGGGTCCTTGTTCCTTGTCCTTGGGCAGCTTCAGCGACGTTTTGCTCGTCTGTATACTGCTCGTCGGGCTCGAGGCGTTGTGCGCGCGCGTGACGGGGCTCGATGCATAAGGCTGCTTCCGAGCCTCGGACGCCAGGTTCGCGGCCGACGTGTTGAGTGGGGCTCGGTTTGACTTCATGGGAGACATGGATCGCTCGCTCCTCGCCGCCGTCCCCGAGGTGCTTGCCCGCCCTTCCATATCTTGCCGCCAGCTCATGATTCTGTCCGAGGCGAGCTGCACTTGCACGGGACCCGTCAAGGACCCACGCCGCGAGTGCACGCGGCTGCCCCCGCTCGTCTTGGTGACGATGCTGGAACTCCGCCCGATCCCCGTCAGCTTGCCCGAGAATATGGAACCCGTCTCCCACGTGTTCTGCTGGCGCTTGGCATACGCGCAATCTTGCCGAAACACCTTGATCGTGCCCGACTTGTCCGTCGTGACGAGGATGTTGCCATCGAGGTGCTTGGAGCGCTCAATGTACGCCGGACTCTCCTCGGGCCTCTTGACGCCCGGCGGAGCATCCGCGTGGCCGTCGTCCGAAAATTTGGTCTGGCTCGCCGTCTTCTCATCGAGGCTAAGTAGCATGACAGGCGGCGGATTGCACAGGTCGTAGATGGGGTCGCCCGACGCGCTCAGCAGCTGCCTGCTCTTGACGGGCGCCATGAGCGCCGTGGTGACGACTTCGGGGTGCGCGTCGAAGCATTCGTACGGCTGCTTGTCCTTGAGCTCCGCCTCCGGGTGGCCCGTCCCCCACATGTAGGCCCGCCGGTCTTCGCTCCCGGACACGACGTACATGCCGTCGTCGCTGAAGCGCGCGTGGATCTGGCTCGACTGGTTCACCAGGCCTTTGAACTTGACTTCCAGCATGCGCGTCTTGAGGCTGTATATGCGCACGCGCGAGTCATTGGAGCTGATGAGCACCTTGACGTCCCCGCTTTCCGCCTCGGCGGGCATCTTGACGGTCCTGATGCCCGTGATTTTGCTTCCCTTGGCATTTTTGCCCCTTGAAGAGCGCACATGGATCTGAAACTGCTGCTTGAGGCCTTCAGTCTCGAAAAACGTGCACAGCCCGCTCAACACGCCACAGATTGCCGTCTTGCCGTCGGGGGAGAATGCCACTGCCGTGATGAACTCATTGGCCTGCGCAGAAAATGCAACCGAGTTGTCCGGTATGCTCCACAGTCTAAGCTGAGCGTCCAAGGAGCCGGCCAGGAAGAAGCGGTCGTCGGTGGGGTGAAAGGCAATCGACGTGACGAGATCATCGTGCTGGAACACGCAGAGACACTCGGCCCGGCTCACGTGCCACAACCGAACCGTCTTGTCCATGGACGACGAGAGCAGAAAGTTATTCTTGCTCCAACTCAAGGCCAGAACCTCGCCCGTGTGCCCCTCGAACTCGCTCGTCGGTTTGCTGCGGAAGACCGGGGCGCTCAGCTTTTCCCCGTTGCCGCGGTTTTGCTTTTCTTCCTCCTCCTCGTGCGCCCGCCGCTCCTCAGGGGTCGATATGACGGAGAAGACGCGGACGGTCTGGTCTTTGCCGGCCACGGCCAGATAGCGCCCATCTAAGCTAAACTCGGCCGCCCAGATGGCATCGCCGGCCTTGAGAATCTTATTCCCCACGGCTGTTGCGGGAGCGCGACTCGGCAACGGCTCGTCATCCGAGGGGGGCTTGGTGCCCAGCAACTCTTGGGCGAGAAAGAGGCGATTGAAGTCTCGACCCTTTTTGTTGTGCCGCTTAACGCGGATGTAGCGTGGAGGCTCCTTGTAAAGAGGTATGTAGCCCCCTCCGGCCCCGGCGACAGAAGTCATGGCCCGGGCATTGCTCCCGTCGGTGCGGCGGTCACCCAAGTCGGAGTCGGAGTCGGGCATGTCATCATCCCTCTTCCGAGCGCCGCGCATTCCCAGGCGACTCAGGAACGACGGTCCCTTCCTAGTGGCGGCAGCGAGTTAGCTGAGTATGCAATGCCCACATGCCATGTCGAACAACGCACTTCCGCTCACGACTTGCGTCGGCCGCGCCATTGGCAGACTTGGTCGAGGGGTCGTGGACTTGGTCAGAGGTTGGGCTTTCGGGCCTCGTCGGATTTCGCAGGCGCTGGGCAATAGTGGATTCGATGTTGCCGTTGCTGTTAGTGCGCAAGTAGATTTGCTGGCATGGGAACCAGCTGTCAGTTACGCGTCGACGGACGTCTAATAAGGGGAAAGGCAAGGGGAGGGGAAAGGGTGGGGGAATGCCCACCGTACTGAGCGGATCCAGGCAGGGATTTGCCGATGTCGTGGCCGTGGTCAGGGCCCTGGTAATGCCTCTACCAGGGTCCTTTTCCTTGACATTCTGCGAGGTGTTGGATCGCGACAGCAAGGTAGTGGAGCGGCGAGTCAGAGGCTGGGACTGCCCGTTGAAATGGTGCTCTTTGAGGGGAGTTTTCCCCAGCAGTTAGCAGACGGGTCATGTTACGGCTCGGGATGCCGCGGGGGACGAGATCGGGGTCAAGCCCTGAATCCGAGCCCGAGACGGAGTTTCGGAGACTGGCAGAGGCCGCGTACCTGGAGCATCAGATGGACCGGCAAGTTGGGCGGCAGCAGGGATCGGAGCGGCTTTACTGTCGCGGTTGGAGGTGAAGGGGCCGTCGCCCAAAATAGCAGGCGGGGAGAGCTGGGTAGCCATTTTCCATGCTGGGGATGGCAGATGGACGGGCTCAGGTGGCTCTCATTTCAGAGTCGTCGCGGCTCGGGGGCGCAGGACGGTGGCTACGTAGCCGGCCGGGAAGGGCCCCAGGTCGCCGGGTCTGCGAGAGGCACGACGGCGGGGTGCCGAGGGTGGAGCAGAAGGCGAGGCTCAGGAGTCGCAGTCGAGGCGAAGACGGCCGTGGGGGCGATAGCGTAGACGTCGCGTTGGCCCGAAGGAGACGGTATGGGAGAATGCGCGCGTTGTCGGGGAATCATGGGGTGGCAGAGGAGGAGAGGCGAGCGTATGTGTACCCTGGAAATATTACCGAGGGAGGACGGAGTGGTGGTTGAAGAAAAAGCCGACGTTCCTGGCCGAGGTGGTGCAGGGGGTGTCGGGTCGGGTGATATCATGGCTTGTCGGTACTCCGTACCTGCGCAGGAGACGCTCGTACCACATACTCTACCGTGCGAGTCGAAGGCCGGCTGGACTGTACAGCGGAGACCTGGCCAGCCAACCACCAGCAGCCGGCCATTTCACCCACCCAGCCATGCCCAGTCACCTAACACCAGCTTCCGCGGCGCATCCAGGAACACAGCGCGCATGGCCAATACTGGCGTGTTCACATCATAGGCGCCGGCTAACAAGACGAACCCAGCTCAGGCAAGACGGCAGCGCGCGACAAAGCTGGCTTGGCTGCCAGCATTGCGTCAGCACCTCGCTCAGGAGACGGCGGCTCGTTCGTTGGCCGGCCACGGCTCGGTACTCGCGGGGCGAGCTGGCTCGCGAGGATGCTCCAACAAGTGTCCAATCAATAACCGACTGCCATTCGCATGCTGGACTCGTCATCCCGTGGAGAAGAGCTGGCCTTGGCGCATACATGTGTCCCAAAGGGTGCCAAGGTCCGTTCGGGCATGGCGATGCTGGTAATTTGCTCGGCAGCATCCGTAATCTAGAACATCTAAAAATAAATTGCGCAAAAAATGAGGCATGGCATTCTCGAGCAGGGACAGGGACAGCAGAGCAGCCTACTGACTCTACATGAAGCACTTCGTGCGTCCATACAGCACACGAGGCTTGACATTCGACGCCGTACAGAGTATGGCCAAGCTATCCAAATCAGGTAGTTTTTGCATGCCTGTCAAGCTTTCCCCGTGTCTCTAATCCTTTAAAGGGGCACAGGCTTGCTCGCACACGCGCCCCCCCCCCCCCGTCCATCTGGGGGCCGTGGTGACGTCGACTTCCGCCAAGACCAGGCACGGAGCATTTACAAGGAGGTCGTTGCGAACCCGGATCTGAGACGCCTGTCAAGTCCAGGCCAAAAAATAAAGTAAGCGTCAGTTGCGGCATCGGCCATTGCCATGACGAATGAATCGCCCACATTCCACACGGGCAAATTACGCAGATGCCAAGTCAAAGGCGGCCCCCTTCTGCTGCCCCGCCCTCTTCAGGACGAGCAATGGTCAGTCTGAAAAGGCCTGTACTGTACAAAGTAGACCAACGGATAAAAAGAAACGAGAGCATCCGCACGGAACAGCACGATGACGTACGTTGACGACTGCAAGGTCCAATTGAGACTCCTGTCTCTTTCAAAGCCGGGCGTCATCTGCTTACCGTGCTGCGGAAAGCGTTCGTACTGTATACTCTGCTGGCGTCTGCGCCCCAGTCCACTGGGCCTCCCTTGCCGCCACACTCGACGCCACCCCCACCACCGCAATCTTCCATCCGCCACTCACAATCGTCAGTTTCGTCACCATCCGACCGCTATCGAGCTCGCCCTCCTTTCGTGGGACTCGCCATCCCCACGCATGCGAGCAATAGGCCCCGGCCGCACCCCAACATGAAGCTGGTCGCGCGCAAGGTCCCCTCGGACATCGAGGAAGAGCAGGTCTCTCTGCTGCCCGAGGACCCCGAGGACATGGTTGGTCCAGCGTACACATGCCCGCCTCGAACCATTCGCTAATGCCCCGCAGTGGCACGCCTACAACCTCATCGTGCCCGGCGATGTCGTCAACGCCCACGCCGTCCGCAAAGTCGTCACCGTTAACCCCGGCACCGGCGCCGCCGCCGCCGAGCGAGTCCACACGGACCTGACCATCAAGGTCAAGTCGACCTTTTTCGACCCCGTCATCTCGTCCCTGCGCGTCTCGGGCGTCGTCGTCTCGGAAAACGACCACGTCGCCCGCGGCGCCCACCACACCCTCGACCTCGAGGTCAACCGTTCCTTTGCTGTCATCAAGCCCGATGGTTGGGACTCGGTCGCAAAGGCCACCCTCGCCCAGGCCCTCTCCGACGACAAAAACGGCGCCATGGCCGCCCTCGTCATGCAGGAGGGCCTTGCCAACATCTGCCTCGTCACCCAGTTCCGCACCGTCCTCAAGACCCGCGTCGAGAGCGTCGTCCCCAAGAAGCGCGACACCGCCTCGGACCAAGACGCCGGCCTCAGGCGCTTCTTCGACAAGACGCTCAGCTCCATGCTGCGCGCCCTCGACTTTTCCGACTCGCGGCCCCTGCTCCTGGCTAGCCCGGGCTTCGTTGCCGCCGACTTCAAGGCCTACATGGCCAAGCAAGGGCGCGACAAGTCTGACAAGGTGCTCACCGCCCTGTCCAAGCAGGCCATCGTCGTACACGCCAACTCGGGCCACATCCATAGCTTGAACGAGGTGCTCAAGAGCCCCGAGGTTCTCGCCAAGATGCGCGACATGAACTACGCCAAAGAAGCGCAGTCCATGGACAACTTCTTCGACCTCCTCAAGCTCGACGACGGGCGCGCCTGGTACGGCTCCAAGGCCGTCGAAAGGGCCGTCGCGGAAGGCGCCGTCGGCCCGGGCGGGGGCGTGCTGCTCATCAACAACTCGCTCTTTCGCAGCCAGGACCTGGAGACGCGGAAAAGGTACGTCGCCGTCGTCGACAAGGTCAAGGGCGACGGCGGCGAGGTGCGAATATTGAGCAGCGACCACGAGAGCGGCCAGCGGCTGCAGATGATGGGCGACATTGCCGCGATGCTGAATTACCCCATTTTGGATCTGGACGAGGACGAGGACGAGGCACAGGCGGCGCCTGCGGTTCGAGACAACGGCGCAAGGCATCAAGAAGACGAGAGCATGCTAGAAAGCGTAATCTAGAGTTGCGCAACTGCCAAGTCCCTTTCACTGTGACGTATCAAGACTCCGGTCGTGCTCGGCTACCCTATACAAACCCGTCCCTCGAGGCAACCTGAGCTGCAGCTCGGTGCGCACAGTATCATCATCTGGGGCTGAAAGCCAAACCCACGTGGGATTTGCTGCCACTGGGGGCGTGCCTGGCAGACTTCACCATTGTGCGAGGGCTGTACCGCAAACCAAGAAGTCGACGGACCCCTCGGACGGTCTTCGGCTCTGTTCGGCCCAGTGCACCCGGGCTGGCACTAGCCTGGGGCAGTTTGCCCCAGGTCAGCGGGGGACATGCGTCCCCATAGCGTCTCGGCTCGAATTTGCCTCTTTCCGCACCCTGGGCAAACGTGAAAGAAGCGGCTGTTCTCGCTCCCTCGAGTACGAAACCCCCCTCGACCCCCAACGATAACGCTTGATGCTACGGAGAATGGCGACGGCCAAGCTTAGTCTCAGCTCCACCGTCAAGCTCAACTCGGGCTACGAGTTGCCGCTGCTTGGCTTTGGTGTAAGCCAGCCCCGTCCCGTGTCGCCATGTCCACGACGCGGCATTGCTGACGAGGAGACGCAAACAGGTCTATCAGACGTGAGGGCCCTGGAGAGATGCTTCAGCCTAGAGAGATGCCCCTAGGCGCGAAGAGAGCTGTGGACTCACTCGTGTCGTAGGCCAAAAGACCAGGCTACGGATGTGTGCAAGGAGGCGCTGAGGATCGGCTATCGCCACGTAAGTGCAACGCCCGTTCTCTGGACACGCCAATACGCTCGTGAGGCGGACGGGGTCGCGCGGTACAAGGCTGACGTAGCCTTGACAGATCGACTCGGCCTCGGCCTACTACAACCAGGGCCCAAGCAGCGCCTCGATCGCAGCCTCGGGCCTCAAGCGGTCCGACGTCTTCTTCACGACAAAGGTGCCGATGCGCGGCTACCCGCTCGGGTACGAAACCACGCTCAAGCTCGTCGACATGGCCCTCGCCGTGACCAAGCTCGGCTACCTTGACCTGGTGCTCATCCACTCGCCCTACGGCGGCGCCGAGAACCGCAAGGGCGCGTGGCGCGCGCTCGTCGAGAGCGTCGACGCGGGCAAGGTGCGCTCCATCGGCGTCTCCAACTACGGCGTCCACCACCTCGACGAGCTGGAGCAGTACATGCGCGAGCTCCAGGCGCAGCGCGGCGGCGGGCCGGGCGGCGGCGGCGTCCTGTCCGTCGGCCAGTGGGAGGTGCACCCGTGGCTGACGCGTCTGGACATTGTGCGCTGGTGCCGCGAGCGCGGCGTCGCCGTCGAGGCCTACTGCCCCATTGTGCGCGGCGAGCGCTTCGGCGACCCCAAGGTCAAGGCGCTGGCCGACCGGCACGGCAAGACTGAGGCCCAGGTCTTGCTGCGCTGGAGCCTGCAGCAGGGCTACGTGCCGCTCGTTAAGAGCGTCACGCCGTCACGCATCGCCGAGAACGCTGCCGTCTTTGACTTTGAGCTGTCCGAGGCCGAGGTCGAGGGACTTGCCACGGGCGACTACAGTCCTTGCGCGTGGGATCCGACCGTCGAGCCGCTGGACAAGTAGATGATGGGCTGAGCGTGTACTTTGCAGTAGATGAGAGGTCGTGAAAGAGATGCGACAGCTCATAACCCTTGCTCGCCGGTTCTGATAGATTGACGTCTGTCGCTCGGATCGAGCATCAGGCAGAAGTGGATCGCGCAGCTGCCCCAGCCGCACGCCTGAACCATCACGTGACAGCGCACCGGTCTCGTGCTGAGCTGCCTTCCCTCCAGCAAACGAGACCATCTCGCAAAGAAAGGAAGAGGACGAACAAACCCAAGACATGCAACAGACATGTCCCTGACCCGACACCACCCACGCGCCCCGCCCTCCAAGTCGCCACCATGCCGGTGCAGAGGACGTTCACGCTCATCCAGCCCATCCCGGGCGCCGCCGCCGCGCCGCGCACCGCCGCCCAGCCCATGACGTCCAAGCAGGTCCGCAAGGCCTACAAGGCGGCCACGCGCGCGGCCCCCGTGCCCCGCGCCGAGCGCCTCCGGCAGGAGCGCGCCGAGCAGGACCGCATCCGCCGCGAGCTGGACCGCGATCGGGCCGCGGCGCGGGCCAGGGCGGCGCGCGAGAGGAGGCGCGAGACGGCGGTGGGCGAGCGGGAGGCGCGCAGGCGGCAGGGTCTGCCGCTGGCGGATGTGCGGCCGAGCCAGGATACTATTGCCAAGTTTGTGCGCGGGAATGCGTCCGGGAGGAAGAGGGGTGTTCCTGCTGGGCCGGGGCCGCCGGATGATGGCGGCGACGAGCGGGCTGGACGGCGGCGTGCTTCGGGTGCCGCGGCGGCGGAGGGGTCGTTTGAGATAGACCTGATTCCCGAGGAGGACGAGCTGGACTTGGAGGCGCTCGAACAGCTCGACACCGCCGTCAACGCCGCCGCCCACGGGCAAAGTCGTGAGCCAGACACGGCACGGAGAGGGTCGTCGTCGTCGAGTCCCGCAGCATCTGGGCGCAGCCCCCACGGCCGGTCGCGGCCCGCAACACCCTACGAGCTGGACCTCGGGCTCCGAGACTACATGCCCCGGGACAAGGCGCTGCCGCCGCCGGGGACACAGCACGACGAACCACCCACCGTGCCTCCGCCAGCGTCCCTAGGGTCACGACGGCCCCTGGCTGCCGTCCAGCCGCCCCCAGCCGGTACGCAGGCCATCCTGTTCAACCCCGACGACTTCTTCCCCTCGTCCTCCCAGCAAGAGCGCGAGCTCCGGGAGGAGATGGCAGCGACCGTAGATACCCTCCCGCACCCACCAGAGCCGCCGCCGCCAGACCCAACCACCGCCGTCTCGCCGTCGGCCCCCCGCGCCTCCCCGCGACGCTTCTTCACCGCCTCGGGCGACCAGGAGCTCGTCACCCTAGCCCTGCAGCGCAGCCGACGCAGCGCCGCCCTCGAGGAGATGCAGCAGCGGGAACGAGGCGCGGCGGCGCAGGTAACTCGCCTCCTCCCACCGCGACACGACGCCCCGCCGTCACGCGAGGCGGCGGCGATGAGCCGAGCGCGCAAACCCCAGAGTGCCAAAGCGGCCGTCGTCGACGCCGCGAGGTGCCGAGGCGGCCTGCCACGGGCAGAGGAGAATCTACTCGGGGGGCCCGACAAGGAGAACGTCGCTCCGCGGGCCGACGGCGGTGGCTTCGACGCCCCGGACTCGTCCCCGGAGACCGAGTACGGGGGGGAATGGATCGATGAGATTGCGGTAGAGCTTAAAATTTGACGATAGACGGACAATAGGCTGGGGTACTGGGGGGGGGATGGGGGGTGATGGACAAGGAATTATTAGCATACTGGGCTGGCGTTATATCTTTCTCACATTTCTCTTTCTGGACGGGTGGACATGGATAGCGAAATGAGCAGACGACGAAGAACGCACAAGAGAGACGACTACTAGCAGCATATATTTGCAAATCATCACGGCAGAAGGCACAGTCAGGTCGCGCGCTTTGTGTCATTCCATTGCCCCTTGCCACCCCGATTTTGCCACCCCAATTCACGGGACAGCCTCGAAAAGGGAACCCCGATAATTGCCAGAACCAAAAACAAGTCCATAAAACAGAAAACGTCCAACACACACGCTTCCCAACGCCCACCCATGTCGTGCAGCGATGGCCTGCCCGCCTGACCCGCCGGTCTTATGTGTGCCAGCAGCCCTGGGTATCTTTCGTCGCGTGAAATGTACCTCACCATGCCCCCTTTCCAAACGCCGCTCATGATGAATCCCTCATTACCTGCCATGTGCCCTGGGCCGCCCATCCACGAGGAGCCAAGCATGGTCCTGCAGGAGCGCGCCATGCTGCTGACGAGCCTCGGCATCACAGGAATATCCCGATCCACTCCGTCTTGGTCGCAACCTTTGTCTCGCAGCCCTCGACGGCACATCTCAGGTCGTTGGGCACGCTCGCGGGGGGCTTGCCGCTCGGGCTCTGGAACCCCACGCCGCCGGGCGCAGCCTTTGTCGGCCTGCGGTTCTCGAAACAGTCGGCACAGTAAACCTTTTTAACTCAGCGTATCAGCACCGTTCGGCCAGCCATCAGCATCCTCGCGGCGTCTGGGGGCTCGCATACATGACCACATTTCTTGAGTGCCCAGAAGTGGTGTTCGCCGGGCGCCCTCTTCCGCTTCCTGTTTCCACTCGCGGTGGTAGAGCCTTGGGCCGCCGTGCCGGTGGGGTCGTAGGCGAGCTCCTCATTGCAGGCCGGGCAGACGACGACCCTCTCATCATCGATTTTGGAGTCGGAGCAGGTGTCGCGTGTGAAGCCGTCGCGGGTGGGCGGGACATCTTCCATCGGAGGCTTAGGGCTGGCTTCTCTGGGACTGAAGGGGCCTGTGATGTCGAGCTGGGGCACATTGAAGTTGCCTCGCAAGATTTCAGAGTGAAGGAGACCAGCCATGTGCTGGACACCCCTCGATAACGGGCCGTAAAAACTGGCCCCGCTGTTGATGAGCTCGAGTTCAATGAGCTGGTCACGGCCAAAGGGCCGGGGATGGCGGGCTGGGTGATGGTGATGAGGGGGGTTGGGGAGATTTTGATTTCGCAGACGAGCGGGACGCGGAGGTTCGGCCTCGGGCGGGTCGTCTGTCAGATCAATGACGTTGGCCACCGGGGCGAACAAGGTGCTGTCGCTTCTGGCAAGCCGCGGAGGCGAAACGCGCTGCGAGTTTGTCCGCCGCGGGTTCCTGCCACCGGCGTTCTGCGACTGCGAGGGCCGTTGCTCGACGGGCGAGTCGGGCTCTTCAGTGAGGTCGATGACGGCTGGGCGTGCGGGCGTCGGGGGGCGATCCCATCGTGTCGCGCGGCGGTCCGATGGCCTGTTGGGTCGTAGGCCGACGGGTTGCTGCGCCGGGGAAAAGCCCTGCGGCGGGTTCAGCAGGCTGTCGAGGTTGTTTGGGCGTCGATGAGGCGGGTTAACTTGGATTTCGACGAGGTCATCGTCGCTACTGATGTCGAGCCATCCGTCCCCGACCCGTGCCATTTTCTGAACGTTGCAGCCTCGGCACCGCTATTGGGGGAGACGAGTCGGAGGAACGGCGAATGTTGTTGTTGGGGAAGAGAAAAGGGAAGAAAACAAAGGCGACCAGCAGGTGTCTGCTGCACTAGGCGCCAGCTGCGAGGCAACGTCACGCCACGAGGTGGCAACTCCGAAGAGAAGGATACGCTGCGAGGGCCCGGATTTTAGCCGCCTTCGGTCTCTGATGGCTCAGCAAAGTCCGGACGCAAAATCCGCACCAAGCATTGCGGGATGCTTGGGACGTTGGGCGCGCAGGAAATGGCTCGTGGGAGGAGGTGGCGTTGCGGAGTGCGTGCAAAGGCCGCCGTGTTTGGAAAGTCGACGTTGGAAATAAGCGACGCGGAGCGTCTGTGATGTGAGACAGAGAGCGGGCGGGCGGCCAATAATGCCCCTCCATTTGCCTATCCCATTGGCGTGGGGCGGCGTGAGGCGGCGTGGGGCGGCATGGGGGGAGATGCTAGCGCGCTAACTACTGATATCTCTTTGATAGGCGGCCGTTGTTGTTCTGGTCAAGCGACGTCTAGTTAAGTTAGTACGAAGTACGGATAGGTAGATACCTATCGCTTGACCAGCTTTCCCATACTGGGTAGTAGGTAGCACTAATATGACGAGCAAGAACACTGCACCCTCGGCTCGCTTTCATTGCCCCGCTCTCCGCCGACTCGATGCATTCGTTCCCTCGGGCCCTGTTGCCAATCACAAGGTTTGCCCTCCGAGGCACAAGTACACAGCTGCTTGTACGCCACAAGCCCTCTCGTTTGCTCGCAGAGTCTGATCCGTCTTCGCCGCCGGCCGAGCAAGACAAAATAAAATCCAGAGGCCTCATCCTTCCTTGGCACCGTACACCGTCACCACGCCCTTGCCATTCACCGCCACCAGCTTCTTCCCTGACGCTCCCCATCGTACCGCCACGGCAGCCGCCGAGTTCCTCAGGGGCTCGCTCCACTTCTTGCTCGACTTGGCATACTGCTGCACCGTCAGGCCAGACGCGCCAGCCGTCGCCAGAAACTGCCCCGTGTAGTCCCACGTCAGCGATTGTACCGGGCCCCCCGTCTCCAGCACCTTGGCCGCTGCTGCAGGTCCCTCTTTCCGCAGGTCGAATATGGTGACTGTCGTCTGTCCCTTGGCCGCGGCGGCAAACCAGAATCCGTTCTCGGAAAACGCAATGGCCTCTATCGGCGCACCCAGACTGAAGACGGCCGCCTGCTCCAGCGTCTTGGTCATGAAGAGCTTGATCTCGCCCGCCATCGTGCCAGCAGCGAAGAGGTGGCCATCAGGATGAAAGGCGCATGTCGTCAAAGCTGCAGCTGTTAGCACACCGCACACGCACGCCGGCACAGGGCAGACAGAAGCTTACAGGCATCGGTATAGACGCTGCTAACCACCTTCATCGAGCTCATCTCGTAAAACACGATACGCTTGTCGGTTCCTACCGAGGCCAAGATCTCTCCGCCGGGATGCGAGCTCAGCGCCGTAGCAGGGCCGTCGTGCTTGGAGACCGATGCCACCTCGTTGCCACCTTCGTACACTTTGATGGCACCCTGGATCGTCGCAAACATGAGCTTCGTTCCCACCCATAGTGCGTCCGTGACTGGCTGGTCGACGGGAATTTGCCGCTCGATGGCGTCCGCCTGGAGCGAGTACAAAGCCGCCACGCCCTTAAGGCCTCCCACTGCGGCATAGTCTCCCTCAAGGACGAGAGAGGTGGCTTGCGACAGGGGGAGGTCGTTGGAGGCCTCGCTCTCGAACGTCGTGATCTCGTCTGCAGTGACCCAGCCCTCGGGGACCGGCCGCTTCTTGCGTCCTTTTGTGAGGCTGGGACAAGGTCAATATTATTCCATGATTTGCACGGCAGGATGGACGAACCTCTGGTGGATCTCGTCGACGCGCTCCGCCAGCTCCTCGGGGAGCGTTTCGACGCTGTCAATCATCATTTCCTCTCCGCCCGGCGCGGTTCCCGTGACCGTGACCTTGCTCAACGACTCTCTCGCCTCGTCACGCTCCCTCGTCAGCCGCGCGATGACGCGAACAGCAGCGTCGTGCTGGTACAGGGCCATGACCAGCTCTTCCCGCGTTCGCGCCAGCTGTTCCCTGAGGTTATACGTCTCGAGCGCCATCGTGTCCCACTCATTCTGAAATGTAGCCAGCAGGGCGGGGATCGAGGTCATGGTGGGCGGACGCGGGCGGACGACGGCCGACGATTTGACGGGCAACAGGTCTTCGGGGGCAAGAGCCTGGCCCGTTCCCGGTTCGGTACCACGCTCATTTATGTAATTCTCGATCAGGCGCTTTTCGTAGACGACCCCTACACGCCACGTCAGCTCGGCAAGAGGCGTGCGGGGGCTCCAGCGTGCTCTTACCGGACTTTTTGGACACCACGGGCTCTTGCGGCGCCTCGCCGGAAACTGTGCTCTGGCGTCAGTCGAGGTGTGTTTGCATACGGGCTCGAATGTCGGCTCACTTCCGCAAAGCATGGCGACTGGTTCTCGAGAGCCCGCTCTGCTCTCAGTGGCGACTCGTTGTGTCTATTCTGCAGCAACCTGGCTCGTTGTGCAGCTTCACGTTGCGATCGCTCCAGCAAGACATCCCTTCCGGGGCGAGATTTTCCGCGTAGCCATGCGCGAGCAAGATGCCAAGCTAGGTACGTACTGCCCGTGGAGCCCGAGATCTGATCACGTGATGTGGACAGCTGAACCCATCCTTGAAATTTGGAGTGACGTCGCTTTCCCTCGGCATCTTATCTTATCAGTGTCCTTCTCGACGGGGAGCTCCGCTTCCACGACAAAGCCCCGGCTCGGTGGTCACGGCCATTGCCGGGCCACACTCGTTTGTTGCTTTCAGACGATGAATACCGTCGTAGGTCAAATGAGCCCACGGTGACCCGGAATTTCTCGCCATTGACCCCTTGTTCTGCTCGCCTGCCTGCCATGCCTCAACAACAACCCTCAAGCTTGCCTCCCATCCACAGCTTACGCTCCTGCCCAGGCCCAGCGCAAACCGCCGTCCTCGACCTCCTCTTCGAGCCCAGCCCCGCCCTCCACTCCACCCTTGTCCCCGTCCTACAAGCTGCCGGCCACGGCTCCTACCGGGAACTCATCGACGCATGCCATGTCCAGCTCCGGTCCCTCGCCAACTCCTCGGGCGCCTCCCACGCTACATCGCCGACGCTCCTGTCCGTCCTCGGATCGCATCCTCGCCTGGGCGAGAAAAAAGTCGACTCGGCCCAGTCGGTCGCCGAGCAGGCCAACCTCGGCGGCGAGGGCGAAGAGTTGGCTGCGCTGAATAGGGAGTACGAGGATCGGTTTCCCGGGCTGCGCTACGTCGTCTTCGTCAATGGCCGGGCTCGGCCTGAGATTATGCGTGACATGAGGGCTCGAATGGATAGGGGCGACTACGCATTGGAGGTCGATGCGGCGCTTCAGGTAGGGCGTGCTATGACCCTTCTGAGCCCCTGTCGTTGACGCGGGTACTAATGGACTAGGCCATGTGCGATATCGCAAAGGATCGAGCTTCCAAGCTTCCTGTGCAAGACAAGGAATGAAAGTAGAAGTCGCGCAGTGGACATGGTTGGGTCGGCTACTGGTTCATCTCATTCTATTTCATAGTCATACCTGTCTGGCCCAGCGAGCTGCCTGACAGTATTTGAATCATTCGCCTCGAGATTGCTCCCTTCCTCTAGCCGTTCCATCCACATCAGGAACATGACGAATTCCATCTCTTCTGTTATCCCGCAATTCCCAAGATCAAGGAGATCCAAGACTCATATGGCTCAGAGTGTCCTGTGCATCAGTCGCGCATCGTGAGCCGATCAGCTGCTGCAACAATCACCACCAAAGGAAGTCAGGTATTCATGCCCCGTATTTGTAGTTTCTGCGCCCATGAGATGTCTTTCTTCCGAGGAATCAAGCACTGTCACGAGCCGTTAGCTTTACGTGCGCCCTGTCTCGGATGCTTTACTTACCGCGAAGTGTAAGACTGATATTCAATCGCCTGTTCCCGGCGCAATACCCCAGAGGCACGGGATGGCTTAGGGTGACGTCGTCTTTGAGCGTCTTCACCCATGAAGCCGCGGGGTTTCTAGCGCGGATGGTGGCTGCTTCGTTCCCTCACGCATACAAATATTATGAGGTCTCCATGCCAGCTCAGAATGATCCATCACCGGGCTACCCAGGGCACTTCTTTGAGCCCCTCGGCATCTCCCCCACGTTGGTCTGGGCCGCCAGCACAACGTGGCCGAACCTTGCCGAGTAGCACACCGAAATTGCAGTACAGATCTCGGGGCTCCTCGGAGGCGTCATGAAAGCCCTGGTCACTGTGGTTCGAGAAAGAAAAGCCATCTTGGCCGAAGTCATCGTGGACACTAGTGAAGAGTCGGTCTTCGGATGCGAGCGGTGGAGCATCGGAAAGAAGCGAGGTGATTGTGTCGATTGCGGCCAATCTCAGTCCCGTAGGGAGCGGAGTGGGCTGACTTTGCAGCTCCGGCAGCGTCTTCTCAGGAGGAGGAAGCGGTCTTTCTCTCGACGGGCAAAGACGGTCGGGCCGCTTGGCGATGAGACGGCGCCCCGCACCTGCGTCCGACGGTCCCGGGCCGAGCATCCTGCCTCCTGGCTCGTACCTCGACCTTGACTGAAACCAAGATGCCCGAGGCGTGGGGTCCAGGGTGTCCAAGCTGGCGTCTGGCCTGCCCGGCCTCAAAATTGGCGGTCCTCTGAGTTCCATGCGTTCTCGCATGCGGTTCACGACAGAGAGGCGCAGAAACGAGGTTGCGGGCAAGTGCGGCAGCCTTGGCTGGGCGGAAACGGTCGCCTCCTTGGCAGACCGACTGGCGGTGGCTTTTGTGTCGGTGCGGACGTGGATGTGCGAGGCCGGCTGCGCGTAGGGTCTCGAGAGCGGGCTGGTGACGAGGTGGAGTCGAAGGCGGCGTTTCTTTGAGCTCAAGGCGGCCGTGTTGGGGCCATCGACGTCAAGGTCGTGGCGACGACGCTTGAGTCCGGTATGTGGGTTGAGGAGAGACGCTATAGGGAGGAATTGAGATGGCTTGGCTCGACGGGGGGACGAGACAGGCGCCGTGGGCGGACGGGGGGAGCAAGAGCGGCGAGTGGCCGCCTTTGGTTCCCAGCCCCTGGTGTCCCAGGAGTGCGAATGGTGCGTGTCGTTTCCGAGCAGCTGCTTCGAGGAGGCGAGTAAGGGGCCCTGGGCCTTTGCCATGGTTGGGCCCGTTTGCAGGACGTCAGGTCTCGGGGCTGGACCGAGAAGGGTGCGAAGGCGCCATTTGCAGGAGAAGTCCTGGGGATGCTGGCGGCTTGCTTGGACCTCGAGAGCCATTTCGGTTGGGCCGCCGCGAGGGCGACGTCGGCTCTTGTCCGACCCTCTTACGGCGAGCGAGGGCAGTCGTGCACGCAGGTAGCAGGTAGGTATGCGGGGGGGAAGCAGTGGAATCTCGAGCAAGCGAGGAGGCGCTCGGGACAGGCGAGGATGAGTGAGGGGTGGGGGTATTTTTATTCGATTTTCTTTGGCACCAGGCTCTCAAAGATGAAATGGGTCGCACGGCAATGTAGCCGTCATGGTGGAACAAGAGTGGTAAAAAAGCAACCCGACGACGTTATATAGCGGCGGTGTATGGAGCAGCGAGTCGAACTAAGCGAGTCAGATGTCCGTTGGGTCCCTGCCGCGCTCAAGCGGGTCAGAAACAGAGAGCAGCGAGCAGGGATGGGCTGCAGGCGAAATCGGACACACACAAGACAGGGATGTCACACGGGGATGAGGGAGGGGGCGTGCGAGTGGGGGAGAGGGAAAAGTGGGTGTGGAGGGTGAATGGAGAAAAGGGGGAGGTGAGAGAGAGATGGAGATGGGGAGATGAGATGGAAGAAACGACGGGGAGGGACGGGGAGAGAAGGCAGGCAGACAGGCAGACGGACGGACGGACGGACGGACAGACAGACAGACAGACAGACAGACAGGCAGGCAGGCAGGCAGGCAAGCAAGCAGGCAGGCAAGCAAGCAGGCAGGCAAGCAAGCAGGCAGGCAAGCAAGCAGGCAGGCAAGCAAGCAGGCAGGCAGGCAGGCAGGCAGGCAGACAGGCAGACAGGAAGACACACAGAGCAAGGATGGCAGAAACCTGAAAGGGGTGACGGAGGGAGACACGTCGAAGCATGGGATGAGGCTTCGGAGCGCCAATGAGGCGACTTTGTGCTAATGCACAGCGTAGCCGTTCCGGGCGAGTGGTACAAAGCCACATGGCCAGTGACACACCCTGCTGTCGGGACAGCAGCGAAGGGTGTGTGTTTCGTGTGCACGGTCGAAAAGACGAGGTCGCACATTTTTGTTTTCGAGATGAGGGGTCTCGCATTCGACATCACGTGGGGCACTTGCGTGTGTGCCTGCCAGCTCATGTACAGTCAGGTATGTACAGTATGTACAGTAGGTACAGTGGGCGCCGGCGTCGGCGGTACCGGCATCCGAGTACAGAATACAGCACAGTACAGTCGCAGTCTCAACAAGCCTGGCACACATTGCGGCGCTGCAGACTGCAAATATAGCATGCGCAGCAGGGGCCAGATCTGGGCAAAGCAAGGCGGGTCGGACCCGGAGTCGAGTGCCGGCCAGTCTGTGCAGTTCGTCCCTTGGGTGATTCATCACGTCCCCTGGGGCCAGCACGCGTCCATGCATCGGCCTTGGCACTGCGGGCCGAGCCCCACGCAGCTTTTCTAGCACCCTTGGAATGAACCGGGGTGGGGCCCATCAGTTCCAAGACAAGAGCTCGTCATCCTGCACTACTACCTGTACTACCTTGGACTACCCACTAAGTACTAGGTAGGTAGTAGGCTAGTAGTGCCTTGGGTAGGTAGGTACCTGAGGGCGCTATACAGCACAGTAGTTACCTAGTACCTGCCATCATGGTATGGGTCCTTTGGCAAGGCGCCGTGACAGCCCAGCCCGTCGATGCCGCAGACCAAGCACGCCGACCAAGCACGCAGACCAAGCACGCAGAGAGGAACTACCTGGGTACTTGGTGTACTACCTACCTAGGTACCCAGTAATTAGCACCCCATTCATTCCCGGCCCACGCGCCCGGCTGCTGAGACCCAATGGAAACGAGGCGACTCGAGCAGATTGTCGTCGTCCATGCACCCACCCAAGTCAATCATGTTCCAAACCACCAACGCCCCCACCGGCCCATCCATGCCCATGCATTGCATCCACCACCAACTCCCTGCCCGATGGCTTTTCTTTTGGCGCACATTTCTGCATGTTGGCCGCGTCTTTTCCTCCTCCCTTTTTTCCTTTCTTTTTTGCTTATCCTCTGCCCACCACTTCCCCCGCCTGTCCGCGCACGGCGCATCACAACGGCCTTCCCTGCTCCCCCGTCAGGTTCGGATCGCCCTGATGAAGCATTCAGCCCGTGTGTGCCAGGCTAAGTAAGGCAGGCCACCCTTGCCCCCTTGTTATCCGCGACAAGCAAGTGGAGGGGGGCAGAAAACGACGGCGCATGGAATACGGAGTATATCCCAGGAATATTGAAAGCATCCACTTGACTAACTACCTCACCACCAGTCTTTAAAAAATGGTCGCCCTCTCCCCCCTATTTTCTTCCTACACACGGCATACCCGGCTGGCCAACCGTCAAGAAGCAGGCCATCACGTGCAGTGTAGTTGGCACGCACAGGGGTGGCGTCTGCTTCGATGTCGTACAAAGAAGCAACAACACAACACACACACACACACACACACACACACACCCCTCCCCTCTTCACCCACCTCACCCACCTCACTCACCCACCTCACACTCACCCACCTCACACTCACCCACCTCACTCACCCACCTCACCCACCCCCAGACACGTACAGACAGTACAGTACATGCATGCAGCATCCCACAGCCCGTTTGTTGCAGCAGCCGCCATTATCATCAACATGCAGCACGCACATGCACGTCCGGAACAGCTACACACAGACCTGCCTGCATACGTCGCAACCTTTGGGCGCTGACGATCCATCGGTAACCCTTCACCTCGAATGCCCGTCCGTCACCTGACGGCACATTGGGCAAACACATCACCTACTGTATATCACACCCGAGCTCGCTGTCTCGTCCGGATAAAGCCCTCCGCATACATTACTGAGGCATATACCATCATCATGCTCGTGTTCGCCCATGCATCACCGCCGTGACACTGCATCTCCTCTTGACAAGTCCGGGGCCGAGTCTCGTTGCATTATCTGCATTATCGCCAGCCTCCGCCTCTGCACATGTACAGTCGTGTAAGCCATGATATATGCGTGGCGTTTCCATGTCTTCCGTCCCTCATCCGTCCCTTCCTACCCTTGCAACCCGCCATGCAAAGCCATCTGCGCCCGGCTGAGACGCCACACGTCTCCCGCCGTTGCCTCGTAGCCACTGTGCATATGTACATGCCGTGTCCCGCGCACATGCATCGGCACCCCGTCCCTCGTATCGGCCCCTTCAGGCGGCTGCTGTCGTGTTCGCCCCCAGCGAGCTATCCGCGGCCGGCCTCGTCCCGACGTCGAATATCCCGTTGCGCCACCCACCCCTCCCGGACTCAAACACCCTCTGCTCGGCCTCGCGCCCCTCGTCGTCCCACAGCTTCACCAGGCTGCCTGGCGCGTACCGCCCCCGGAACACGCCCCGCCCGGGCCGCACCCCCGCCCTGGCCTCCAAATCGGGGTCCGGTGCAGGCGTGAGCCGAGCGGCCACGGCTCGCACAAACGTCACGAGGCTCTCCGGGTCCGCGATGCGCGTCGCCCGCAGCCGCTCGCGCGCATACAGCAACTCGCGGTTCAGCGTGCGCAGGCCCTCGTCGACGGCCGCCGCAATCTGGCCCTCGAGCGCCTTTCTCACCAGCGGCCGGATCAGCGGCTTGAAGAGCCACGCCAGGCAGGAAAACTTGGATTGGCTCAACGTGTAGTTGAGGTGGTGGATGCGGACGCCCACCCGCCGGAGCGAAACAATCTGGTCGATGCGGTCCCGCCCAATCTCAATGTCGAGTGCAATGTCGATGCCCCGCTCGTCGAGGTAAAAGCTGACGAGACCCTCATCCACCGTCCTGAGCAAGCCCGAGTGCAGACGCACCCAGTACCCGACATCGGCCGCCGCAAGGGATAAGCCGGCGATCCTGACTTTGAGCTGAGTAGTCATGGACGATGTCGTCTGGAAGCGAGCCTTGCGGACTTCAATGTCATTGTGCGTCGAGACTTGCAGCCTGTAGGGGAGAAAGGAGCTGTGGTTGACAGTCTTGCCGGGCTCCAGCACGAGGTTCTCCAGCAGCAGATCCACGTCAGGCGTGGACACCTCGAGACGAGGCACCGGCAAGTGCTGCACACCCTGAACAAGCAGAGGGATAAAGACATTGATGGAGTCGTCAACGAGCTGACTGTTGGTGTACTGCCCGCTGGGCGAGAGTATCTGCGCGATCCGAGTCGAGGTGCGGAACAGTTTCTCAATGTCCTCGTCGTCGCGCACCGAGCGTATTGCCGAGTGGAGGTTCTTGAGGAGTCCGTCCAGGCTCTCGCCCATGGAGGACCTCGACGCAACCTCCCTGGCTCTGGCGCGCAGCTGCTTGAGCCGCTCCTCGGCGTTGTCGAAAAAGTCGGGCTCGGTGAGCATCTCCTGGACCAGGTTGGCCAGCTCCTTGGCCAGTTTGTCAAAGTCCGGGTCCGACCGACCGGCATCCACCACGTCCTTGAATGACTTTTCCACCTGACCCCATTGCTCGCGGTCGCCAAAGGTGGTGAGGAACTGCCAGAAGTTGTCGACGGCCTTGTCGGCGTCCCGGCTGGCCCCGACCTCGTCCTCGACAGCGTGGACGGCGTCGGACGTCAGCCGCGTGTAAGCTACGAGATAACGCTGCAGAAGCAGCGACAGCGTCGACGCCGACTCGGAGTAGTCGGGGCGCTTTCGCAGCTTGAGGACGGCTTGCTTCAGGCGGTGGATGAGAGCCTGCTGCTCGTCTCCCTTGACATGCTCAGCCAGGCTGTGGCCAGCCTCGCCGACCACCTCTGCAGCACCAGACGAAACAACTTGGGCGACTTGTCGTACTTGACCCTCGAGCTCTTGGTCCGACGGGGCCGTCTCGGTGCCTCCGTCTGGGTGTTTGAGGCTCTCGGTGGCTTCCTCGGACGGCTTCAGCTGGTCGCCCGCCTTGCGTGAGACATCAGCGAGCGTAAAGGCCGCGTCTCTGAAGACTTCCCTCCCGATGGTGCTCAGGTCGGCGAGGAAGAGGCGGAATTCCGAGTTGGTGAGCAGCAGGGAGCCAATGGTCTTGAGGCTGGCGACAGTGGCAGAGGCGTCTGCCTTGGCCTTGGACGCGGCGGCCCTGGCGCCAATATCTCCGACGTCAATGTCCAGACGGGCCTTGGCCATGTACCAGATGAAATCCTGGACCTGGTCGTGCGGGTTCTTGTGCTCCAGCAGGTCGATGAGCTGCGTGATCCACAGCTTGGTGGAGCTGACGAGGGCGCGGCCAGAGGTGCTGAGGTCGGAGACGTCCGGGTTGAGCAGGTTGGCGGACAGGAGACTGCGCAGGTGGACAATGGCCTGCTCGTTGGAAGGCATGTAGCCCTGGGACATGGCCCGCAGCATCTGGTACGAGTGAATCTTCTCATGGAGGCGGGCTTGGCGCGGGGTGTCGTCATGGTACTGGGGCAGAAGCGGCTCGCGCTCGCCGTGGTCGTGGCGGCGCGACTTGCCGAAGCCCAAGCACGAGAGCATGGTGCCGTCTGGATTGAGGTCAGTGGATGGATTGGACTGGGCTGGGCGTCATTGTCGGGAAACGCTGGTCCTCGCGAGCTGGGCGGGCAGGTTGGCTGGGTGCAGTGGTATTTATGGCTGGCCTGAAATGGGAAGCTTGCACTGCGCTGTAGGCGGCCATGACGTCGCTAGTATCACCCGGCGTCGTGTGCCGGAGTCTTTGTCCCGCCTTGCGCGTCGGCACCGCAGCCTCAGCCGTCGGAATCAAGATTTTGCTGCCCATGGCTGCATTCACGCATGCACATGGGCGTTTGCAGGACTGTGGCTTCTCGGCCTGTGCGATGCGCAGGGCCAATGGACAGAGTGCCCTCTTTGGCCCGAGACACTGAAGCTTCCATGGTTCACGCCATGCGACCTCACCTCTTGGGTCGTTGATCCGGGGAAGGTGGAACGAGACAAGGCCTTTCCTGATCGAGCTGCTGATGCAGGATTACGAAGAGTCAGAGGGAGAGCGAGTCCGGCTGAAACACTGACAGAGCCGGAAGAAAGGTGTTTTATCCCTTGCAAAGCCATGGAAACAGCCTGAATCGCTTCCACGCCCCCTGGCCTCGGCGCGGACCCTTGTGTAGAGTACGTAGTACTTGTGGCTCAGGCCAGACTCAGGCTCACGGACTGCCGAGGACGTTAGCGCGTGGGGAACGTGCCGAGGCTCCCACTCACCCACCTGCCATGCAGCTTACCGTATGTAAATCGTAAGGAAGAGTCAATAAAGTGTACTGTACGGGTACTGTATCTACCTATCTTTCCTTACCTACCTACCTAGGTATGTAAGTAGCCACTCAACCCCCGTCACCTGCTCACCATCGACGTGGCACTTGGTCCAAATGGCACACAAAGCACCCGTCGACAAACACCTCACAGATGACGGGTGCGTCTCCGAATCGCCTTTTCCCGAGGCCATGCTAACCCGCGCCACCGCCAGGCTGCACAACGGCGCAGACGCCCCGGCTCGCGAGTGGCCGCGCATGGCCTTCGACGAGGCCATGGCCATGACGCCGCTCCCCCCGGCTGCCCATGTCAAGAGGTTCATCAGTCGCCAGCCCGCATGGAAGCCCGGCGCACAACTGCCGTGGGATGCTGTGTTTCGAAACGTCGACGGGCCCCGTCCCAGGTTCATGGGTGCCGGTGCCTTTGGCGGCCACGTCTACGCTCAGGCGCCCTTGGCTGCGGCGAGGGCCCTGGAGCAAGAGGGCAGCAGCAACGTCGAGGCTGAGGGGAAGCTCGGCATCCATGTGAGCGAGGCCAGGTTGTTTCTGCAGAAAGGGGACACTGACGCTGCTGGCTAGACCATCCAAGGCGTCTTTACATCCCCTGGGCTGCAAGATAGGCCTTTTGTCTACGAAGTGTCCCCTATCTCCTCTGGCCGGTCGTTTGCTGCGTGCCAAGTGAATGCTCGGCAGCCAAAGCAGCCATCCGAGAAGCCATCCGGGCCCTTTCCTGCGTCCGATGCCGACCTCGGCCTCAATGGCATCTGCTTCAGCTGCATCACCACCTTTAAGAGGTCACGGTCCACGCCCGACGAGGTGCAGGCGCCGCGATCTGCCCAGCAACGCTACGCCGACATACTCTCGTCGAGAGCCCCGGCTCAGTGGGCCGTGAGCCCGCAGATCGACCTGGACGTGGTCAAGCAGCTCTTCCCCAACGGAGGCGCGGGCGCCTTTCCCATCCTCGCCATGCACAAGGTGGGCATGGAAGCGTACAACGCCGGGAAGCCAGCCGCCGAGCGCCGGGAGCTGATATGCTACCGACTCCTCAAGCCACTGCCCAAGGAGGATGTCAACGCGCACATTGTGTGCCACGCTTTCGAGGCGGACCGCAACGGCTTGCTCATGATTGCCAACCACCTCGGCTACGGCCACAGCCTAGGCAAGGCGGCCAGCCTGACGTACTCGTTCTACGTCCACGTCAACCCGGAGGAGGCGGTCATGGACGGCGACGGTTGGTGGCTGCAGGAGATTGGCTGGCCGCGGGTCAGCGCAGGGCGATGCATGATGGAGAGCAAGCTATGGAGTCCCGAGGGGAAGCACGTTGCGAGCGGCTACCAGGATGGCATTGTGCTGCCGGGGCAGCAAGACCAGCCCAGGCTGTGAGGTGCAGGGGCTTGGCAGCGACATGTGCAGCGTGTTGCAAAGTGTAAGAGGAAAAGGCGAGGTAGAAGCGATGAAATCATACCTGGAGAGGGACAGAAAAGTGCAATGTCCATCTACTTGACATGGATGCCTCTGCTTAGGCACGAGGCAGTATACCCAATTCTCGTGCGGTTGCAAAGCAGCAAACAGGGCCTGTGGGCTGCTCGTGGGCCTCGTGGGCGGAGGAGAAGAGCAAACAATCCTCGACCCTGCACACCAAGCTTGTCCTCTTCCTCTTCACCGCCCCTTGCTTCCAACTTCTCAGATACCCCCTCCATACCCCCTCCATACTCCCTCCATAACCCCTCCGCCGGTCGAATATTGCCGCTGCATGCACCATAAACCATTTGCAGTTCCCGCAGCAATAAATCAAACCACGATTTCGTCGCCCACGCGTCACTCACCTCCTCCGACAACCTGCCTCGAAACAAGACTCGTGCCGGTGACAGGAGCAGTGATAGTCTCCGACAAATAGGTCGACGCCTCTGCCGAGCGAGCATGGCGTCTTCACGGCAGCCGTTTGACGGGCCTGCAGAAGCGCGTCGAGGCACCGGCGCGGCAACGAACCAGGTGAGTCGCGGCCCTGCAAGCCCTATTCTCCTTTCCTCTCCTAGCTTCCCGCTTCAAGCACACTTGTGCTATTCCGAGAGAGGTTAAGATGGGCGAGCTATCCCGGTCGATATTCCCCCTCCTACTACGTACTTCCTTAAGATGCATTAAGCTAGTTATATGCGCGCTATTTAAAGCGCTTACGAGCCCACTCTCGCTGACTTTTCAACGCGTCACAGGCACATGGCGAGCTACAACTTGGCCAGGCGCCAGCTTCGTCAAGCTCTCCATCCCTTGGGGCCCGGGACCAGATGCAGTCCGAACGCGGGCTGATGCGCACGCTGCAGACCTCCTTCGACGCCGTCTACGAGCTAAGCCAGGACCGCACCCACTATGTTAAGCCGGCGACTCTGCGCGGCACGCCCGTCGCCAAGATAACCGAGGATTCGCCGTACTGGATCCCCGCCTGGGAGTCGTTGGATGCCTTTCTGGCTAAGGAGGGCGAGGAGGAGGCCCTTAAACAGCAGTATAGAGCCCGCCACAACATAGACCCTGACAATAAGGGCGTCCAGAAACGGGGCAAGTTCCACCAGGACAACATGTCCAAGTATCACAAGATACGCGAAATCTTTGGCCCTGATAGCGACTACCACCCGAACCAGCTCGTCTCCAAACACCATCTCCCCGTTCAAGGCCTCTGCCACAAGGAGCTCATGTACCGTCTCGCCTGCAAGATCTCTGATCTTCGCGTCCTGCAGGCCAGGGGCATCCTGGCCATGGATCCGTGGGACTTTATTCGCTGGCGCGTTGGCCTCAAAATCCAGGAACGCCTGCATCTTCCGGGCCAAAGGGCCATTTCCTTCATCCGCACAATCGTCTACAAGCTTTGCGACGAGAACCAGGCTGGCTCCAATCCGTACGGAGACCCAATCATGAGGGAGGCGGCCATCCTTGCGGCCAGGTATCAGAACCGCCTCGGCAGCTACAAGACGCACAAGCAGCATGCGAGCAGCGCCCCCAACAATCCCACAACGACGCTGGCGAGAATCAACAGCGCAGGCCGGCAGGCTGCTCCGCCAGCACAGCCCAGACCTCGGCTGCAGTCTGGCGCCGCCCAAGCCGCAGAAGAGGCCCGCCGGGAGAGGCGTGCCAGACTCGCGGCCCAGCCAAGCACGTACCAAGGGGTGAATGCCTTTAGGGCGCAGATGCAGGAACGGATGGCGAAAAAGAATGGTGACGAGTGATGTTGGCGGCGCTGGTTCTGAAAAGTGGCACTTCTCGGTCACACATAGGTTGATGGGAGGTCTGAGAGTTTGAGTTTGAGGATTGGCCTATATCAGCGTTCAGCATATACCCATTTAGTTTTCAGGCAAATTCACATCAAACAAGGCAAGGTATTCTGTTGGCGCCTTATAAATGAAGTTGTCGCAGATTTCACAGCCAGTCCTCACGTAGACTGCTCATGTTGTTGACGAGCATGTGTTCCGCAACAGCAGCCTTCCTTGGGACCGGCCACGGTGGGCAAATTCGTCGTCTGGCGTAGGTATGTAACAAAAAGCATCTCACCCACTACCTCCTCGTGAAATGCGAGGCTGAACTGTACCGCCTTAGGTAGTACAAGCCAAGGTATAAGGGAGTAGTATATGGTATTTGAGGGCATAGGAAGGAAGAAAGATAGCTCCCCCGAGAGCTTAGGAGAATAGCCCTATGCATACCTGAAGATATTCAGGCAAGGATCTAACTAGGCGCATAAGACAAGCTAGATCTTGTTGATTGGTATAGAATTGCAATAGCTCTAGGTTGGCCATGGCATAATCTATATGGGCATTCGTTGGCGGTATGCCCGTCGAGAAATAGCTACGGGGATTACATATGTTTCGTTCCCCTTTAACTTGACGCAGGCCGGGTATAACTTGACTCGCAAAGGAGAAGACTCTACCGAACAGTATCTTCGTCTTATTGATGTCTTGAACCACTTCCTGTTCCTGGCTTGGATCCGGGCATAGATAGAAGTCGAGTGATTGTCTGGTGACGACAACGCCATGAGACGGGTACCGGTCCTCTCTCCTGAGGGAGCTGACTGTTTTATAGGCGTCGTCCAGCCCACGGCAAGGACACGCCAGAAATTAAAGCATCCCATCAGCTGTCCCAGTCTGCATACGGTGCAACGCAGTCGAGTTAGTGACTCCCTCCAAGGCAAGCTGTGCTTGTTCTGCTCCTCCTGCCTTGAATGGATGAGGCTCCGAGTGCGCAGGCGGACTTAGGCTCGTCACCATTAAGCCTGGGGACCCTGAGGTCGGCCTTGGAGATCTTGTCGGAGTTCATTACGTTGCTGCAAAAGACTTGCCACTTCCTTAGCTTCTCTTAGCCGAGATATAGAGTCTACTACAGCCACTCTATAAAATCACCATACGATATTAAGGTTGGGCCGAGAAAGGACATTACGGCGAGCTATATGAAGCGATAATCAGAATAGAATGCTTATTTAGCTTCTTCGAGGAGCAAAAAGCTGATCTTCTCGCCGCCTGATAGCCCTGCTGACGAGCCACGGAATGCCTAAGCCTCGGCAACCACAGGTACGGCTTTCTAGTTCGTATTCGCTGGCCTCACATCATTTCACTATTAGCTTTCGCAGTATATAGTGCTCTACGAGCGAATTAGGGCCGCGAACACGAGAAACAGTTGTCAGAGTATATTGAAAAATGTTCAGGGCCACCCGCTATTGGCTAGACTTTCCCCTGCCTCTTTTCCATCTTGGATATTGACATCTACCGTGACATAAATTCCCTCTTGCTTTATAACCTGCTGCGGATTAAAGTGGTTGCTTCTTTATATCATAATCATCGCCATCGATATCGAGAATTTTGGAGTTCGATTCTAGGCTGATGCTGTCGGAGTCATAGCCGCCCTCTGTCTTCTGGTTGCGAACTTGTGCTCTAGGGTTGTTTGCGTCATCCTTTCGCAAGATGTACTTGTCGACCAGCGGTTTTACACCTGGAATGGATAGCGCAACCAATGTCGCACCAATCTCGGAGACCTCAATAATAAGAATAACCATGAACCCGAATTCTTCAGCAGTTTCTGACGTGCCTGTTTATATTGTCAATATGTGTTTCCTCTGCCACTCTTGCCAGGCTTTACTTACTACCCCTGACCCAGACCAGTCGAGCAATAGAAATGCCGACAACGCTGTATTATGCGATTAGAAACCTTGCCTGCCTCGTTGTTTATTGGAAATAGCCGGTACTCACGCTACTCCTGGCAAGAGAATGCATCCGAGCTGAATCTTCCGTTTTCGTGGCATGTCCAGGACCCTAATCATGGCTATTGGTATGCCGAAAAGCAAAAAGTCGCAAGTAAGCGAAATAACCGAGCTCGTGACATATACATCAACCCATTCTATGCATTGGTACTTGTCATTGTCCTCTGGCGTCATAGACGTCCAAAGCAGGGTAACCGGTCTGCAGTGGAAGATAATAAGGAGGATTTGCGCCAGATAGCCCGCAAAAAGGACGCTAAAGACTATTCTGATGGCGATAAGGAACTCCTTATGTAGGCCACAAATCCGGTAGTAGAATGCTAGACCGGAGACCCGGCATAGCAGAAGCGCTGTGCTATAGGTTAAGTGTGCGATAGAGTCGACAGTCATAAATCTGGCGTATGTTGCGTCGTCAAGTACGAAGTCCCTGTAGGCGGCATGTTTGGCGCCTCCTAGCCTAACAAGCTCCAGGCACAGGGCGGCGAAAGGGATAAAGGTTAACTGTTTCGTCAGTACTCGGTATTTGCGGTTTCGTCGGCTTCAAAGTAGCTTACCAACGACACGAGCGCTATTCCATCGTCGAGTCCGAGTCCGAAGCGTCTGACAACCAACTTTCTCGAGAGTAGCCGGCAAGTGACGACCGCGCATGTGAGGACAGTGATGATAATAATGCCAACGGTAGCCGGTACGTCTCGATTCGCTTCAAGGAACTCCACGGAAATATCGGCGGGAACAAAACCAGAAGCAATAGCTTCATTAATTTCAGAGTCGCTCATTCTCTTTGTTTTCGGCGCATCTCAGCACTGCAACCCATAGAGTGGGATTCAGCCAAGTGTTGGAGCCGAGGGTGACATGTGTTACCGTGTTGTTGGTCTTGGCGGGATATGCTTCTTAAAATACTTCGTCACGCCTTGCACTTTAGAGCAGTGGTGCAAGGCGTACAATCAGCCGAAGGCTGCAAGTCTGCTGTCAACGGTAAGGCAGGCCTGAAAATTCAAGAATCTACAGTCATGCATTCATTGCGTCATCTACGTCTTGGTAGCATCAAGTGGAGTTACGTAGCCCCTAACCGTTCTTATACGGATTCTGAGTGAGAACCTGCCAACTCCTAAACCTTTCCCTGAACTTTGTTGGGTCGGCGGCAGTGGTGTCCCCAGCACTACACGCGGTTGGCTCATCGAGTCCTCGGAAGAAAACCTCACTGTATGACGTTCCTGGAAACTTTCAGATGATGTAGGCTGGGCTTTAGGTATCTTTTGCTCGGGTTGTAAGCGAGCATCTCGGTCTGTTCTTTTCGCAGCAGGCCCGTCAGCGGAGGAAGGACGGACCGCGACCTCCTCAAAGTCTGGGTTATGCGTCTGGACCTGGAGTACTTCAATTGATCAGCATTGAACATCTTGTGGAGCGCGAGATAAAGCCAACATGATAGGCGCGCTTATTGCGGCAGCCCAAGCAGCTCTTGGTGTGCCCAGCCGACTTTCTTCTGCCGAGGAAGTCTTGCGCTGGTTTCTCCTCGCCACAGCGAATGCATACGATGGAAACCACGCCACCTTGAGACCCTCGATGAGGCATAGGGTTCACTGCGGTTGAAAGCAGCTGCGTACGATGGGTTTGTTGGCGACCCGCGATGCTCAGAGTAGCTCTGTGACATTCAGGGCAAGTGCAAAATTGGACCCACTTTTAGAAGGCCATCATCCAGTTGAGTTACGTTTTAGAAACCATACAACCAATCAGATGTCAGAAAACTTAACTGATCCCTGCTGCACCAAACCCTCATATTAGGGAAAACTTATTCGATTAATGTAAAGTCAGCCTACGGCTGAATTAGGGAAAACTTATTCGATTAATGTAAAGTCAGCCTACGGCTGAATTAGTTACCCGGATGAAGGCAGCTGACTACTCTTGCTACTTTTCGCGTTTTGGATTTGGCGTGAAAGGGTTTCGGCTTCGCGGACATCCGGACCACCCTCAGCTTCTTCTAAGAATCCAGACATGAAACGTCAAAAATGCGACAGCCCTCCTCACCCCTGGAGAGGTATCGCTGGAGGCATCCCTACCCGTTGTACAGGGCTGACCCTATCTCTCCGTTGCCGAACTGCGAACCATGTCATCCGGGCTTCTCGTCTCCGCCGCCCTAACAAAATCCCCCACTAGGTCGGTTTGATTGGGTTTATGAGCTCTGCGATGCGTTATTTGTATGTGCTTCCTCCTACTGTGTGGGGGGTTTTCGGCATGAATCGTGCGTGACTTGAAGAGCATTTCCGGGCCCTTCTATTTCGTAGCCTATGTACTCCTTCGGTCCAGCTGGTCTTCCCTTTTGCCATCTGTTCCCTTAACCCTCATTAAAGTCACGTAGATAAATTACCCTGTTGTCTAAGTGGGTAGTTCATACTTACCATAATGTGAAATTTTTGGGGAGAAAATTATTGATTACTTTCACTAGCAAGGCGAGCGTATGGAGCATCAGGTATGTAGATTGGGCAGTCATCAGCTTAGGCAGTTTCAGGTGGGAACTGGTTTGGTGGCACGAATTCCTTGGCAAATGATACGTATCGCATCTGTTCACTCCACCTATCTATCAGGGATACGCGTTTCCTCGGGCTTACTGATTCATGCTCCTTGGCTGTTTCTTCTGTTTGTCTACTCCGCAGTCTTTGCTGAACAGACGGATATTTTCCGCAGTACTGGCCAGCCCGTGCTCGTCGGCGCAGTGTGAGGCAATCGCCAAAAGGCTGGCCCGGCCCGTCCGGACGCAAGCTTGCAAGTCCAGCGGTGGCCGTTGTGTTTAGAGGTCCTCGACAGCGGTCTCTGATGGCAAGAACTGCCGGGACTTGATGACAAGTTGACAACGGGGGCATCCATCAGTCTCGACTCTGTGCGTAACTGCGTATTTCGTCTTCACCAAGCACAGACGGTTCACTGATCTTGCGCTGATATGAAGTCGCAACGCTGGATGTCTGGCCATCATGACTTGAACGACACAAACACATACAGTTGAGACGTGCTGTGTGACTGGCCATTGTGCGGTGTTTCGGAGAGAAGACGTTTGATGCTCCAGCCACGTCTCCTCGGCAAAGCTGGCAAAGCTCCAGCTCAAAAGTCACGTGACCACATCGATTGTCTCCACCGTGATTGGTCAATCCCCGTAGACTGCTCATTCAACCTCGAATCAGCCCATCCACCGCAAATCCATCGACGGCAACGTCTCACGCCTCGCGAGCTCGCCCGTCCTCACTGAAACCAACACCGTCATGTTTCTGCAACGTTCCGTCATCGCTGCGGCCCGCCGCGCCGCCGTCGCCCCCGCCGTCTCCCGCAGCTTCGCGACCTCCCTCATCCGTCGTGCGTTGTGCCTCCCGACACCTTCCTCCCCCATCGACTGACTAGCGCCCCAGGTGAAGCCGTCAAGGGTGGCCCGTCCACCCCGAACGAGCAGGCCGCTGCTCTCGCCGGCGTCGCGGAAAAGAAGATTGGTTCCTACAAAACCCTCAAGGGTGGGACAGCCCCTCCCCGGAGAACCCCGGCACCTCTGTCGCGGCCAACAAAAACATAGATTGCAAGAGCTGACGAGAGTCTGCGCTGCAGAGATCCAGGCCGAAGAAGATCTCTTTGGCCCTGGTGCCGCCCCCGGTACCGTTCCCACCGACCTCGAGCAGTCCACCGGTCTCGAGCGTCTGGAAATTCTCGGCAAGATGGAGGGCGTCGACATCTTCGACATGCGCCCGCTTGACGCCAGCCGGAAGGGAACCATGGACAACCCCATCAAGGTCCGTTCCGCCGGCGACGAGCAATTTGCCGGTTGCACCGGATATCCCGCCGACTCTCACGGTGTAAACTGGCTTGGTGTAGGTGTAGCAATGCGAATCCGCCGAGCTGAGAACTCTGGAGCTGATCACTCTGCCCTCTGCAGCTTACGCGCGAGCGCCCCATTGAGCGGTGCCCCGAGTGTGGTAGCGTCTACCAGATGGAGTACGTTGGGCCTCAGGATGACCATCACGGCCACCACCACGGCCCCGAGCTCGAGGAGCCCAAGACCTTTGCCGATTTTATCAAGCCCGAGTACCGCTACCAATGAGCGCTTCGGGCGATGGACAGCGCGAAACGAGCTTTGTATTACGCAACCAGATGCTGGAGCTATAGACTGAGGGGCGAACATGCGCCGAGAAGAGAGGTGTTGTAGATTACGGTGAACTGTTGCTCTCAATCCAGGCTCCAGCGGATTGGGTCTCTCCTTCCACCTCGACGTCTCGTCCACAGAGGCAGCCGGTGCAGTCGAATGCTACTCGGAACCGCCATCTTGACAGGTCCCTTTCTCCGAGATTATGTAGCCAGCGACGCGACAGTGGTCCTCTTCCAATCGTAGTACGGCCGGTCCTTTGGGCGGACGCGACGAGAGCGGTATTTACAAACAGCCGAGCGTAGCGGTCTCCGCGCCGCCACGAAGGCGCCGTCGGGCCTCTACACTGTACGGCCAAAGGTGGTGATAATGACACACGAGGCATCGTGACGGGCACGAGGTCCAGGGCGATCCAGTCTCAGCCTTCTCCTTCCTCTTGGTCAAAGCTGAGCTTGATCTTCTTGGTCTTCTTGCCAGCCTTTTTCCCGGTTGGTGGACCGAATTTCTGGCCGTCCTTTTTGGCTGGCTCTAGGTCGTTCTTTTGCGACGCACTGTCGGGAGCGTCACCGTCACCGCCTACCACCCTGCCGACCTTGCGCTTCCGCCCGCCAAAGGCAGACTTTGGTTCGGCGTCTCGCGCCTCGGCGGCGCCCTCCGGTTTGCTGCCCTCCCCCTCAGCAGCCGCTTCTGGGACCACGGCGCCGTCCCGGTCGAGCTGGACGCGCATTGCATTTCCCTGCTCGTCCACGACCAGCGGCACATCCTCCGCCTCTTCACTGCTGGACCGCTTCTTTGCGGAGCGGCGCTGGCCCGCCGCGAGAGGGTCGGGGCCCGAGGACGCGCCAGCTGCATGAGCGTGAAGGGCGGCGAGGAATGGCGGGAGCGAAGAGCTATATGACAAGTTTTTGGAGGTTATTTTTTGAGACATGGTGGTGCGCAGGGCAAGCGTGGTGGGCCGTATGTGTATGGACTATGGAGCAAGAAGCACGAGTATTGGGGGGTAATTATGGAGTTCACATTTATGGATGGATGACCCAAAGGGCCATGGCCGGGTGTTGGGAGTGAAGAAGGCTTGGCGGCGAAACTCCCTTTTGCCAAGCCAGGTACGGAGTACAGAGTACCTGAGTCCCGAGTCACGCCCATGTACCTAGGTACCTGTCCCCGCCGGCTTACTGACTGGTCGCCACCAGCACAAGCACAGGCTTTTTTTAAGGTACCTTACCTACGTACCTACCTTAACCTACCTTATGTCGGGTGGAGTGCATGTACAAGTGGGTACGTAGGTATCTGGTCTCCGCCCAAAGACCGAGGTACAGTACTTGCCCAAGGGAGCTGAGACAGTTTGGCCCAGGAGAAAATGCGACACAGAGAGAATCTGCGGCCCTCTCTCTCTCCCCCCTCCCTGGAGCCAGTCCCTTTTCTCGTGCATTACAATGCCCAAGTGCATGGCAGGGAGACACAAAAGAAAAGAAAAACCGAGCCTCTCCGCAAAAAGGCCAGTCGCGACAACTGGGATCATGCCGATATGCGATAAAATGGAGCTTTTTATAGGGCCCAATTATCTATACACCTCCTTTTATTAACTGTACACCAAAAAGTGGATCAACTGTGGCTGGGTCAGGCGCAGTGCCGATGCCGCTAATTTTGGTGCGCCCATTCCCGGCCGGCCAGCTGGCCAGTTCGTGATGCTTGCGTAACAACATCCTGTAACCGTAACTATCAGCAATACCATCAAAACTGAAGCTATTCGCACCGCGTTTTCTGCCCTTACGAGCCCGAATCATGGAGTCGCTTACGAAGACACTATTCCCGACCTTCCAGGCCGCGATGGAAGCCGCCGATACCGTTGCTGAGGCTGAGGGCTACGCCCTACACATTCGAACATCGAAGCGGGATAACGCTGGCCAACGCAAGTCTGCACTTGTTCGTTGTATCAAGGCCGGCCTACGAAAATCGGAAGGATAAAGCTGCTCATATCTCTCGTCGTCGCCTCAATACAGCAACCCAGAAAACAGACTGTGAATTTCGCCTCTCGTTGAAGGAAAAACGCGGTTACTGGACTATCTCTTATCTTCACGATGTTCACAATCATCGCCTTGTTGATGACCCGATGGTCTTTCCGAAGTACCGGGCGCTTGTTATCCAGAAGTATCGCGACGACATTATCCGGAAGTTTAATAACAATACCCGGCCGACCGATATTGCTGGCGAGCTTCGTGACCTGGTTCACGACGATCCTCGTTTAGCCGGTATCACGGCTCAAGACGTGAGTAACGCCTTGGCTAGGCACCGTCAGGAAGAACTAGCTGGCCGTACGCCTCTTCAGTTTCTCTACGACCGGCTAGATAAGTCCGACTTCTTTCATCGAGATAGTCGTGATCCCCAGGGCCGGCTAACTGGGCTATTTCTCGCGCCTCGTGCTACCTTCCATCGATGGCGTCAGCATCACGATGTCCTCGTCCTCGACTGTACCTACAAGACGAACCGATTCAATATGCCGTTATTGAATATCTGCGCGGCCACTCGAGATAACAAAACGTTCTCTATTGCCTCTATCTTCTTGAACGGCGAGACCGAGTCCCATTACTATTGGGCTATCTCGTTGCTGCTAGTCCTTTGCGAGAAGGAGTCGATCCCATTTCCAAGGGTCACTGTCACGGACCGAGATACTGCGTTGCTTAAGGCGTTAGATAGCTTTCGCGAGCTTCAAAACAGTACTAACCTTCTCTGCACGTGGCATATTAACCAGAATGTCGTTGCGAAATGCAAGCAATTTTTCCTAAGGCATCAAAAATCGGCAATCGAGTCGTACGGGCCCCGGCATTCCAAGCGTTTCTACAAGAGTGGAACGAGATCGTCAAGTCACAAGATGTGAATAGCTTCAACGAACGTTTACGCCAATTTGAGACACCAGGCCGCCACCCGCTTGCAGCTATACAATACTGTTGCAATACGTGGCTAACGCCTTGGAAGGAGAAGTTTGTATCTTGTTTCGTTAATCAATATCGCCACTTCGGGCGTACAACGACCTCGATCGTCGAGGGACTTCACTCTCATATGAAGAAGTTCCTTTGGTCCTGTACGGGCGATTTGACGACCGTTTTCCAACGATTCGAACGCTTCTGGGGCCATCAGGCTGCTCAGATCACAGCGATAGAGAATCGAAACCTCCACAAGATATCAACGTTCTCCCTACAGGCGCCGTATATGCCGATCCGCGAGCGAGTATCGTCATATGCGTTAAAGCTACTAATAGATGAGCATCGCAAGATCCTCTAGACCCCGAAGTCAACGGGCCAAACCGCCGCCAGGTCAATGTCCTTGTAATTGGGCTACTAGTCGAGGGCTACCGTGCTGCCATCGAATCTTCGAGTCTATCAACACCAATACCTCCCTTACACTCGACGACTTCGACCCATTTTGGTATATTCCGATCGATACAAGCGCTCAGGGCACAAGCCCTACTCGGGCACCATACGAGCCACAAGTTATCAGGGCTAAGGGCCGCCCCAAGGGCTCACTCAACCTCGAAGAGTCACGGCGGTCAAGATCAACGCGGCGGGATCCGTCACATCACGAGATCGCTGAACGGCATGAGCGGGCTGAGGCTATACGACTGCCTCTCCTCAACGGCACCAGCGGCGATGACGGGTACGGTAACGGCCGCGATGACTTCAACGGAACGAGGGCTGCGGCACATCGAGGAAAACGGCGATACGTACGAGGCAGGCACACGGATGCAACGGGCGTATCAACAAGCCGGGCGTCAAACGCCAGTCTCTGATGATGACGATCAGCCGGTACGGCGGGAGACCCAAGACTGCATCTTCGTCGCTGGCCTCACGGACGATGCCGCCCTTGAGGATGTATGGGATCAATTGGAATCACAGTTAGATGAAGCGGATCAGGCACGTAGTGCACTCGAAGAAGGAGGCCTGTTGTAAACACCAAAGAATAGTCTCATCAGCATAGAAAGCGCAGTACGAATAGCTTCAATTTTGGGTGCCTTATCGTTGAAGGAGAACTGTTACTACCTGGCTCTACTTATCGTAGAGAATGTGTGCATACAAATTGGCGGTATCGGCCCTCTTCGGCCGTCAGCCACAGTTAATCCACTTTTTGGGTGTACAGTTAATGAAAGTGGGTGGATAGATAACTTGGGCCTTTTTATAAATAATCTACAAAAAGAATATCCTCCGCAAGGCGTTGGCGCCAAAATGTCTCTGGCCCCGATTTTCCGGCGCCTTGATTGGCTGCCTGGGCGTGGATCCCGTTGGCGCGGGCTGGCCCAGTTGCGTGTCGGTGGCCTTTCGCTTCTCCCTCCTCCCCTGTCCAATAATGAAGGAAGCTTTCTCGTCGTCGTTAAGCGCCTTGCTGTTTCATCTTCTTCCCAACCGTCGACGAGCCTCAACACCGTCCATCTCGACCTGCCATCGCGACTCGTCGGGCGTGCCTTAGAAGCCTCGTCGCCCGCCTCTGCTCCAAGTCTCCGGCTGCGACGCGTCAAGTCGGCCGAAGAGACGACCCTGGTTCTGGGATCTGTTGTCCCTGTCGCTCGTTCAAACCATCCCCATCTTGCTTCGTCGTGTCCAGGAGCCAGAGACGCGACGCGCGCCGGGCTTAATTTTCGACTCCCAGCAGCCGACGCTCGCGCCCCTCGACTTCTGCTGGCTCTAGAATTTTTCCTAATATCCTTTGCCCCCCCCTCGACTCTAATACATTTTGCCTCGGTTTTCGCCCGGCCCCGACGACGGCCCACGGGAGCCATCGAGATTGACTGCCATCCTCCGAGCTTCACTTCCATCCCTGCCGCCGAGGCGGGTAGTCTTCACCATGGACCTCCTGAGGCGGGCTTCCAGAACCGCCCCATCGACAGCCCCGCTGCCGCTGCCGGCCCATGACGAGAAGCGAGGCTCATCGAGGCGAAAAGGCTTCGCGTCCAGGCTAGCCTTTTTCCGCAGGCCTTTGCGGCTGCGCGGCAACTCCACCGTCTCCGTGCCGCTCGGCGTCGTCATCGTATTTCCCCTGCTCGTCGTCATCCTCATCTTGGTGCTCTTTGTCAGGCACCCAAGCTCGCCGAGCAGGATATTGATGCCCGCTGGCGCTCCCCCCGCCATTCGGTGCGTCATCAGTACTCTCCTCTGGTCTCGAGACTGGCCACTAACCCATCTCTGTCCACAGCAAGATAAGCGAGAAGCACGACAAGGTCTTCGTCACAGGCTGCCTCGAGCCCGACACCAGCAAGCCTCGCGCCAATGCCGCCTTTGTCGTCCTCGCCAGAAATAAAGAGCTCGACGGCGTCATCCAGTCAATCAAGTCGGTCGAACGTCACTTCAACCGCTGGTACCACTACCCCTACGTCTTTCTCAACGATGGCGAGTTCGACGACCACTTCAAGGATACTATCCGCAACTATACCTCTGCCAACGTCGAGTTTGGCAAGGTTGGGCCGGAAATGTGGGGGTATCCGGATTGGATCGACCCCAAGGTCGCAAAGGAGGGTGTCGCCAAACAGGGAGACGCAGCCGTCATGTACGGAGGGTTGGAAAGCTACCACGCCATGTGTCGCTTTTACTCGGGGTAGGCAGTGGCGCTTCCATCTCAAGACTCTTGGGTTTGCTGACCTGGACGCAGTTTCTTCTACAACCACGAACTTTTGCTCAAGTACGAGTGGTACTGGCGAGTCGAGCCGGAAATCACCTACTTTTGCGACATCACCTAGTAAGCGGCATGAGCCAACCCTCGTCGTATCAGGGCCACTCACTGACGTCTGCAGCGATCCGTTCCTCAAAATGATCGAAGCAAACAAGACGTACGGCTTCACCATTGCTGTCAAGGAGCTCCGCGAGACGGTGCCCAACATCTTCCGCTACGCCTCGGCCTACAAGCGCCTCAACAACCTGACGTCCCAGGGTCTCTGGGAGATGTTTGTTGAGCCTCAGGAAACTGTCGAGGAGAAGCGCAAGGATGCCAATATCCCCGAGGAGCTTCTCCAGAATGACCCTAGCCGGAACGCCCTTCCCGACATCGATCCAGAGGCCATGGAGGGTGAAAAGTACAACATGTGCCATTTCTGGTCCAACTTTGAAATCGCACGCCTCAGCTGGTTCCGCAGCAAGGAGTACAACGACTTTTTCCAGATGATGGACCGCAGCGGAGGATTTTGGATGGAACGGGTCAGTCATCACCCTGTGGGATCAACAGCATAGGGGAACGCGTTGAGCTAACCTTGTCTCTCTAGTGGGGCGATGCGCCTATCCACTCGCTCGCCGCCGGCACTCTTCTGGCTCCCCGCGACATCCACTACTTCCGAGACTTTGGCTATAGGCATACCACCATCCAGCACTGCCCCGCGAATGCGCCGGCTCGCCAGTTGCCGCGTCAGCCATACCTGGAGACGACAACGGTCGACGAGAAGAAGCGAGTCGAAGAGGACCAGTACTGGGAGAACTGGGACGAAGTCAAGGAGAACGGCGTCGGCTGCCGCTGCAGATGCGACACGGACATTGTCGACGTTGAAGGCAAAGAAGGGTCCTGCCTGGCCGAATGGGTGGACGTTGCCGGCGGCTGGGCGAGTCCTTGAGAAGAGGCCGGCCCTTGAGACGAGGCAACTTGGGCACAGAAGCGAGCACCCCCACGAGGCACCGCCAGGACGTCGTCTCGACGGAAATCGCGATAGTATCATTCAGTCCGCGGACGACGTGCTGTGCTGCCGACCCGTGGCAGGCGCAGTCTATGCAGAGCCAGCGGAGCATGTCGGAGTTTTGTTGGTGAAAAGACGACGCCAAGGAAAGCACACAGATCTATACGCAGCGACGTTGACGGAAGGGAAGGGGAACGGCGTTTTGCTTCTTTTTTTTCCAGAGCGGGAAAGTATGGGGTATGTATGCCTCGACATTGAAAGCGCACCGCATCTAGGATAAGGATGATCTTGGCGAGTCGTGCTGTACGCATCAGGGTTCTCATGGGTCAGACGAACGGAGCGCGATCCGTCGTCACTGATAGATGTGGGAATAGCATTTCTGTTTTGCAGCAGCGAGACGTGGGTGTTTTTTCGTTCGACCTTGGATGCGGTCTCATTGTACATTTCGCAGCGAACAGTCTTAATCCTTGGACGTAATTCTAAAAGGCTCTGGACCCAAGCCGCGTGCTCTCAAGTTGCTGCCAAGGACGAGTAGAAGCATAAGGGGGGTCACGTTTGAAGATTTGGCACCTGCACATGGTGTGAGAAAGGCGATGTTCGATACGTGATCGCTCTCGACCTGAATAGAAATGTATTCGCAGGGGTGTTATGTTGAGAGATCGAAAGGAGGCGGCAGCCTGAGGCATAATTTTGTGGGCCCCAGCGGTGGTTTCCCGAGAAGCTCACGCAACCATACAAAAAAAAACCGCCGACCAAGTCGTTGCTTGCGAAAACGTCCATTGCGCCACCATGCCTCGCCTACCAATGCCGCAGAGCACGCTCATGTGCTGCATGGCGGCGAAACCCCCCGGCATTGCCTCGTTAACGACCTGCCTCGCGGGCCTCGCGCTCCAGCAGACACGGCAAGCCTCGATCCTCGCCAGCCTCGCCAACAACCCGGGCGCAATCCACAAGAAGAAACGCGTCGGCCGCGGTCCCTCGTCCGGGCACGGGAAGACGTCGGGGAGGGGCCACAAGGGACAGAAGCAGCATGGGAAGGTGAATCCGTGGTTTCAGGGCGGGCAGACGCCCTTGATTGTGAAGCACGGCCGAAAAGGATTCACCAATTTGTAAGGCTGCGAGGCTCTTTTTGTGTTCAGTCAAGACCTTGCTGACTGGATTCTAGCCGGGCGCCAGTCATGTCTGAAGTGAACCTCGACCAGCTCCAGGACTGGATCGACCAAGGACGAATCGACCCGCACAAGCAGATTACGCCCAAGGAGCTGATTGAAAGCAAGCTGATCGGGAGCGTCAAGGACGGCATTAAGATGCTGTCGCGAGGCTCGGAACGCCTCAAGCAGCCCATCGACGTCATGGTGTCGCGGGCATCGGCCGGAGCCATCGCCGCCATCGAGGCAGCCGGCGGCAAGATTGTGACAAGATACTACACCAAGCTGGCCATCACGCGGCTGCTGTCTGGGGAGTCGGTAAACACGGACAAGCCGCTGCCCGTGGGCAAGGAGCACGTCGAGTCGGTGCTGGCCGAGGCGAGAAAGGCGCCGTTCCGGTACCGCCTGCCGGACCCGACGAGCCGAGCGGACATGGAGTATTACAGGGACCCGGCGCATCGGGGGTACCTGAGCCACCAGCTTGCGCCGGGACAGTCGCCAAGCTTGTACTACAAGGTCCCTGGGGTGTATAAGATCAAGAGTGCGCCCAAGGCGGCCAAGAAGGTGGACGTGGAGAAGCTTTGGTGAGCCGGGAGGAGGGGTACCAAGGTCCTTTGGCCTTGGTGTGTACATTTATTGCAAACAGGATGCATTGTAGTTTGCGGAGCCGTGCGTGGAAAGATGCTGCTGGAAAGGCTGTCGCAGTGAAGGGGAGGTCAAAGGGCCGTGTTGATGTCCTGAGGCGTCCCGTGCTTGGTGACGAGATGTGGTTGTATACCATTTCTGGAGACTCAGCCCAACGGCCGCATATAACACGGCGTCCTTGACGACGTATCATAAGCTTGATCAATAGTCGTTCCATGTGTAGTTGTCGCGTTGATTCTGGCTTCTTAATCACCAACTCATGCGCTGCTTTGTCCCTAAGACGGATGGCTATGGTGACGCTATGGTGATATTGAGGGCCGATGACTGTCGAATGGTATAGTCTCAAAACTGCTCGGAGCCGACCAATTCTGGACTTGAATTTGAACAGAAGCACGGCAGTGAGGCTCCCTCGATCTTTAATGCGTGTAAAAGTACGAGTAACTTACGGAGTATAACCAGTACAGACAGGGGTGAGCGGGCACGGCTGGGGAACGAGCGGGTCGAGCCGCCCTGAGACGACGCGTCCGGAGAGGCCAGCCCCAGCAGCGTACTGTACACCACTGTAGCTCAGTTGGTACTCCAGCGCCCTGCCCACTGTCCAGTGTCAGGAGCTTCTCCACTTCCAACGCCAGGATGACTTCACGCAATCATCCTCTGCGCTAATAAACAGCTCCATTGCTTGCATCCAAGCCTGGCATAGTCGTATCGTGTGCATTTGTTTCTTGCGTCTTGATTTCTCTCGTCAGCTCCTGGCGTGTCGTTTCCTCCCCCTCCGGGCCTCCACCTCGAGTTGGCTGCCTCTCGATCCATCACATACACCGCTCGCCCTCCCGAATCATCTAGACGACCGACCCGGCATCACGTCCGCAAATTCGCAGGCAGCCTCGGGATAGCTGCAAGAGCTCCGATAGCGCTTCGAATCGTCCATTCGGCCACCTGCGGACACGCAACAGGCGCCCACAGAGATCAAGTCGGGGCCCATCATGTCACTCTTCGGATCTTCCCCAACCCACAGCGACCGCGAGCCGACGACGCCGCAACGCCAGACGGGAGGCCCAGGAGACGAGTTGTTTGGCAAGCCGGCGCCGCAAGAGACGTCGTCCAACGACCTCTTTGGCGAGGGCGGTAGCGGGCGCGACGACGAACCCTCCCCTTGGGACCTGCCGACTCCACGCAAGCAGCAGAAGCGCGCCGACATGATACGCAACTTGCTCCCGCCTTCCGACGTGCCCGACAGCTACATCGAGACCTTTGACACCGTCGTGCGCGAGGATGGGAGCTCCGGACACGTCACGGCCGGCGGCGTCGCCAAGCTGCTGGCCATGGCGCGCCTTGGGGCCGAAGCCCAGGCGCGCATCATGTCCCTCTTGACCCAGGATGACGACGGCTCGTCCGTGTCGCTGGGGCGCAGCGAGTTCAATGTTCTCTTGGCCTTGATTGGACTGGCGCAGGAGGGCGATGTCATCAGCCTCGACGGCGTCGACGAGAGACGCAAAGGTGAGTTTCAACCGGATGGATGCGTGACATGATTACCCCTGCTCTCCTTTTGTCAGCTCGTGCACGATGGCATCCTCTCCACCTGTCTGTCCCCCTTTGTTCTCCGGTCAGGCCATTGATTGGCTACTCGGCTCGACCGTCATGTCCTATTATTCTCGACCCTGTCACGTTGGTGGGGGGCGACGCAGCTAATTGTTCAATTTCACACCCCCCCTTGGGACACAGACCTGCCGCAGCCCAAGCTCCCCGGCCTCACCGCCGAACCCATACTGCCGCCAGTCGCCGAGCTCGCCGCGAAGCCGGCTCAGATGCCAACCAAACCCCAGTTGCCACCGCCGATGGACGAGTCACAGCCCGCAATCCTGCGGCCGACCATGGACGACCCCATGGACGACCCCTGGAACACTCCCGAGCTTCACAAAGGCCACGACCACCTCAAGGCCAACGGCAGCGGCCGTCATGACGTGACCAACGGCCACGGTAGCTTCAGCGCCGCCTCGCTACCTTCGATGGGCGAAGTGTCGGTCACGAGCCAGTATGCCCCGCCTGCAGAAACGACGAGCTCGACCGAGGCCGCCCGCTCGAGCACCAACTCGGCCTCGGCGCAAGGCGGATGGGGGGGGTTCTACCAAGCCAGCAATTCCCCTGCCGCAGGCGGCTTCAACGCCAGTCCCCAGAACGTCGCTGCTGCCGTGCCTTTTGGCGGAGATAGCAACGCAGGTCGAGCCCCCGGTATCGATCCTCCTGCTGCCACGACCAGGAACATCGGCGGCCGCACCGGGAGCAACTTGGAGGAGAACATCCTCGTCACGCTGATGCCAGAAAAAGAGGGCATGTTCCTGTTCCAACACCACAACTACGAGGTCGCCAGCCAGCGCCGGGGAAGCAAGGTGATTCGCCGATACAGTGACTTTGTCTGGCTGCTGGACTGTCTGCAGAAGCGGTATCCCTTCAGAGTCCTGCCTCTCTTGCCGCCCAAGCGAGTCGCCGTCAACGGAAACCACTTGTCCAATGACGGTGCTTTCATCGAGAAGCGTAGGCGAGGCCTGGCTAGGTTCCTGAATGCGCTCGTGAGGCATCCCGTTTTGAGCCAAGAGCAGCTCGTGGTCATGTTCTTGACGGTTCCGACGGTAAGAGCTGTCACCGACTGGCATCCGCTGCAATGATGCTGACGGCAGCAAACCAGGAGCTCGCTGTTTGGCGCAAGCAGGCGACCATCTCCGTCCAGGACGAGTTTGCCGACAAAGCCCTGCCGCCTGGCTTGGAGGACTCGCTGCCCGCGACGCTCGAGGAGCTCTTCTCCCGCACCCGCTCCGGCGTGCGCAGATCGGCGGAGCTCTATATCAACATCTGCAACATCCTGGATCGCCTGGTGAAGCGCACTGAAGGCGTGGCCGCCGACCACGCCCGCGTTGCCATGATGCTCGGCTCTCTAACCGAGACGTCGTCGGACACGTACGCGACCGATACAAACGAGGTTCCGCTCCTCAACGACGGGCTCCTGGCCATGAGCAAACACCTGCGAACCTGCCAGACTCTGTTGGAAGACGAGAGCCGTGGCTGGGACGAGGGCGTCCTGGAGGACCTCAAGCGTCAGCGAGACGCGCTCGTCAGCGTGCGCGACATGTTTGACAGGCGAGAGAGACTGGACAAGGACAATATTCCTTACCTGGAAAGGAGGATACAGACCAACGAGACGAAGCTGACGGGTCTGCGCTCGAAGCCAGAGGGGGCGGTCAAGGCCGGAGAGATTGAGAGAGTGGCCGAGTCTATCATCAAGGCAGGTATACCCAAGGCGTTGTAGACGAAGCGCGTACTAACCAGCGAATACGCGCCCCCAGGACAAGGAATCGATTGTCCGACAGCACAACCAGTCCGTCTTTGTCAAGGAGTGCCTCCGCGACGAGCTCGTGACGTTCCAGTCCACGCAGTACCACATCAGCAGGTGGAACCAGGACTGGGCAGGCGAACGTGTCAAGTATGCCGAGATGCTGGCCGACAACTGGCGACGCCTGCTGGATGAGTTGGAGGGCATGCCGCTTGGAGACTGAGGGCACAATACGAAACCGTCAAGGGAAAGCGGCTGGCCGGCTCGTGTTGGATGAGTATAAGCCCCCTCTCCTCAGGGTCTCGCGAATCTTTTTGCAGCCATTTTCATTTGTTTTCCTTCACCCGGCGGCATGACAAGCTCAGGCGAGGAGATCCGTTTTCGAAGAGCTTGCCTGAGCAATGTGTATACATACATGCCTACGTATGCGCACCTATATATGGGACGAGCCACCGGAGAAAGGGGGGGTTGTTGGCAGGAGTGGAGGCTACGATACCCTTCGTTTTCTCTCTCATTGCAAGCTGCACCGTTTGTCTGATTTGAAGAGCAAAGTCTTTGGTTGGGAGAAGGGGGTTGAGCGTGTGTGGGTGAGTGTATATATGTACGTGGGTAATCACGCTCTCCTTTTACTTTTCCTTCCTCTTCCTCGCCCTTGTCTTTGTCGGATAATGGGGGCGTGTGCGCGTGTGTGTGAAGAGCGGTTGGGGCGACCGGCCACGAAGGCCGCTCACCACGCATCGGTGACGGCGCCGTGGCTCGCATCGCCCACGAGCCTGGCGTACTTTGCCAGGACGCCCCTCCTTACCCTTGGCTCGGGAGCCTTCCACTGGGCCCTGCGGCGGTCCCACTCGTGGTCGGGGACGTCGGCGTCGATGCGGTTGCGGACGGCGTCGATGGTGATGGCGTCGCCGTCGCGGACGAGGGCAATGGGCCCGCCGACGGCGGCCTCGGGGACGACGTGGCCGACGATGAAGCCGTGCGAGGCGCCGCTGTAGCGGCCGTCGGTGACGAGGGCGACGTTTGTCAGGCCGGCGCCCATGATGGCGGCCGAGGCGCGCAGCTGCTCGGGCATGCCGGGCCCGCCGCGGGGGCCCTCGTAGCGGACGATGAGGACGAGGTTGCCGTCGTCGGGGCGGATGCGGCCGGCGGTCAGGGCCTCGTTGAGGTGACGCTCGCAGTCGAAGACACGGGCGGCGCCGGAAAAGGACAGGCCCTCCTTGCCGGTGATCTTGGCGACGGCGCCGCCGGGAGCCAGGTTACCGCGCAGGACGCGGATGTGGCCCGAGGGCTTGATGGGGTCGTCGAGCGGGCGGATGATGGGCTGGCCCGGGTCGAGGCTGGGCCAGTCGGCGACGTTGTCGGCGAGGCAGCGGCCGGTGACGGTCATGACGGAGCCGTCGACGAGGCCGCGGGCGATGAGCAGCTTGAGCACCGAGGGCGTGCCGCCGACGCGGTACAGGTCCTCCATGAGGTAGCGGCCGCTCGGGGCCAGGTCGGCCAGCACGGGGGTGCGGTCGCTGGCGCGGGCGACGTCGTCGAGCGTCAGGGGCACGCCGGCCGTGTGGGCCATGGCGAGGAAGTGCAGCACGCCGTTTGTGGAGCCGCCGAGGACCATGGTCAGCACGAGGGCGTTCTCAAAGGCGGCGCGCGTCATGAGGTCGCGCGGGCGCAGGTCGTCGCGCAGCATGGCGCCGCGGATGGCCTCTGCGGCGCGCTCGCACTCGCGCGCCTTCTCGGGCGACTGGGCGGGAAACGACGACGAGCCGGGCAGCGTCAGGCCCATGGCCTCGATGGCCGTCGCCATGGTGTTCGCCGTGTACATGCCGCCGCAGGCGCCGGCGCCGGGACAGGCGTGGCGCTCGATATCCTCGAGCACGTCGGCGCCGGTCGTCGCGGGGCCGTGTTCGGCGGGGCCGGCGGCGGCCTGCAGGCGGCCGTAGGCAAAGGCGCCGGCGGCCTCGTAGCAGGTGCTGATGTTGACGTCGCGGCCGAGCAGGGCCGAGTGGCCCTTGCGGATGGTGCCGCCGTAGACCATGATGAAGGGCCGGTTGTGGCGCGCGGCGGCCATGACAACGCCCGGCATGTTCTTGTCGCACCCGGGGATGGAGATGTTTGCGTCGTGGTGCTGCGCTGCCGTGACGGACTCGATGGAGTCGGCGATGAGCTCGCGTGTCTGCAGGGAAAAGCGCATGCCTGTCGTCGGGCCGCCGGTGTCAGGATTCAAGGGGCACGAATATGGATTCAGGGGGGAGGGGCGGAGACGCGGCCAAGACGAGGGGACGTCTTATTGGGGTGATGGAGAGGAAACAGGACAAGACGGCTGGCTCACCGTCGCCGCCCATGGTTATGGCGTCCGAGACGCCGACCGTGTTGAACTGCCACGCGAGCATGTTTTGCTTCTCCACGGCGGCCTTGACGATCTTGCCAAACTCGAGGACTAAGGGGGGCACACGGGGTGCGCGCGCGGGTTAGAAGCTGCTCGCCTCGTCACCACCGCTCATGGTCCCGGGCGGTCCTCTAGCGGCGGTCTGTTCCCTCCTGAGAACTCACGATGTGTGCTTCACACGCTCAAGTCCTGATTAGCCCATGGTTATTTTGTTCCCGCCTTGCAATGTAGGGAGGGGGCGGTAGATGAGATGATGGACTGCCCATATATTGTTCCGTATACTGTTCCGTATACTGTTCCGTATACTGTTCCATATACTGTTCCATGTACTGTTCCATATACTGTCCCATATACTGTCCCGACTTCCAGGACTGACTGGCACGGCAGACTTACTTGCATGGGTTTCCCTCCCACCAGACGGTGGCGATGCCGACGTGCGGCGCATTCTTCATCATGTCGCGGCTGGGGACGCCGGCGCCGTACAGCATGGCCTATGGATCCATCGCACCGTGCGTCACGGCCTGTCAGCACATTTCGTCTCCCATGCACGAGAGACTGGAGCAAGAGGCTGAAGCTCAGCAGCGGCGTACCTGGGCCCCGGGAAAGTCGTGCTCTCGGGTCAAGTTGGTCGACCACCGGTTGAGGGGGCCGCCGGGCGGCAGGCACTTGAACTGCACGTAGTCGCCGGGCGCCTTGGGATCAGGGCCTGGGGCCGGGCTTGCGTCGTGGCTTGCCATGGTGCCGTCTGCGGCTGCGAGGGGAGGACGCTGAGCCTTGTATGCGGGTGCTGATGTCTACATGTATTTGTATAAACACGGAGCTGCCTAACGTCGTCGTCGTCGTCGTCAGCCAAGACTGCTGCGCTCTCCTCAGTTCGTCTTCTTGCACCTCTCGGGATTTCGACGTCGTGCCCCAGGCCAACCGAGGTCACCCCCAGGCGGGCGGGGGGGGGGCAGCATCTGCGGGTGGTTTGCTCGTGGCAAGTGGTTGGAAGAGGGCGAGATGGGAGGTTTCAGGTAAATTCAAAGATGTTGGACCGATACAGCCACAAGCAGTGCGTAGGACAAGTGAATGAGATCGGGGGGGGGGGGATACCCGACGGGGCTGGATTCTCTCGGCTACCTTTCTTGCGACTCGGGACCAGTGAGGGACCGCAACTACGGCTTCAGAAGCAAAATGTCAAGTCCAGAGACGGGGTGACGATGGATGCAGCAAGGAGGAGGTGAGGGGGAGAGAGAGAGAGAGAGAGAGAGAGAGAGAGAGTCGCCATCAACGGCGACCATCAACGGCGACCATCAAATGCGAGCAGCCCCTCACGACAGGTACATATGCGAGATACTTGAGCCATGGGGCCTCATTCGCCGCGTGTCCGGACCACTACCGTCCTCGGGCTTTGGGCGTGGCCGTGGGGCTGTACCGAGTTGGTCTGCCTGCCGTCGTGGACGGAGAAGCTAGCAGCTACCTGCTGAACTTGCATAGCCAATCACCCTGCCGACACTGTTGATACCATAGGCCTGAGTTTCCTTCAAGGCAGAGCACGGTGGGAGGACGTGAAGCCATTGCCTCGGTTAGTGCAAAGTATCAGTGAGAGCCTGGTTGTTAATGCCCGGGCCGCCATTCGTTCACCAGGCCTGCCCCGCACTCCACTTACACGCCATCACCGCCATCACCACCATCATCACCATCATCACCATCATCACCACGGGTCATCGCCAACGTCCAAGACCTCAAACGCGGTCCCCTCCTCCCACCATCGATCCATCGTTCGTTGCGTCGCCGTCCAAAACAATCCCCCCTCGAACCTCCGACGTCTCCGCCGCGCTGTTTGGGAAGAACCCGCTCTCGAGGAACCCGAACCGGCCCCTTGGGTTTCGGATCTCGCCATGCCGGAGGCCCCAGTGTCAAGCCTGCCTACCGATCCATCTTTGCCTCCAATCACCCGTCTCTCGCTCTTGGCTTGGCTTTGTTTTGTTTCATCGGCTCCGCTGCCCGTCTTCGGCTGCTCAAACCACGCCCGTGATGAAACCATCGAGGCCAGTCGCCGTGTCCCTACCACACTCGGTCCAGCTCGCTCGTCATCGTCGTCTTGTCTATTGTCTCTGGGTGCCAATCATACAGCTTGCTTCAGGTTTCGCTCAACCGACCAAGGTCGTGTGCCCAAATTCCAAACCCAAACGCCATACGTCTAAATGAACATCCATGTTTTCACATACATCACAATCCCATAACCCAGAACACGATCCCCCCCTGGCTCCCCTTTATCGCATCATGGGCTCCATGTCAACCCCTAGAATCGACGAGATCCGCGTCTTGTCCTGTCCCGCGCCCGGGTGCATCCTCTTGCGCTCGTTTTCCGGGCTGCCCCCCGGCGTCATGGGGTGGTTGCTGCCGCCGCGCTGGGGACAGCAGCTGCCCGTCTTCCACGCCTGCTCCAGAGCCATGGGCGGCACATTGGCCCCGTACTCGTCCGCCACCGCCGTCCAGAAGATGCTGCGGTGCGCCTCGTAGATGGCCTGCAGCCGCGGCAGGTCCACATGCCTGGGTCCATGCACCGGTGCCGACGGCGAAGAGTACCTCGAGCCCGTCCCGCAGTCGAGCCGCAGAGGTGGCCCTGGGGATTGGAACGGCGTGCTGCTGCGCGAAAGGCTCACCGGTGGTGCCAGGCCCTCGTGCGTCGGCTCCATCGTCATGGGGTACCGCTGCGGCGACTCGCTGCGGAGGGGGGGATACCCCATGGGCTCCGGTTTCGGCAGGATGGCCGGAAGCCGCGCCGGCCTGTCTGAAGTCATGATACTGGGTAGCTGCATGTCGCTCGTCGGCGGCGTCGGCATGTAGCCGCCTCCCATGCCCATCGCCGGTGAGAGAGACCGAGACTTGCTCATGGGCCTCGGGCTCGGCGCCAGTCCCGCGTGGCTAGACGCCGGGTCCGACGAGCCAGACGAGCACGATGTCGCGCGCTTCCGCCGCGTGCTACCGTGAGAGAGCTGGTGGTAGTGCAGCCGACATGCCAGCTCCGTCTTGTTGAGATGGGCTGCAATGTGTTTGTACGGCATCTTCTGAAGGCGAGTCTGGAGGAGATATGCTTCCTGTCACGCGCAAACCTGGTCAGCCGATTTTCTCCTTGCCACCACCACACGCTGCCTGGCTTACCTCGTCCTCTCTCCAAGCTCGACCGCTCCCAGTCAGGGCAATCTTCTTGCTCTTGCTCACCCCGCCCTCGTGTCGGTGAACCACATCCCTCATGGGCGAGTAGCGCGGCTGGACGGAAAGCATTTGCGTCTGAGACATGGTCGCTTCCTCCTGTGTAGTTCCGCCACGCGGAAAGTCTCCTCCGCGTCAAGAGACAGTTGCGTTCTTGGAGGCAACGGACACTGTGAGCCTCTTCCAGGTCCTGGGTCCCAAGACGGAAGCGGCGGCACAGGGTCAAGGGAGTGTTTGGCAAACGAGGTCGCTCTGCAAATTCGGTGTTGCCAACCAGCCCCAAGTCGGAAAGCGGGAAACGATTGTGTGAATCACAAAAGGGTTTGGTTCCAGCGCGTTGATATCTGATCAAGAATCGTCGAGTCCAGTGTCGTAAGGAGTGTCAGCAGCCAAGCCAGTTGGACGGTTAAAGAGAGTGGAAATCGGCTGCGGGATAAGCAGAAGCGAATAGAGTATGGAACGCAAAAAGTCTAGACCAAAACGAAGAACATCTCGAAACCACGAACAACGAGGGCAGAGGGCAAGTACTTACATAGATATAGATTTACAACGACTTGGGCCATGTCGGCAAAAAGGAACTAGACGGATGGCGGAGCCGCCCCAAGGCCCAGGCTCATGTGGCAGCGTTTCTGCAAAACAGCTCGGCCGGCGTCGACGTTCCGAGTCTGGGACAAGGTAGGCCAGGGGGCCCTTGACGTTGGCGACGTCTAGCCCCGTTACAGCTCTGGTTCGGCTGACGGTGCTGTGACAGACAGGAACATGGGCATGACATTGGGCCTGATCAATGACTTCGACACAGCCACAAGACGGTCAATGGCATTTGCTGGGGAAATCGCCGACTGGCGCGGCGTGGAGCCAAGGCGAACAGACGCCACCCCACAACAGGCGGGAGCGATTCCGATGAGGCTCACTCGACAGGCAGGGCCCCACCGCACTCGGCATAGAGGCAGACTTGCAAGTGTTCTCGACTTGGCTGCCCTTGGACCTCAGCCTCAGTCCTCTGAGTCGACCACCATGATGCTCTCTTGGCCCGCGTACCTATCTTGTGCATGAGGCTTCGCCCCCAAGCGTGTTTCGAGTGCAGCACCGGAGCACAAACCTCGATGGCATCTGGATTTCTCGTACCTGGCCTCCGTTCCTTCTTTCTTGTTCGGTTTATTGGCCAGCGGACGTAAGAGTCAGCTTGGCATCCGAACTAATCGACACAACGAGGATGCGGCCGTGGAAACTTCCGGTTACCAAGAGGGGCGTTTCGTTGCGCATGGCAGGAGGGGAAAGGGGGCATGGGGCCGAAGAGACCATCGGTTTGCAGCTGCGATGCGACTCTGCTGTCATCAATTTGCTGCCGCGGATTCAAGAAATGCAGGGGCCGACGGCGACTCGGTAGCGAGACCCAGGTGTTTGGTTTGAAGCAGCCACGTTGAAACGCAAGAGACTGTTTCCTATGCAGATCGGGTTTGGGACCAAACGACACACTATGCTGACACGGAGCAGAGTTGCCGTAGCCAGGAACAGGCGTCAAGGCGGCCTGAGCCAACTGTCAACATGAATCAGGCAGCTTGCCGTCATCGCTGAGCCTGACAAAGAAAAGAATGCAACCCAGGCACCGGCAGCGAGAGCCAGAGTCGTCGCGGCGGTGGGTTTGCCTGGGACGGGGGACCCTTGAAACTCGCCAACGCTGAGTCGCAATCTCATGACAGTATCAGCCTTGACTCAAGACGCAGCATATACCACCCCAAAGGCGAGCAGTGAAACTCCAAGCGGGCTGCAAACAACCTTAATCCACTCACTGGCCATTCCTCGCTCTTCTGGGCAATCGGCATGACAGTCCGTGTATGTAGGTGTAGCGCCGACCATGGAATTGAGGCTCAGCCGTCCATCCACTCCCAACCGGGCTGCAGCAACCCCCTTCCCGAGGTGCTCGTCATGGTTCCCGGCAGTCTCGGGGCGCGTGCAGGCGGCCAAGCTGCAGCAAGGGGAGGGAAACAGGAAAAAGGGAAGTGAAGAAGAAAGGCGCGCGAGTTGCCACTGGACCGACTTGTCCTCAGCCAAATCCTCCTCACCATTGCCGAGAGCGGAGCAAGCACCCGAAGCTCGGCGGCACCGACCCAAAGTTTCAGTCGGGTAATGGAACTAGGGCCGTTTCATGACCCCAATGCACGAAAAGGAGCCGGCTTCTTGGACAAGGGCATAAAGGCTTTGCGGCCACGATGGAGGGCGCAGTCGTCGAGGCCTTGCTCCAGTCTCGTCGGATCTCACCCCAGCTACCTTGGGAGGGCCAGAGCGTGGTCACCAATCTCAAGGCAACCTTACCATGTCCCCCCCCCCCCTCTCCCATGCCCTTCAGTTGAATGGATCGATCTGCCGGGGCTCGGGATTGAGCTCACTGGAATCGAAGGCCTATCGAACGTTGTTGGAAGGCGGCCATAGCCCCAGCTCCTGCATAGCAGAGCACGCCGCCCTCCTACCGTATCTTGAGTCGAAACAAACATGGGCTACATTTTCTGCGGACCAAGTCGAGTTGATTCTTGTTCCCCAGGAGCCGGTCGTCCGGTCGTATTTAGAGGTCCCCGAGTCTGACACGACTGAAGGAGACGATGCCATGCTCCCGAGATGCAGCACCTCGGCCTCTCCCACGACGCCCATGATCGACGGCAGACAGGGAGCGGCATCAATCCAGGCGAGCCAGGCCTACAGCATATCATCAGGCTGCCTGGGCACTCCCTAGTCTCCAGAGAACTCCCTAGTCTCCAGAGAACATGTGCGACCGGGGGAGGGGCACGGGTCGCAGAGAAGGCGAGGCTCGACGTGCCGGATGGAGCAGATGGTGAGCAATGTCGGCCGACGGCGAGAACGGGCGACGCCTCCTCCCCTTGGGTGATCCGCAAACCAAGAACTCGGCTTTGAAGCAAACGAGGCTGCCACGCTACAGTACCTTGTTGTAGAGACGGCGAGACTTGACGGGTACGATGCGTTCAAGTACCTCGACGATATGAGGCCTAGTACTCGAGGCCGTTGTACCCTCCATGAGTTGGTGGAGCTGCCGGCGCCGTTGCGAGCGTGGATGCGGCTCAGGAACATGTATCCGCTACATGGCACGCCGTCGCGCTGCGTACTTGAACTTGCTGCCGCACCGTCATCCGAGCTTCGTCTGTCGGGCCTCGTTCGCGGCGCGACCACGGGCCAATTCATCGCCAGGGGTGCGACGAGCAGCAAGTTGGCACCGGCGGCGCGCATCACGTTTGCGCCCGGCGCCGCGGGCCAGCAATCGCCTCTTCCATCCTCTTAACCGACGGGGGACGCGACTGGACGCCTCAGGCATCACATGCCATGCTGGCCTCACCAAGGAGGGGTCGGGGAATCATCAATCTACTTGGTGCGCGAAGAAATTACAGGAGACTAGAAACGAGCTCGACTTTCGAATTTTTCTCTGCTCTCATTTCCTTTTCCTTTTTTCTTCACCCATCCTCGCGGTGGGGGCTGCAGAGAAGGGGGGCAGAGATGACCGAACCAAGCCGCACCCCGGCACGATAATCTTTTTTTTCCTTTTTCCCTTTTTATCTCGGCTCTTCTCTGCGCGAGTTTGCTTGGCAAAGTGTGTTCACGCAGCAGCTCATACTGTGCGCACTTATGTACGCGTGGTATATCGCAGGAGCCGCCCGGCACCGCGTGTGGATGGCCTGATGCGCGAAGGAATGGCGATGGCTTGATGATGTACGGGTTTTGCAGAGGGCTGGAATTGGCGCGTGGTGCACGACTCCACCAACACGACGCTCTGTGATAGGGCCGGACCAATGGCCGGCGACCTGTGGGACCCGGGTGGCTACCTGCTCTTGTACAGTACTCGTGTACTGTACTGCACGCACTGCGAATCAGCACGCCGCATCCAGCCGCTGATCCGTGCGTTGTGTCTTGGCCGTGTGTCGGCTGATCTTGGACACGGCCTGGGCAGGGTGTGGCGCGGGTGCGCAGAGACAGTGCCTCCCCGGTACACACGGTGTGGTCACTTTCGCTTTGTCAAGCCACCCCTCCACAAATTGGCCCCACCCGAAAGTACTACGCCGTGCGCCTAACTTGGGTCCAGTTCTCTCCTCCCCTCACGCGCGTTCCCTCCTTGTCTCCCCCCCCTTCCGTCCACCCCCAAGCGAGGAATAGAGAGCGAGTGCAAGAGAAAAAAAAAAGGGGGGGATCCAACCAAGTCCAAAACCTCCAACACGACCACGGGCTACTACACTACATTACCTCCAAGGTACGCAGTACGAGCGCGAGTACAGAGCCAGGACAACCCAAAACCTGCCCGTCCCGAGTTACTTGGGCACGAGGTACTCATACAAACCGCCAGACTCGTTCCAACCTCGCTCCTGTTCCTCGCCCTCGTCCGCCCTCGTCCTGGTGCCGACTGCAGCATTGTGCCAGCCGGCTCGGGATCCACTGCATCTCCAACTCACGTCGACGACGCTTCATCAAGACCACCGCGGACTGGCTCCAGTCCTGTCGTGTCGTGTCGTGTCGTGTTGTGTCGTGTCCTCCAACGACACCACTGCACCCGGCATCGCCACGAGCGCCTCCCGCCGTTCACTGCACGCAGCCAGACGAGCCAGCCAGCCAAGCCAAGCCAAGCCAAGCCAAGGTAGCTGCTGCTCCCCGGTCCCTTCATCGCCGCCCAGCAACTCGACGTTTTTTTCTCTACCCCACGACCGTTTACCTTTTTTCTCTTACCCGTGTATGAGGTACTAGGCTCGTCAGTTTAGCCCACTCGCAGCTTCTCTTTCAATTGGCAAGGCGCCGGATTCAAGAGCTCGCAAAGCTCGCCCCTGGTCCCTATTCCCGCCCTCTACTCGATTCCTTTTTCGCCCGCCAGCTGGCCGCCAGCCACCGCTATTCAATATCGGGGCGCGCCATATCACATCAACTCATCCATCCACCACCACCAACCACCAACTACCTGCTTACCTTTCCCGACCTACCGCATCACAACTAGCCCGACCTGGCCATTACCTCCGAGGCGCAGGCCCGTATTACGCAAACCCATCGCTCTGCCGTCGACCATTAGTCCCGGGCCTCGGACCACTTGTGCAACCTGACCTTGCCTTCCCCTGCCACCCCCAGCTGGTTTTTTTTTTTTTTCGCGACCAAGGGAAAAAAACGATCCATAGCAGAACGCGCTTTATGCCACCGAGCTGACCCGAGGAATACTTTGTTCGTAAGTACCGCCTTTCCTCTTGTCTTCGCTCGCCTTGTCACTTCTCCATCTCTTGCACATTTCGCGCACCAAGAGGCTGCTGCTGCTCTCGTCTCGACGTCGCTCCGCCTTGACGCTCGCCGTTGCTGTCGCTCTCGGCTGCGGTCGCACGCGTCGACGTTTGCCCAGGCAACAGGCAAAAAAAAATACAAAAGGACTTGTTGCTTGCTTGGCTACACCAGCCGCGTCGCTGCAGACGAGACCCACGCCTGCCAGCTGACGGGCACTGGCCCTCGTGTCCTCATCAGAGCAACGCGCCGCCCGCCGCCTTTCCGCAGGCCCGCTCTCTGCCCGTCTGCCTCGCGTTGCGTCGTTGCGCGACCACCTAGAAAAACTTTTTTCTCTTTTGCTCGCCCTCAGGTCGATACTGACTCTTCTTCCGCTCCCGCCACCTCCAGATCATGCAGCAGTGGCAGGTCGGCCCCGTGCCGGAGTACGTCTACTCCAACTCCACTCACCAGCCCAACGACATGCAGTAAGTACAGACACTTCTTTGCTTGTCCCTGGTACTTGGCCTCGTCGTCCGCCCTCTCCATGATCCCATCTCGTCTTCCCAAACAAGTCACTTCTACTACCCCATGTATCCCATGTATCTGCATTCGCGCGGCCTTGTCCTTCTCCCTCCCGTTGCATTCATTCGACCCCGGCCTGCCCGACGGGCCTCTATCTGCCTGGTCTCGCTGGCCCCGTGTATCACCCATCATCACTTGGGCCTCCTCTTCGACACGCGAAGGCAGCCGTCGTCCTTCGCGATGCCCTCCGCCAGCCCTCCCCCCTGCCTCTGGTCCGACTGAGGTCACGACTTCATGCAATGCAATGCCATGACGGCTCACCGGCAAGACTGCTGACCGGCGTGCGCAAACAGCAACCATCCTTACCAGGCCGACATGGCCCGTCGCGGTGAGCGCATGGAGTTCCCCTACGGCGCCCCCCAGCCCAACATGGGGGCTCAACAGCAGCATCACCCTACGCCCGTCCAGCCGCCCATGAATGTTCCGCAGCAGCCTCCCAATGCGCAGGCCGGCAGTCAACAGCAGACGCCGACCCAGACGCCGGCGCAGCCAACTCGCCAGCGGAAACGCCCGGCCCCCAACGCGGCCCAGTCCCCCGCAACTGGGGCCCCTCCCGCTCCGGTTACCCCGAGCCAAGTCCAGCCTCCGGCGCCGACGCCTCCCGCTCCTCAATCTGCGCCTCCGGGCCAGGCCCAGGTTCCGTCTGAGGACGCCAACGTCACCCCGGCTTCACAGCCGCCAGCCAAGAAGAGCAGGACCAACACGCCTTGGACTCCTCAGGAGGAGCTGCGTCTCAAGCAGATGCGAGACGCTGGCAACAGCTGGGCCGAGATTGCCAAGGTACGGACTCCCACCTCCCCATGAGGTGCCGGGCCAGCCTGCTGACTGTCCCGACAGACTTTTCCCACAAGAACAGAAGGCTCTGTCAAGAAGCACTGGTACAAGGTGAGTCGTCCCCCCCCCACTTGGCGCGCACCACTGGTCCGCCGGAGCTTTCGCCGTACTGACTAGGACCCCGAACAGGATATGCATTACGCCGAGTTTGCCGAGGATGAGGTGAGATTTACCGTTCTGCACCTCCTCCCTCGTTTTCTTGGGCCGTCAACTGACATGGGCGACTGCAGAGCCAGGCTTTGTTGAACGCAATCAAGGAGTACGAGAACAATAAGTGGAAGGTCATTGGCCAAAAGGTCGGCAAGCCAGCCAAGGTACGTCGTGTCGACAGGATGGTGCCTCCACCGTGGAGAACGGGCTAACATCAAACAGGCTTGCGAGCAATATGCGAAAGAGCATTTCCCAGGCATGTTCTCGAAGGCTGGCCGGGAACAAGGGCCATCGCAGCTAGCACAGCTAGACTAACGCCACATTAGATCTCTTCGGCAGCACTAAGGGGAGGTAGATCGAAATAGCTATCTGATGATCACCTCTTTGTGTCGGATTCGCCAGATGCATCCAGGGCGCTCGTGAAATGAGGATGTCTACCCCTAATGGCCATCGCAACGTTCGATTTCTTAATCTGCGGGAGGGCAATACACTGGGCGTAGCGGCTTGAAGCACTGCGTCTTGCAAACCTGGCTCAGCATCCGCACCCTCTTATTGCTGCCAAGCCTGAAGGGAGGAGAAGAAGATGGTGCGGTGTGCCTGGTCCTGTATTTGCGGATCCCGAGATTGCTTTCTCTTCCATTTCTGTCGCAGCTTTCCTGTGTGTTGTTTTTCATTCTCTATTCCATTGGTTGGGCCTTTAGACGTTTGTACGTTGCGCTACGCCATGTCTGTGTCGATGGACGAGTCTCTGGAACCTGGTCAAAGCGGACGGCCAAGGCGGGCAACGGGAGGCGGTGGAGTATGAGTGGGGAGTGGCTTCCGAGGCCAGGCAGGCGGCTCAGCAAGCGGCTTGCACACGAACTACAGAGGCGAGGCTTGTGGGGAGTGGACGGGGTGGGTGGGGAAAGATTGTCCAAGGTCGGCTTTGGAGGCAGGCGAGAAATGACACGGTCCGGACAGCGTGGATAGGACTGCAGCGGAAGAAAGACCAGGCTGGGAAGGGGGAGGCTAAGGGGGGGGGCAGGGTTTGACATGTTTTGCCGCTCTTTTGAGACGCTCGCCAGGGATTTTCGTCGGTTGAAGGACACCAGAGATAGTTATACCCCTTTTGCCCTTTTCTCTCTGGACTCGCTGCAACACTCCGCAGGCATGGGAATAGGTAATGCAGGTACCGGCCGCGACTCTGGTTCCAAGTACCGACTCCATGTCAACTTGCTTTCAACGTCTTGAGCCCCGCAAGGTGGCTGGCTGACACGTGCAACCTAAGTAATATTAAGACGTTACAGAATTTAGCTAGAGGTGACATTGATGAGGCTAAGGTAAGGTATCCGTACTTGTAAGGCAGGACGTATATACTTGGGGACACGTCTGAAGGGTAGCGGAACCCGCAGTATGCCTGACTGTAAGAGCATGTGCTACGTTACTATGTACGGAAACAATGACATCTCCACTGATGGCTAAACATAGACTTGGTGGGCTTAGTCTAGTTGCTTAAATCGATGCATGTACAGTACATGTCTGTCGAGAAGGCGACCAAGGAGGTATCCCAGACATGCTTCACCCATTCCAGTCACTTTCTTTCTCGTGAGTAACGACATCCCCGAGCGGCTCGTCCCATCTAGGGCGCGGGACCAGCCGCATCCACCACCACCGAGCCAACGTGGGATGGCAGGAGTACCAATACTGAGGATGTGCGGCGACGAGGTCAGCGTTATTTGGTTGCCGCCATCCCTCGAAGCCGAGAAAGATGTCGAACCCGATGTGTCATTTTGGCGAACATATCCCGGGTCGAATAGGTTAGGTAGTTGCTTCCAGCACCAGAATCATGGCATATTGGTGTTCTAATTCGAAAACAGGTGCTGGTCCTGACTGCCAGCATTATTCCAAGGCGGCAATGGGAATGGACGGGTAGGTAGTCTTTGTCGACTGTCCAGGGTAAGCTAGCTAGCATGGCAAAGGCAGGTTGTGCAGTAGAGCCGCGTGGGGCCAATCAGTGGTGGAGTCGTACTCTGTACCGTAGGTAGAGTGGTACATGGTACCCGAGAGCCGCCTGCGTCTCAACCTGCACTGACGTCTGGAAAAAAAACTTCCAAACGCTCTTCAAATCTCAACCGGCTCGGCAAGCGACCAGTTGTCCCCGACACAGCTCAAGGCCGCATCGAACTCGCGAAATACACACGGGACGAGAAAGCACACGCTTTTCAAAGAAGCGAAAAAAAGGGGAACAGCATGAAGCGCAAACTCAACCAGGACGGCGTGCCATCCACAGAGCCGGCGGCGCAAAGTCCTAGCCGCCCCGAGAGGAAGGAAGAAGAGACGACATTTGCCGGCCTAGACCTCGACCCGAGGCTGTTGCAGGCCCTTGCAGAGCAGAGTTTCATAAAACCAACGCTCGTTCAACGAAAGGCCATCCCCTTGGCACTCAACGGGCAAGACGTGCTGTGCAAGGCAAAGACTGGGTCCGGGAAGACGGCGGCCTATGTTCTTCCCATCCTGGCGGGCATTCTGAAGCGCAAGAGTGTATGTTTTTCATTTCTCGCGACATGACTCTCGAGGCTCGGCCGCATTTGGGCATGCTAACGCTCGCCAGACCGACACCGATGCTGCCACCTCTGTCCTCATCCTTGTTCCCACCCGCGAGCTGGCCGACCAGGTATCCAAGGCCATCGAACGCTTCTCCTCCTTCTGCGCCAAGGACGTACAAGTGGTCAAGTTGACGGACAAGCTGTCGGATGCAGTGCAGCGATCTTTGCTATCGACGTCTCCCGACATTGTCATATCGACCCCGGCGCGGGCTTGGCACAATGTCAAGTCCAATGACTCGGCCCTTGACTTGAGCAAGCTCTCCCATCTCGTCTTGGATGAGGCCGACCTTCTACTGTCATACGGCTACGACGAGGACCTGGAGAACCTGTCGTGGTCGATCCCGAAAGGCATACAGACAATCATGATGAGCGCGACCCTGACGGCCGAGATCGACTCGCTGAAGAAGATATTTTACAGAAGTAACGTGCCAACGTTGCTTGATCTCGAGGAACCAGATGCCGAGGGCGAGGGAGTGACGCAGTTGGTGACAAAGTATGTGTGCATCTGCGCCGATGCATGCGATGCCTGCTTGCTGACAGGTCTTAGATGCGGCGAGGACGAGAAATTCCTTCTCGCGTACGTCATATTCAAACTCCAGCTGGTCAAGGGCAAGTGCATCATCTTTGTCGGCGACGTGGACCGGTGCTACCGGCTCAAGCTCTTTTTCGAGCAATTCGGCATCCGCAGCTGCATCCTCAACTCGGAGCTGCCCGTCAACTCGAGACTCCACGTTGTCGAAGAGTTCAACCGCAACGTGTACGACATCATCATTGCTTCTGACGAGAAGGAGGTGCTCGGCAACGAAGAACGGGCGAACGAGGAAAAGGAAGAGGATGGCGCGCAAGACGCGCAGGGAGACGATGGCACCGGCAAAGAAATCACTCGGGCGGCTAAGAAGCGCAAGACGTCCAAACATGACAGAGAATACGGCGTATCACGAGGTAAGGGACGCCAAGCCCCGCATCCAAACGTGGACTTGATGGCTGACGCTTGTCCCTTTCCCCAATCAAGGCATCGACTTCAAGAATGTGGCGGCAGTCCTCAATTTCGACCTGCCCACCTCTGCTTCTTCCTACACGCACAGGATCGGGCGAACGGCACGCGCAGGAAAGGCTGGTATGGCACTGTCGTTTGTGGTACCAAAGGAGCTATATCGCAAGCACATGCCCACGACGACGCCGACGGCCGAGAATGACGAGAAGGTGCTGGCGAGAATTACGAGGCAACAGACCAAGTCCGGCAAGGAGATTTCGCCCTACAACTTCAACACGAAGCAGGTGGAGGCATTCCGATACCGTATGAATGACGCGCTGCGAGCGGTGACCAAGGTGGCAGTGCGTGAGGCCAGGACTAGGGAGTTGCGTCAAGAGCTGCTCAAGAGCGAAAAGCTCAAGAGGCAAGTCCCGGCATGGAGCTCGCAGGGCCGGGAGGCGATGCTAACGACGGGGACGTGTGCAGATATTTCGAAGAGAACCCATCCGAGATGAACCACCTTCGTCACGACGGCGAGTTGCGAACGGCTCGGCAGCAGGCGCATCTGAAGCACATACCCGACTATCTCTTGCCCAAGGAGGGCAGGAAGGGGTTGACGGAGGAAGACATTGGGTTTGTGCGGCTGAGGGGCAAGGAGCGCGGGCAGAGAAAAGGAAGGCGGGTGAAGCGTGGCGGGCCGCGGGTTGGCGGGCGGAAGAGTGACCCCCTCAAGACGTTTAAGGCGCGGCGCAAGGCGAAGTGAGGGTGGTCATGGAGTGAAGTTTTCAGGCAGAGAGGAATGCGGGCAGTTCAGTCAGTATTTGGCATCTTGATGGGACTGGACATGCAGCATTCCCCGCACGACGTAAGAAGTCAGCAGTCGAGGCGATGGACAAGGGCAGGGGCTAAGTTGCAACGCTGGCTGTCAAGGAGAGATTAGAGGATGCTTAACCCACTTATGATCAGCTCCCGCTGCCAAGACTGCGCGAAATGAGCCGAGTTCTTGACGGGTAAAGTACTGTGCAGTCCAGTCAGTATTGGGTAGGCGCCGCTCAGGGGTCCAGGGATGGGGGCACGCGCATTGCACTGAACTGAATATCTGAGCAAAGTTTGGGCTTGGGGTCGTTATGGCTTGGGGTCGTTAACGATCTGGACCAAGTACAAAAAGGCTTGGCTTGACCGAAGGGTTTCCTTGCTTTTGTTGGTGGCTGTCTTGTCTGCTACTGTACTTACTGCAGTGCGCGGCGCGGCTAGAGCCGGAGCTAGCTGCCTTGTCCACGGGGTTCGGACCCCCTCCATTGTGCGGTCCTGTCACCTGTCACCTGTCTGTCAGCTGTGTCTCTCTACTGTACTCCGTACGGATACACAGGCCAAAGGTGACGTTACCTGCCCTGCTGCCCACCATGGAACTTGGCCATGTACTGTAGTACCTAGGTACAGTACAGTACAGTACCTTGGAGGGTTCATCTTTCTGGACTGGACACTCTGGTCCTGTGTCACGGCCAGGGAACCGAGCCGAGGTTGTCGCCTTTTTGCGGCGTGCAACGACCATGGCTGCCAGGTGGCACCGGCTCGCTGGTCGGGCCCCCGCAGCGCCGTCGTCAGTCGTTGCTTGCGGTGCGATGTGCCTGTCAACCGCAGTTACCAGTATATGCACGGCACGGCCAAGGCCGCAGCCACAGCACGCGACATGCTGTAGCACCTCGATCGAGTACCGCATCTGCGTTATACCTCCCTTGCAGGTCCACGTTTCCCACTGCGACAAGCACTAATTACTGTAGGGCAGGTGCTGAAATATTTCTCTTAGCCAAAGTCAAAACAACGCGCAAGCCGGAAGCGCCTCCTCGCCAGCGGTGCATGTGGTTAAGAGAACTATCTATCTATAGTTGGTACTTGGCATGTCCGGCTCCCACAACATGCCATCCCACTTCCATCCCTCATCCTCTCTCTCACTCCTTCCTCCTTCCTCCTTCCTCCTTCCTCACGCCTTCGTTTCGCCTTCGTTTTCATTGTCCGGCCACCTCTTCGGGAGAGACCGACTGGTCACGCACCCGCGACGCCTTCACTCGCTGGGCCGACTTGTCCTCCTCGTTCGCGCCTGCGCCTGCGCCACGACACACAATCTTTTGCGTTGGTCCTTCCATGATAACATTCCTCCTAATTTTAATCACCGTAATCACCGTTGGCCTGAGCCTGGCCTGAGCCTGGCCCTCGACTCTGCCTCACACTCAGCCTGACACATTGTTGTCGCCACCGACCGCTCGCATCCCGTCTTCGACTTTTGCATCTTGCTTCCATGTTGCGCTCCGCAACGCTCCTTGCCCTCTTGGGCGCCTGCTCTGTTGTCGCCACAAAGTGTTCGATTAAGCAACAGTGCCCCGAGGATGCGCCCTGCTGCTCGCGTAAGTCTCCTGGGCTTCCGTGTCTGGGCCTTGACGCAGACTGACCTGTCTCTCATCGCAGAATATGGCGAATGCGGAACCGGCGCCTTCTGCCTCGGCGGCTGCGAACCGCGCATGTCCTTTTCACTAGACGCCTGCGTCCCCGCGCCCGTCTGCAAAAGCACCACGACAAAGTTCAACAGCCTCGACAGCATCGTCGACATTGGCAAATATCTCGGCGACTCAACAAAGGCCGACTGGGTCGCCCAGGGCGAGCCGGCCATACACGATGGCAACCTCCTCCTGACCATGCCCAGGAAGAGCGTCGGCACCGTCCTCGCCTCCACTTCGTACATGTGGTACGGCACCGTCAAGGCCAAGCTAAAGTCGAGCCGCGGAAGGGGCGTCGTGACGGCCTTTATCCTGCTCTCGGATGTCAAGGACGAAGTGGACTTTGAGTTTGTGGGCGCCGACCTGGAGACGGCTCAGACAAATTACTACTTCCAGGGCCAGCTCGACTGTAAGTGACCTCGACGCCGGCAGACGACGACGCGGGCTTGGTGTCAGCTAACTTGTGCCGTCTAGATCGCAACGCGGGCAACATCTCGGCAAGCGACACGTTTGCCAACTTTCACGAATATGAGATTCGCTGGACGCCCGAGCAGATCGAGTGGTATGTCGACGGCAAATTGGGCCGAACCAAGCTCCGCAAAGACACGTGGAACGACAAGAACCAGCAGTGGGACTTTCCCCAGACCCCTGCCCGCGTACAGCTCTCGCTCTGGCCCGGCGGCCTGGCCAGCAACGAAAAGGGCACCATCCAGTGGGCCGGTGGCGAGATTGACTGGAACGCCCAGGATATCCAAAAGGCCGGCTATTATTATGCCACGGTCTCGGAAGTCTCCATCGAGTGCTACGATGCGAAAAAGGCGCCCGGCACCAACCGCGGAAAGAGCTACACGTACAGCGACGCCAAGGGCACCAACAACACCGTCGTCGACGGCGACAAGGACACGGTACTCGGCTCGCTAGAGGCCACGGGTCTCAACATGGACAAGGGCAAGAAGAAGGAAGAAAAGTCTTCAACCGATGGCGCGGAAAAGCCCAAGAAGACGCAAAACACCATCCCCGGCGGCAGCTCCGGATCGCAGGGCCACGACCACAGTGGCGAGAACAAGGGCGGCGGCGGCGGCGGCGGCGGAGGAGGAGGAGGAGGAAACGCCGGATCCAGCCAGGGAGGGGGCTCGTCGGGCTGCGATACCAAGAGCTTCAGTCAGAGTTGCGACGGCGACGGCAGCAGCACCAGCAACAACGAAGGTGGCAAGAGCGGCAGCGCCAAGGCGAGCGCAAGCGCGCTGGCCATTATCATTGCCGGCAGCGCCCTGGTGTGGTTGTGAGGCGGCTCGTGCGGTTGTCCGGTGGGAGTGTTTTGATGTTTGATGATTCCCCGGCGTGGAAAGGTTGGGGGGGTTTTCCTTGTTGGCCCGGCTTTCACGTGGTCTCGTCGCCTACTCTTGGTCTGTATTATGGCCTGTCTAGCCGTTTGTCTAGTTGGTACAGGCATTTTGCATCGTGTGGTGTTTTTTTTTCTGGAGTTGAGAGAGCGTCTGGTTGCCACACTTGGTTGGGTCTGTCCGGGACTGGTAATCGAGGGGCCGCTGAAGTAATTCCTTGGTCGCCTTGGGCAAGCAGGCGGATGGAACAGGACGGAAATATGTACAAATGAATCGAATACCAGCCAGGGATGCCCCTGAACCTACGGACGGACTTACAGTACAAAGAATGCTTTGAGTGCTTTGAGGAGGATTGCGGAGTTTGAGGAGTGTGACTGCACGTGACGGACATGTGGATCCATGGCTTGCTGCTGCGAAGCGGAGACATGAGCACAGGCCCCGTCTAAGCCACTGCCACAACGGACGGCCACGGCGTCGCATGACTAATCCGGTGCGCAAAGGCGCGAACACGCGAAGGGCGAGAAGCGCCAAGACGGGCCGACGCCGAACGGTGCGGGCGGTACCAGCGAGACGATAGCAGGCCAGGCGGCGGGACAGACCAAAGGCCTAACAAGGGCACGGTGCCAGGCTTCGAGAGGCGCGTGGGGGCGGGCGGCATCCACCTTGCACGACGCACGGCAGCCCGGGGGAAAGCAAGTGCCGCTTCTTGCTGGGCGAAGAGGACGTAAGGCCGACGAGGGACGGAGAGGAGAGGAAGAGAGCGAGGGCCGGGCCTTGTGTGTTTTGGATATAAAGCGGCCTTGGGGGAGGACGAGGATGAGGACGGGCGTCTTTTGACTTGGTCACTGCATCTCCAGCTTCTCATGACGCCCAATCGACACTCGTCTGCCTCTGTACCCTGAGCGCAGCACACAGCCGAAGACAAGCGACAGCAAGGCGAGAGAGAGATCAGAGGCTGAGCTCGGATCCGTACGGGATTGGACGGCGACTGTCGACTGCGGGCGGGCTCGATTCAAGACGCCATCTTTGCACCTCGGCCACCCACCGAGTCGCCAACCACCGCCATCGACTTGCACTTTGGCAGCAGCAGCATCATCATCACCATCACCATCACCATCACCATCACCATCGACACATCCAGAGAAGCACACAAAATGGCGGCCTCCCCAAAGACAATCGCCTTCTTCGGCGCCACGGGCGGCTGCGGCCTCTCGGCCCTCCGCCGCTCCGTCGCCGCCGGGCACGTGTGCATCGCCCTGTGCCGCACGCCGTCCAAGCTCGAGGCGCTGTTCCCGGACAAGCCGTCCAACCTGGTGGTGCGCGAGGGCAACGCGCACGACGCCAAGGCCGTGGCCGGGTGCCTGACGAGCCCGGCGGACCAGGGGCGCCTCGTCGACGCCGTCAGCTTCTCCATCGGCGGCGTCGTCAACATGGGCAGCCTGTCCATGGACGACCCGGACGTGTGCAAGAAGGGCGTCGCGGCGCTGCTCGACGCCCTCGCCGACCTGCGCGCATCGTGGGGCGCCCGCGGCCGGCCGCTGCTCGCCGTCGTCAGCACCACGGGCATCTCGGAGCACGGCCGCGACGTGCCGCTGCTGCTGACGCCCTTTTACCGCTACGCCCTGCACGCGCCCCACGAGGACAAGAAGGTGGCGGAGAAGAGGCTGTTTGCCAGCCAGGAGCGCTTCGTCATTGTGCGGCCCAGCCTGCTCACCGACGGCGAGAAGGCCGACAAGAAGATCCGCGTCCACGTCGAGGGCCCGTCGGGCATCGAGACCAAGGAGGTGGGCTATTTCATCTCGCGCCAGGACGTCGGCCGCTGGATGTTTGACAATGTCCTCGACAAGGCCGACTCTGCTGTCGCCTACGAGGGCAAGGCCGTCGGCCTGACCTGGTAGAAGGAGAGGCAATCCGAGCGTATCTTGGCCAACGTGGGGAGGGAGAGGTTGACGACGGGATCCATCTTGGGGCGAGCGAAGGGCAAGTTGCAGGACGAGATATCCCACCCCATAGACCAGCGGGCGTTTCCCCCCCCATCTTTTGCTCTATTTTCCGTTTGAGCCGTGTTGCACGGGATATGGTTTCATGCTGGATTTGCCGCGACGAATCTGAGCATTCAAGTCTGCAAGGCGGTTTCGTCTTGTTGTGTCGTACGAATTAGCAAAGAGTCCGAATAATGTCATTCCCATGTTGGCTCTGCCTGCCTGGGTTTTCGTCGGGACTGCACCGATAAAACATGCATGTATGTCGGCAGCCAAGTGAGTCACCAGCAAGCACCCAGCCACGATAGCTCAAGGCGGCTCCCGGTGAAGCGTGGGCGTCCAACCGTCGTGACCGGGAACGAGGCTCTCCCGGGCAAGCAGCCGCCACGGGATGAGCGGCCGGTGTCGGCGAACAGCGCAGGGTCAGTTCATGGCCCCCCCCCGGCCAGGCTTTAAGCGCCGGAATCGTGGCCACAGCGGCGTGTGCAACGCGCACTCTCAGTCCCCCCTCGTCTGAGACGCCAAGACAACGCAGGGTCTCCGCCGGAGACAAACATGCTTCTTTGTCCCGCGCGGCCCAATCTCCCCCTTGATCCCCCCTATCCTTTGTCCGTTGGGCGGCCCACGAGGACAACAACCACCACCTTGACCGCGTCGCCGCATGCCGGGCGAGCAGCGTTTGTGCTACGCGGCCGAGGGAAGAAAAGGACCGAGGCGCTTGCGGGGTGAACGAACGGCCCGTCGTTGCGCGCGCCTTTGACGCCGGCGGCGGGTGGTTCCTCGTCGCATCAAAGGGGTGGCGGCGCGGTTGCGTTGGGGTCTCTTTATCTGCTGCAGGGCGAGGCCCACGATGGTCGGGATATATAAGCTGGCGGGCTTGCCGTGTAGATCAGTGTCCTTGTTTAGAATCAGCAACGCACACACCAACGCTCCAACAGAGGGAGAGAGGAAGGACATTCCACAGCAAGGCTCACTCACAGCGCCGGCCATCGCTTCAACAACCCAGTGAAGCTGCCCATTCCAAGCATCGCATTGATATCGTCAAGTGAAAGAGACAAGTTATCCGGTCAGTCCGTAAGAAAAAGTAGACGAGAGAGACGCTGCGAAAAGGGGGCAGAGAGACTCTCCAGGACGAGGACGAGGACGAGGACGAGGACGAGGACCAGGACCGGGATTACGACAAAGACCAAAAAAAAGCAACACCAACTCCAACAACAAACAACACCAACGTCGGCAACAACACCCGCATCATGAGACTCCGCGTCCTCGTCGGCGGCCTCCTGGTCGGCACCGCAGCCGCGGCCCCGGCCACGGATCCCAAGTCAGAGGGCGGTGGCAAGGGCGGTGGCAAGGGCGGTGGCGGCGGCAGCCAGACGCGCATCCTCATGTCGGGCGAGGGCAGCATCATGCTGGGCACGGTGCGGGCGTCCGGGGCCGGCATCGACATCAAGCTCAACCACTCGACCAAGGGCATCCCGTCGTGGGTGGCGTTCCGGGCGCCCGACACGCTCTTCGCCCTCGACGAGGCGGGCACCGAGGTGCGGTCGCTGAGCGTCGACCTGGACCGGCTCGCGATCAAGGAGCGGCAGGCCTTCGCCGGCAGCGCGGGCCTGGTGCACCTGGCGCTGACGCAGGGCGGCAAGCGCATGCTCGGGGCCGCCTACGGCAACGGCTCCGTCGACGTGTGGGACGTGGCCGACGCCGGCGCCGTCAAGCAGCTCGCCTCGGTCAGGCTGCCGGGCGACAAGCTGGGCCCCAACAAGGAGCGCCAGGACAAGCCGCACCCGCACCAGGTGGTGCCCGACGGCGCCGACGGCCGGTTCGTGGCCGTGCCGGACCTGGGCACCGACTCGATCCACATCCTGGCCGCCCAGGACGACGGCGGCTACGCCCTCGTCAACCACGTCCCCGTCGAGCCCGCCGGCTGCGGCCCGCGCCACGGCGCCTTCTACCCGCCGGGCCCGCAGCCGGCGACGCACTTCCTGGTGCTGTGCGAGCTCAAGAACCTCATCAACGTCTACGCCGTCGACCGCGCCGGCGCCGGCGACAAGGGCCTGGCCATGACCCTGGTCCAGAGCATCTCGAGCTTCGGCCCGGGCGTGCCCCATCCCAAGGCCGCCGCCGGCGAGCTGGCCCTCGGCCCCGACGGCAAGGACGTCTACGTCTCCAACCGCCTGACCGAGGACCCGGACGACCACATCGCCCACTTCCGCGTCAGCCAGGCCTGCCCGGCCAAGGGCAAGGACAAGGGCAAGCGGGACGGCGCCAAGGCCGGGCCCGCCGGCGGCCTGAAGCTCGAGTTTGTCGGCCAGCAGCCCAGCCACGGCCAGAACCCGCGCATGTTCAGCCTGACGGGCGACGGCGCCCTCGTCCTCGTCGCCAACGGCAAGGGCGAGTCGGGCATCTGGGGCATGGCGCGCAACAAGGACACGGGCGAGCTGACGGCCGCGCCGCTGTGGAACATTTCCATGTCCGTCTTCAGCGGCAAGGGGCCGCAGTTTGTGCAGCAGATTCGCTGAGGGTCCGTCGTGTCTGCCACCGTCTGTCCCGGCGTCCTTCGTTCGTGGCCGACGCCGTCTCCTTTCTCTCTCTCTCGGCCTTTGGATACAGTTTTGGCTGGTACATGCACTGCTTGCGTTTGCTTTTGTTCTGGCTTGCGGTGCGAGTCTCTTTCACGTCTTTTGTCGTCCTTGTCTTCTTCTTCAGGAGGGGAAGCATGCATCTCTTTCAGCTTTTAGGTATCTTCGTTAACATCTTGCTCGTCATCCATGAACATGTTGCTCTAGTCCCGAGTCCCCCCTTTCTCTCTATGCCCGTGCCGTGTAATGCAGATGTGTGTAAAAGTCCAGCGTGGTGCGCCGCGATGCCGCTGATGATGCTACAATGCAATAAGCCGCAATAAGCCATGATGCAGGAGAAAGGAAAAATAAAAGACATTAAACGCTCCGCCTCCATCCAAAGACGAGGGGAAAAAAGGAAACGGTTTGGATCCAGCCGTAACCAAGCCCACGAGGCCACAGGCCCTCTCACCCTCTCACCCATGTACACACGCCTCTCTCTCTCTCTCTCGGCCCTCAGACGAGGCCAAACACGAGGGCGCACGCAGCGGCGCCGACGACGGTGACGAGCGACGCCGTGTCCAGCACCAGGCCGGACGCGGCGGCGCTTTTCTTGCGGCCGGTGCTGTTGGTGGCCGCGGCGCCGGCTGCTACGGCTTCGGAGGCGTCCAGACGCGTCTTGGCCAGGCTGGGCTCGTTGCAGCGGCCGGTCATGGCTCCGACGTTGGACATGGGGGAGATGGCCTCGGGGGTGGAGCCGCAGTTTGCGTGGCGAGCCATGTAAGTCATGTTGCGGTCGAGGTCGAAGACGACTGTCTCCCGCCGGGTCAGCCGTGCGTCTCACGTCGAGGCCAACACCGGAGCCCTTGAGGGGGGGGGGGAGGCCAACTCACCGTAGGCTGAGCGCAGAAAGGTGTCGCCGAGGAGGGAGAACTTGTCGCTCTGCATGAGGCCGAGGTAGCAGACGGGGTCCTGGCCCGGCTGCGCAAGCTGGCGAATCATCTCCTTGTAGGGCACAAAGATGGTGACGCCGTCAAAGCCAAAGTCGAAGCTGCCCTCCTGGTCCATCAGGCCGCAGGGCAGGCGGTAAAACGTCTTCTGGAACAGGGCGGCCGGGTCGTCGACGGCGGCGCCGAGGGCCGTCGCCATGGCGCGCACCACGGCGGCCGGCAGCAGCGTCAGCGTCGCGCCCGTGTCGAGGAAGACGGGCAGGGCGCTGCCGGGCAGGGGGTCGGCCGACGCGGGCCGGCCGGGGCCCGTGTGGGCAATGGACCGCAGCGAGACCCAGTATCGCGGCACGCGGTCCGGCGACTGGGCGGCCGGGATGATGGGCAGGGGCGCCAGGCGGCCGGCGAACTGCGACGAGTCGAGGCCGCCAAAGGTGATGGCGCCCCGGGCCGTGTCCTTGGCGCCGAGGGCGACGCTGAAGGCCTTGGTGCGCGTCAGGCCCTGGCGCGCCAGCTCGTCGAGGAAGGTGTTGTAGTTGACGGCGATGTCGCGGCCGAAGCCGATGCCCAGGATGCCCGAGAACTGGTCCTCGCTCGCGTCGGCCACGCCGAAGCGCACCTGGTTCATGACGTCGCGCGAGCCCGGCAGCGCAATGTCGTCGCGCACGTAGCTGATGTTGGCCGTGCCGATGCCGTACCGCAGCGACCTCTGCTGCTCGATGCGCCGCGCCGTCTCCGACTGCCCGGGCTCGTACCGCTGGCTGTCGCGGCAGAAGCTGACGTCGCCCGGCGCCGTCAGGTTGCCGCAGTCGGCGTTGACCCAGAGCTCGAACGAGCCCGTGTCGAGCTGCACCCGCACCCTTTGCGGCGGGTTGCCGATTTCCACTGCATGCCCGCCCCGTTGTTAGCCACGAGTACGACGACTTCCTGTCTGATATGGGGACGGGTATTGCGTCTATCGCGTCCCCCGCTCAGGGGACAGACGCAAGAAGCGCCGAGACAGGAGCGGGCTCACTCACGCTCGGTGTAGTAGGCCACGTCGGACCGCGTCGTCAGCGGCGAGCTGAGCAGGCCCTGCCGCTCGTCTCGCTTCCGCAGCCTGGGCGCCGCGCCGTGGAGGACGGGCAACGACACGGGCCCTGCCGACGCGTGTCCAGCGCGCCGCAGCTTGTTGTTGCCGTTGTCTCCGTCCGAGGAGGAAAGGGGGGACGCCTTGTCTCTCCCAGTCTCTCCCCCTTTCCCGCCTTCCTCCTCCTCCGTATTTCGTTGCCGCCGACGCCGACGCCGACGGCCATCCGCCACATCTCTGGCCCGGGCCGATATGACGGGCAGCGTTCCCATGGCAGCGCTCATCTTGAAGCCTGGCATGCCTCTGGGTGCGAGGTCGTCCGAGGCGAGTCCGTCGGCCGCGGGAGCCGCCGCCGCCAGTGGTAGCCGCCGGTCCAGAGCGCCATATCCGAGTTGCGGGCTCGAGCGCGCCGGCAGAACGAGGGTCAGGAAGACGGCGACGAGCAAGGGAGGCGCCATGGGGGAAAGGCAAGTAAAGGCGGAGGAACAGCAAAAGGAGTGAAGGCCGTCAGACCGGGAACACACATGAAGACACACACGCGCGCTCTCGCAAAACCCCAAGAGAGGGGGAGAAAAACAAAAGCCCAAAGACTCAGCAATGCATCACGGCTACACAGAGAAAGAACGGACCGAAGCCAAGAGGGGACGACGGAGGGTATATCAGGCTGTCGACCAGAGGGGAGAGGGATGGGGGGGGTGCAGGGCCGTGGAGATGAAGAGGTGAATCCATCCGTCCATCAAGGCCCCTCTCTTTGGCCGTGACAGACCGGAGCAGAAACGGGGTTGGCCGCCGTGATCGTCGTCCCAGACGCGAGAGGCGCAGGTCTCACTGCGGGTGGAGGAGCCGGGACAGCGCAAAGGCATAAAGGCGGATACGGGCGAGGCGAAACCTGTCAGGAGAGGCGCACCGAGTGGGTTCCTCGTTCGGGAGGCGGCGGCGCTAGGGGGATTTGCAAAGAAGATGCCTTACCTTCGGGCGAGACCTGAGTGTTTCAGGCGCCTCGAACGCTCTTGTTGCCTCTTGTCCGAATGCCGCCGTGGTTGACCGAGAGGGCGGCATCGCTCAACACGGCCAATGACAAGCCCACGACCCGAGCGCATCATCAGCCCCCCTGCCGATGATCGACTGCCGTCGAGGGCGCGTCTACCGTCCACAAGAGTTTCACCAGAGAGGCGCGAACGGCCGGCGAGTCATCAAGATTCGGTGGACGGGGGGGAGCCCCGGCTGGACCCGCAAATGTGGGTCGCCGGAACACGGACGAGCCGGCGGGCCCCCGGTTCCGACTCCGCAGTAATATCAGGGCTTCCATCCAATTCAGTGCAGTTGATAATTAGAGCCGTGTTTCGCGGTGACTCGCGTGCGCGCAGCCTCCTGAGTCTCTGTCCGCCTGCAACTCGGGCCTCAGTTTGTCTCAGGCCGCTCCCGGTTTTAGACTCGTCCAATGCAAACAAAGTGGCTACTTCTTCGTCTCCGCCTTTCTACTTGTATTTACGCCCCTCTCTCTTCCTCTCTCTACATCACCCACCCTCTCTCCTCCGTCACGAACTCGACCCTTATTTAATAATCCCGCTTTCCCCTTCCACGGGCCCATGCAAGTCAGGAATACTCTCCCGCACGCTCGACTCTCTCTCTCTCTCCCTCTCTCTCTCCCTCTCTGGCTATCAGTCTCTCTCTCTCTCTCTCTCTCTCTCTCTCTCTCTGGCTATCAGTCTCTCTGGCTATCAGTCTCTCTCTCTCTGGCTATCAGTCTCTCTCTCTCTCTCTCTCTCTCTCTCCCCCTCTCCCATGTTGCATTCCGCCACCCCCTCCCCCTTTCCCAGCCTCTAACCGTCTCGTCTCCAGCGTCGTCGGGCTTACCCCCAACTTCCATCATCATAAGCCCCATCTTCCCTCCTCCCTCCACCCAACAACCTTCTTCCTCCAGCGCTGCCCGATCCGACCCTCCTCGCTCGGGCCCCCATCTTTTTTATTTCTTCTTTGGGCCGCGTGCCCACCCAGAGCCCCCTTCTTGCTGGCAAGTAAAAGCCGTGGACGCAAAATGGTGTCATGGACTAGCCGACTCGGACTGACGATGAGTTGTCCTGCATCGACAAAGCCTTTGATGATGCCATCCATCAGTGATAATTCGTGACAATCCCATCTCCCACGCCGCCAATCCCCCCATTCCTCTGCCCATGCACGCCCTCGCCAAAAAGACCAGGTGATGACGGTGATGCTCTCAACCATGACCACGTAACAGGCTGTTACCCCACGCCTCCTCGCCATTGGGCCTCTGCGCGAATCGGCGCCGACCAACTCGAGCCTGCATGCAGCCATGCCCAGGCCATTGGAAGAACTTCTTTTTCCTTCTTCTCGCCTGCAAGGCAAGTCGCAGATGCACCCCCGGTAGGAATGCATGGCTCGTCACCCACCTTCGCCTTCCCCCTGCCCGTAGATTCATCACCCAATCTTTTATATTTCTCCCCTTCTCACTCCCAATCTCCTCGGATAGGCCCCGTATGGAGGCTGGGGCAAGCGGCGACTCTGGCCGAGACTCGAGATGTCGTCTCTTCTTTCCTTCGTCCGTCCTCCGTCATCGGGGGCCAGAGGCTACGACGAGCACATGTAGGAAAAGGAGAACAAGAAAAACAAGATATTGATTTACCTCGATATTCGGTTCCAAAACAAAATGGACGAGACAGGCACGGAAGGAACAGAGCCCATCCATGAATGAACGACCTGCAGCCCCCCCTCCCTCCCATTCTGATTGTTCGCCAGAGCCTCCCCGACATCGTCGATCCCCCCATCTTTCCTTCACGCCATATCCTCCTCCTCCCTCTTCCCCTTCTTCTTCATCTTCTTCCGCTTTCCCTCTCCCACGCCCCCCCCCCCAAGCCCTCTTTGTGAGCCACCAGCGTCCCCGTCTTGAGAGAGCGGCAGGCAAGGCCCGAGCCCGAGCCCAAGCCGCCGCCATCATCATGCATGTCCTGCCGCTCTCTGGGCCTGGCCCTGGTCCCCGGTTCGTCTCATCTTCCCTGCCGCAGCGCCGCCAGTTCTCCGAAAACGCCGGCGAAAACGCAAATGTCCAGATCGGCCTTGTCGTCGGCCTCGTCGTCGGCCTCTTCCTCATCGCCTTTGGTGCCTTTCTCTACATCTACCGCGGCTCCATCCGCTTCTCCAACCGTCGCCATTCCCGCCGTGGGCACCGTCATCGGCGCAAGTCGGCCAGCAGCAAGAGCTCCCAGGCCTCAAAGGCCTCCGATGCGGCCCCGGCTCCGCCTGACGACCCGCCGCCGCCCAACCCGGACGAGCCAGCGGCCGATGCTTGATGCTGTCATGGGCGAGTGGCGCCGCGAGTGGCGCCCTTCAGCTCATGAGTTAGCCTTTGGCTGCCCGCCTCCCGTTTTCTATTTGTCCTCGAAGCCATTCTCACCTTGACCTGTTCTTTCCCCTTTCTATGAGCACTTGGGCATAGTCGTACAGGTGCCATTCTTCTTCATCTTCATCTTTACCCTCTTCTTTGTAAAACATGGGCTGCGCTTTTGAGAGCCGAAAAGGCGCTACACGAACTAAATGGATGGGCACATGCGAAGGCCGGTGTAAGGGATTTTTATGCCTAAAGGACAAGTCAGGGAGGACGGGATATTCTCACCATCTGGAGACGCCAAGCTAGTTTTATGTATTCATCTTCAACTCGCAGTGCAAGATTCTATAATCGGTTTCCCCATTCGCATGCCGCGTGCCACCATGCTCCCTCCCCCCTCTTCTCTTCCATCCGCGTCGGCAAGCGTACGTCAGGATTCCGAATGGCCGACCCGATCACATCGCTGCCTCCCCGAGGGAGTCACTTGTCGCTTAGTTTGGATCCCAGCGACAGTACGTCGCCCGGGGCATCTCAAGAATGCCGTCGATCGGTTCAGGAACCAACTCAGGGTTCGCCGTATCGCCTTTGATGATCCTTTGCACAGCATTAGGTCTCCGAGGAACGTCAGGCTTGGGTGTGTTCCTGTCGCAGTTGCCGTTGTCGTTGCCGTTGCCGTTGCGATTGCCGTTGCGATTGCAGTTTTCATCGCCATTGCCGTTGCCGTCACTGTTGCAGTTTTCATCGCCCTTGCCTTTGCGCTTGCGCTTGCGCTTGTGTTTGCCCTTCGATGTTCCTCGTGGACAATGAGAAACAGGACGGCGGAGTATCTCGTCGCCCTTGCCCCGGTGCTTGATGTAGAGCCAGATGAACAGGATGACGAACCCGAAGACGAACGCGATGACCAGGATGCCGAACTTGGCGTGCGAGCCGCTTTCACTCCGACCATGGAGACGCCGCGCGCCGAGCCCCCTCCGGTCAGGAATGGGCGTATGGCGCAGGACGGGAATGCAGACCATGATGCAGGCGTTGAGGATGAGGCGTGGTCTATATGTTACTGACGGGCTGTTCCTTGTCTCGCGGACGATGGGGATGCTTCAAGCTTCGAGTAGCTGAGCGAGTGGGGAGACGAGGTGAAGGCAGGGCAGATGTCAAGCGTCGAAAGACGACATAGTTTTGTCATGAAAGGGACCTGCAGCCTCCGCCTCAATCGAGTTATGGATCCGACGCCAGGTATGCCAGGGCCTCGTTTCTCTTAACCCCATTTTCACTTCACTCACACGCCATGAAACACCAGCTATCTAAGGCGCCGGTCTTCGCGACCGACTACGAAAAGGCAGCCAGCCTTGTGTTTCCGTCTCCGGGAGCAAAGAGACGGAAAACAGGGAACCGGGGGAAGAGGAAGGGCAAACAGTCAGTGCGGACGGCGGCGAGTGACTTGGCCGCCTGTACTCATCACCCGTCAAGGGGGCAATTTTGCCCGTCGCGTGATCCTTCTTGCTCTCCATTTATGTCGCTGGACAGGCCATCATCGGACGAGGGGATCCAAAGCATTGCGCAGCTGGGGGAGGGGGAGGAGACTACCCGGATGGCGGCACGGCAGACACGGCAAGGGGCGGAGAATGTCAAAGCGAATGGCGGCCTCGTTGTCCATGTCCTTCTTTCGAGGGGCTGGCTAGCCCAATGGTAGGAGGGGAGAGGAGAGAGAAGCAGACGAACGGCGTAGAGAAAGGGCGCTCGAGCTGTCACGAGAGGAGACAAAGCGGGAGACGGGAAGCTGCAGACGGGAGCCAGGCTGGCAGCGGGTTGCAAGCAAGAGCGCGGCGGGCACGACGTCGCCATCAGCTGGTTTGCTTTGCTGTAGCCTCAAAAGCTGTTGTTTTTGCGTTTCTTGATTGACTCTGTACAAGTCGACAGCTGAAAGACAGACGTTGGTCGTCGCAACAAGCTTGTTTGTCGAGCGCTTCACTTGAAGCCGTCGTACGAAATGTTACCGACAGGGTCCTAACAGACGCTTGGGACGTGGCGGCGGCTTGTACTTATGGTGCGTGCTTGTTTGTCGCTGATAAGAGAAAGTCTGGGTGTAAGAGATGGGGAGCGCGAGGGCCCATGGCAAACCAACGTTTCCTTGGGATCCGTCAAACTCGCTTTGTCCGCCTCGTGTCCAGTGCCACGGCTGTGGACGCTCGTCCTTCCAGCATGTTCCATGGGGTAGCGATGCCGGGTGTCGTGACAGCAAGCAATGTAATGGTATGATGCTGGATCGGTGGCGGTGGTGGTGGAGGTGGAGGTTGTACGACGAGGCATCGTGAAGTTGCGGCTGAAGCCTTGCTTATGCTCGGCTTTCCTATTCGGGCCCCCTGCGCTCTTAGTCATCAACCACTAGCCAGTCTCATGACTTGCACTAACTAAAAGAGCAACTCCGCAGGGACCGCCCCGCCAACTCTCACCGCGGAGAAAAAACGGCCATCACGAAATGTTCAAGCTTCTGCCCCTCGTATATATGCCATGTTTTCTTCTGCCGCCCTCCTCATCCACTATTTTCTTCCTTTTTTTCATGCTTTCACCACCCACCCTCCCCCACGTCTTATCAACGGTAGAGCCTGGCTTCCCCTCTCTTCCTGCCTCCTATGAAAACAAGCTCGGCATGCTCGGACGACAAGATCGTGTGTGTAGCGAGAACCGTAGATAGTCAAACAACGATCAAGACTGTTAGCACCTCGGCCATGCATGACCCCTGCCTGCAGAGACTCTCGGAGCCTCCACTCGTCCTGAACGGCGGCGCTACTGGATCGCGTCCTCCACCGGCCCCTTGACACTCACGTCACGTATCCACACGAGCTCCTCCGACGCCGCCGCCGCCCCCTCCCCCTCCATCCATCCCATCCGTCTTCCGTCCCCCGTAGCTTGTCATCGTTCTCGGCCTCTTCCTCCTTGCCCTCCTCCTGCCCCCCCGACCAACAGCTCTCTTCGTCCGACTACACTCAAATCTCGACAGCTCAAACCAATATAGAAGCAAACATGTCTTCGGGGCGCACCGTAACCCTCAACACGGGCCACAAGATGCCCAAGATCGGCTACGGAACCTGGCAGGCCGAGCCCGGCCAGGTCGGCGATGGCATTTACGAGGCCCTCAAGACGGGCTACCGCCATCTCGACCTCGCCAAGATCTACGGCAACCAGCCCGAGGTCGCCGGGGGCCTCGAGCGCGCCCTCGCCGACGTCCCCGGTCTCAAGCGCGAGGATATCTTCATCACGTCCAAGCTCTGGAACACAAAGCACCGCCCCGAGGACGTCGAGGCCGCCCTCGACGATACCTTGACGGAGCTGAAGCTTGACTACCTCGATGTTTGTGGCCTTCACCCGTTCTCAGGACTAATACCGCACTTCTCTCGCGCAAACTGCAGACAAGGGACAAGGTTGAGCTGATCAAATCCCCCGTCAACAGCTCTATCTGATCCATTGGCCCATATCCTTCAAATCCGGCGATGACCACTTCCCCAAGGCCGCCAAAGAGGGTGACGTCGAGCTCGACCAGGGCGTCTCCCTCTGCCAAACGTGGAAAGGTTCGGCAACATCCCGGCGTCTCAGGGAGCCCCTGACCGGCTAACATCCGAAACCTGCAGCCATGACCCAGCTCTCCAAGTCCAAAGCTCGATCCGTCGGTGTTTCCAACTTTACCGTCGAGCATGTAAGTCGACCCTCGTTCTGGCTGCCGCTTCTCCCCTTGAAGAGCCCTCGTGGGGAAATCGCGCAACCAAAATACCTTTGAGCCCGAAAGGACCTCAAAGCATCGCTCACACGTCCCTCCCCAGCTCGAAGCCATCATCCAAGACACCGGCGTGGTCCCTGCCGTCAACCAAATCGAGCGTCACCCACGCATCCCCGACCCCCGCCTCCTCGACTACTGCGCCAAGAAGCATATCGTCACCACCGCCTACTCAACTTTCGGCAACAACCCCTGCGGCCTGCCTCTCCTCGTCAACGCTCCCGAGGTCCAAGCCGTCGCCGACCGCCTCTCCAAGACCCAGGGCAAGATCGTCACCCCGGCCCAGGTCATCCTGGCCTGGTGCACGAGGGGCAATCACACCGTCATCCCAAAGTCGGTCACGCCCTCGCGCATCCGTGAGAACTTTGTCGACGTCGAAATTGATGACGAGGCTTTTGACGCCATCGAGAAACTTGGCCAGTCGCCGCAGCGCTTCAATGTTCCATATACAAGTAAGTGGCCTTGCAGATGTGAGAGGCCAAGCAAACGCATCACGGCTGACCCCGGATCGGCTCAGACAAACCTCGTTGGAACATCAACGTCTTTGGTGACGAAAAGGAAAAGGACGCCGCCAACAAAGTCATCGTCAAACTGTAGAGGGCTGGGATTGGCCGGGTGCGATAGCCGCTGGACGGAATCTAGAAACTCGTCATATTCATCAACACGCATATAAAGTGATAAAAGTGGTGTGATTTGTCCATAGTCAGTGCAAACACAGAGACGCCAATCGTCGTTTATGTCTCGTTTGTCTCGATCCGCCGCCGATATGCAAACTCCGCGTCCCAAGGATGACATGCGCCCGTCCGGATGCAGCAAAGCGTCTCCGCGCGTGCCCATAGCTCGTGAATAGCAACCACTATCTAGCCAACTCTTGCTTCGGCCCAGTCTCCGCGGACTAGCTCAGCAACTCCTTGATGTCTTCGATACGCTGCAGCTTCTTCTCCTCGTCGCTCATCATTCCTAGTGAAGTTGCGCTACCACAACTGTTAGCATAATTCGATCCCAGGTAATTCATCCAGGCCCAGACTTACATAAACTTCTTCCTCTCCTGAATCCTCAACATCCTCTCCTCCACGCTCTCCTTGACGATGAATCTCTTGACCAACACCTGCCCCTCCTGCCCCAACCTGTGTACTCGGTCAATTGCCTGCGCCTCAACGGCAAAGCTCCACCAGGGGTCCATCATGAACACCCTACCGGCGCTCGTTAGGTTCAAGCCGACGCCACCCGCCCGAAGGCTGATGAGTAGAACCAGAAAACCTTTCTTCTCCGCAAACTCGTCCAAGACGGCAGCTCGCGCTCGCTGGGCCATGGTGCCGTCCAAGCGCAGGAACTTGATGTTTGCTCGCAAAAGAGCTGGCTCAATCAAGGACAGAAACGACGTGAACTGGGAAAAGATGACAGACTTCATGCTTGGATGCTCCCTCCGCATGTCCCGTAGGTGGGAAATTAGCGCCGCCACCTTGGCCGAGGATTCGTTGACGCCCAACCGTTGAAGGCTGATGCGAGGCTTGGACAGCGCATCCAGATCGTCATCGTGTCGAACCACTTCAAACAGATCCCTCTTGTTGAGAGGCTCGCGACAATTGAAGCATCGCGGGACGACGCCACGATCGCTTTCGTGATTCATGAAGTCGAGTAGACACTTCTTGCAGGCCGAATGCCAGCAGCCGGTAACGAGCTGATCCTTCATCGGATCCTCAAAGCACAGCGTGCACTCTTTTTCGGCTTCGTTGCGTATCTCCTCCAACGCATTCGTGCCGTACGCACTGCTGTTCTTGACAGCTTCATCCGCCGCGGCTGTGAACTGTGTGATGAGGGACTCAAGGTCCATGTCGTCGGCCAAACCAGCCGCTGCATCTGCCGCAGCTCCAGCCACCTCCTCATCCGCGACAATGTCCTGGTTACGGACCATGACTGGATGACAGCAGGATTGGCGCAGCCGCAGAATCTGTGCAAAGATGGTGGTAAACGCCTTCATGACGGTCCCTGCCTCGACATTGTTAGACAATGTCCGTTTTGCCTTCATGAAGATGTAGTCGTAGATTTCTCGCTCCGGTTTGGACAGCTCGACATTCACAATCTCAATCTCTTTGGGTGGGAGCGTCACCAGCGGCTCGCCGTTCGGGGTCTTCATATCCTTGGTTCGCCGCATGACGAGCGGCTCCAACACCGTCTGTACAACGTCGAGCGCGCGCATAAAGTCCCCGGCTTCAAATGGCAACGTGATGAAAGTCTTCCAGAACGAAAAGTTGTTCCAGGGCTCGACTGCGAGGAAGCGCACAAGACTAAACAAGTCCTCAAGCTTGTTGACGATGGGCGTGCCTGTTAGCACCCACCGGTGATCGGCAGATATCTCGTAGCACGCTTTGGCGGTCTTTGAAGCTCTGTTCTTAATGTGATGAGCCTCGTCAAGAATGACGCGGAAGAACCTCAATGAGAATAGACCGTTGTGAAAAGACTTGTCGCCGTTCTTGGCCGCGATGCTGCCGAATTCCGAGAGAACGATGCCGTAGCTGGTAATGACGAGATCCGGAGCGCTGGAAGCATTCGCGCTGCAGCACAATGCTTGAAGGTTGCTTGTCTTGTCGTTGCCATAGTACAGTTCAATTTTCATAGTCCCTTGTTGAGACGCCTTTTCGGCCTCGCTCTGCCACTGCGCGAGCAGCGACATTGGCGCAACGACCAGGGTCGTGCAAGGAGCCCAAAGAACGCTTGCGGAATTCGCGCCCAGTCTTGGCAACTGGTTTACATTAGAGATGCCGCCAGCAGAGAGCCGGGACTTGCGAGCAGCCTCTGATCTGTGAGAGTGAATCAAGCTGAGCATCTGAATCGTCTTGCCTAGGCCCATCTCGTCGGCTAGGATGCCTCCCAAGCAGTGCTGCTCCTGGACCGGGAAGTCAAGCGATAGATCTCCCGAGTATGGATTGACGTAGAATTTGGGCTGCCCTTCAGTTATGGGTAAGTCTTTGTCGTCCACATCCTTGACAGGCCAGGTGTATTCTTCCCACAGGGGATGCATGGATGGCTCTCTGTTGCTTTTCTCGTCCCTTTCCTTGGCCATCATCCAGTAGAGCGACTGTTTCTGATATGGTCGAAGCGTCATCGCAAAGGTTTCGGCAGGCTCAGCTTCCGGGGTGCTGAAATCGAAACATTGCGCCTTCTTGTATAGAGCATCGAGTTGGTCTTGTTCGAGCTCTTCACCCTCCTCAGCATCAGAAGAGTTTGGTGGCGACTCGGGCCCCTTGTTTGCAGCGGTCTTTTTGGGATCTTTCTGCTTCTGCTCGTCCATCTCAGCGGCTTGAAGAAGACCCTTGCGTCCGTCCCTGGCTGCAGCATTTGCCATTGTGGGTTGAAGGTTGATCTCCTGGAACAGCCTGATCAGAGCCACCTGGCGTAGTCTGAGCTCCTTCTCGTCGGTCGTCTCGCTTTGCTGGTAGAAATTGGTGGGTCTGTCGTCCGCGAGCTTGAAGCTTCGTTTCGCAAATGCCGAGTTCAGAAGGGAACAACGCAGTTGCAGAAACACGGTGTCATTCGTCCGAAGGTGATCGGGAGCATAAACGCAGGTTCCTTCAAAAATGCACACGTTCTGATCCATCAGCGTCGACACCCAGTTGGCCGTATCCTTGGCTAGTCGTCCGATTTCGGCGCCTGATTGATTCGTGAATCGAACAATGACATCAACCCGCCGTGATGCCGCAGGATTGGCCCGTACAGGTGTGCTCGGAGCGCCCAGCTTGGCCTTGACCGTGGGTCGCTGAGGGGGTTGAATCTTCTGCCGTTCTATCTTGACAACATCGCCATGTTTGAGAATGTTTGCTCCACTCCGCGTGGCCCAGCCTTCAACACCAAAAGCGCCGACATACCTCGACCGTGGTATGCTCGGACGAACGGCGGGCAGCGGCGGTGCAGAGCTCGGCTCTGCCCGATCGTGACCAGTGGAGGGAGACCGACCGAGCATTCCCTGTGACGCGGATTTTGACAGTTTCTTGTATGTTCCATCAAAGTACATATTGACGGCTCGCTCGAGGCTGTCTCCGCAATTGTCCCGGATGATGGTCAGGGCATCAGGGCTGAGCTTGTCTCCTATGAAGCTTTCGAACAAGACTGGGTCAAATGTCACCGAAGACGATTCTTGCTTCGGTTCGCCAGGCGGCTGCACAGATGCAGACCGTTCCGGTAGCGCTTCGTTCTCGGGTATCTCGGCAAAGGCGGCGTGCTTCTCGTCCTCGCGCTTAAGCGGCTTTTCGTGTGGTGGCGAACTGCTGGGCTTGGGGCTGCGTGTTGCGAGACGTAGTGTTTCTTCAGCCGGCTCCTTGAAGAACCTCCGCTTCTTCGACGGAGGCTCTTGTGAGGCACCGAAATACATGATTCGCAGTGCTCATTGGATGCATTCGAGGCAGATGCCTTACGGTGTGACACTGGCGTGTAGACGTTTGATGGGGAGACGCGCCTCGGGGGAACGGCGCGACTAGATCGCGTAAATGGTCACGTGACCAAATTTCAAGGGAATAGCGAAAGTGGATATCTTACGCGAAAGGGGCGCGACGTCATTAGATATACGGAGAAGCATTGATTGATTTATCATCCCTCGAATTTTGACCCTGGCTGGGATGACCAAGCTTAAACACCATGCCGCCCATTGGCCCACGGCCGTTAGCGAAAACTCTGGCCCTTTCGTGAGGCGCACCTCACGCAGCACCACTCTCTGTATGCGTCGGCCATCGCTGGCGGGCAATGGCCTGAAAAGGCTCCTCTACGGCCCGGCCAACAGCCGTCGTCGCTACGTGACGGACGCTGATATCGAGTCGGCAAGAAAATATTGTTTGGCGCAGCTTCAGTAGGCGTACGGCGGCATCGCTCACGGCTGTCCCGCTTGGCTTACACGCCGTTCTAGCAAGAGCGACTACGATGCGCACCTCGTACGCCGATTCGTTCCTCCTCCCGTCCAAGACGCCTACGCCGCCCTGCGCATGCTGAACCTCGAGCTGGTCCGGCTCCCCGAGCTCGTCTCGAACCCGACGATTGGCGCTTTGCGCTTCAAGTTCTGGCAAGAGTCCATCGACAATACGTTTGCGGGCCGCCCCCCTCGCGAACCGATTTGTATCCTCCTCCACAAGGTACTGCTCGAGCTGGAAGAGAGAGCCGGGGCCGCTAAGAAGCAGTCGGTCAAGTTTTGGGTCTCGAGATTGGTCAGGACAAGAGGCAAGCACATGGATAACCGCCCGTTTGCAAGCCTGGAGAGCCTGGAGGACTATGCCGAGAGCACGTACTCGACCATGATGTACGCGACGCTGGCGTTGATGCCTGTCCGGTCGACGCACTTGGATCACCTCGCCAGCCATATTGGCAAGGCGTGTGGCATTGTCGCTGTGTTACGAGGCATCCCCGTACTAGCATCGCCTGCTCAGCCGGTCGTGACGCCCTCTGGGGCGGAGGCCCCGAGCACACGGGAACCGAGTCTCCTGCTGCCCTTGGACGTCATGGCAGAGCAAGGCGTCAAGGAGGAAGAAGTGTTTCGAGAAGGGCCCAATGCGCAGGGCCTACAAGACGCTGTTTTCAAGGTGGCGACGAGGGCCAACGACCACCTAATTACGGCGCGCGAGATGCTGAGGCGGCTGAAGGACGGCGACGACGCGGGCCACGAATTTGAGCACCAGGGGGAGGTTGAGCACGTCTACGAGCACAACGAGCAGCAGCATGACGTGCCAATGGAGATTCACCGAAGCTTTGGCGCTTTCCTGGAAGCCATTCCTGCAGGGCAGTTCTTGGAGTCCCTCGAAAAGGTCAACTTTGACCCGTTTGCCGTGAAGAGTAGCGGCTGGAGGCTGCCGTGGAGGATATGGCAAGCTTTGTCAAAGCAACAACTATGAAGAAATGAACTGGCACGATAAGGGAAGAACTTTTCTCAACCTTCAACTGCGCATGTTCATGTCGATTTATCAATAACTGTGAAATAAATATGGGGTGTATCTGGTCAGAGAAGAAAGGGGACTGTAGTTGTAATATGCTTGATCACCCGTCGTGGTGAATACGTCTATATTTAAAGAACAAACTGCCTCTTACAGAGCACTCAAATTGGCTTGAGATCCACCCCCTCCCTCCCCTTCCCCTCGATTTCCTCCATTGATTCCGTCTGTCTCGCGAGTGGCGGTTCTCGAGAAACGCCGCTCACAACCTGTGACGGCAAATCTTCGGCTCTTCCCACCACCCCTGCTCCAAATTTGCCCCAGCGCCTATCTTGGGTGATGAACTTGCGACTGTCGACAAACTTCCCGCGTAGATGTCGTCGTCAAGATGCTCTACGAACTCATTGCGATTGTAAGCCGACCCCCATGGAACACCGCGACCAGCTTTGCACGCTTCGTCTTTCATGCTGACCCGAGAAAAACAGGTCCGGCCGGGCAACGTCGCCGAGGTGAAGGAGTATGTCCTCTCCCCATTCCCCCCGACAACCACTTCTCGCCGCCCGTCGTACTCACAATACTCTGTGCCCCCAGGATCGCCCACACTGTCGGGTCCATGGTCCTCAGAAATGGCGGTGTCGTCCGAGGCATGTCCAATTGGGGCATCTTCTCGCTCCCCAAGCCCACCTCGATCCATCAGATGAAGCACACCCACGGTCACTATTTCGTCATGCGCTACGACGCCTCGACAAAGGTCCATCAGGATCTACGTACCACCCTCCGTCTCGAGCCCCGTATGATCCGCTCCGCACATGTCAAGCTCGGTGACGGCAAGCTCGAGACGCTGTCTAGATTCAGCGAGCCAGTATGGAGGGCGCGGGGGGCCGACATGGTGGAATGATGCGTCATTGAAGTCGACGGACAGAATACTCAGACCTCGGAAACGGAAACCAATTTGGGCGATGCCCCCGACAAGGGCTCTTCTCATGTACACGTACTCATGGACTCGGGCGTTTCCAACAATCTCATACAAATACGGTACAGCGCAAGGGAAGCGCAGATGGTGGAGCTCGTCGATGTTAGTCACTCTCCCCAGAAATCCCCTGGGGCACATGCGCAGCAAATTAGGCCTGTGCCTAGGCATGGGCAAACTGAATACTCTGAAGTGGATACTTTGTTTCGGCCCCTTTGCTCTTCTGTCACACGTCTATCATGAAGTCATGTCTGTAGTACCTGTGTCCTCGTGGCGGTAAAGTCCCTCTCTGGAATTGAATGATGCTGGTCTCGTAGCCAGCGTAAACTCGGTCATGCCGAGCCGTTTTAAACAGGGCCTTGGTCTCTGTGCCTCGACCTGTCCCACAGTCTGTCCGTCTCAAGCGTTGCTTCAGGCGTCGGCATCCACGTCCATCGAGTCAGACCTGGCCACGCCCTGCTCTCGGCACCACAGTACAAAGTCGTCGATGACGCTCGGCCATGCACCATTCTCGCTCCAGAACGACAGGGAGTCGTCCGCCATGGACTTGAGGGCAAATTCGAGGGTCATATTCCACATGTCTTTGTTGACGGACCTGGTCCACTTCTCGGTGAGGAACGTCCTCCACAACTCAAACCAGTCGTGACCCTTTGTCTTCCAGGCCATACCGGGAGAGGCAAAGAGCATGCCCCAGTAAATGATGGCATTATCGAGGCTTAGGGCTTTCTGGTCTCGCTCGCGGCCCACGACGAAGGCGTACCGATAGACCTTTTTGAAGAGGACTACATCTTTGGAGAGGGAGGGGACGAGTTTTCGGATGTGGGCGGCATGCTCCTGGTGTGTCGCACCGACTCTTCAGAACCGTGTTAGCTTTCCATTGGCCCAACGTGTCGGATCCGTGCTCCAGAGTATGACGAGTCTGGCCATCTACGTACCCGCTCGCCTTCCAGCCATCTATGTAGCCTCTTCGTGTGATTTCGCCAACGCTGGGAGCTTGGAGCAGCTCCAGCATAACGAAGAGCTCGGCATTCTCCAGACTTATTTTCATCCTTTTCCCAAGGTATTCCATGGTCGATTCAAGCTCCAGCCTGTCCTTTTCGTCGTTTTCATCGTCTGCGTGTTCTCGGGTCAGCGGTAAAATCGACGAGGGAAGCGACAGTTCCGACCTCGCAATGAGTCGAAGAGGGTACCGAGCTTGGACTCTGCAGGCGACGGCCCTTTGGGCTCGCTGTTGGAACTGAAGAAGCTGTGATGCGCATGGTCAGCGGCCCGCCTTCCGTCCCGATCAAGCCCGTTGTTGTCAATCGTCCAACTGCCACTCGGCAGCTCAGAAAGGCCGGATTGACCACTTGGTGGAGCTTGTCTGGTTGTGCTGCTCGAGGCCTGTACCGTTCACCCTGGCCCTCCGCAAGACTTTTTGTCGCAGCTTCAACGGGAGGTTTGTTTCGTGACTTCCTCAACGACGGCCAGAAGGGAATGACTTTGGACGATAAGGGGCGTCTTGCCTCCTTCCAACCCATCATTGCAGTGGACAGGGGAGGGCAGGCGAAAGTAAGGTCCCAGTAGGTCTGAGAGGAGCAATGTCTGACCGAATTCAACTTTGAGCCTCGAGATGCTCGGACGGAGGGGCAATGCAGGGGTAATCCGGCCGGGCGGCGGCATCCGACAAACAGACTTGAAGGTGTTCAGGACAGAGCCGGATAGCAGGAGACAGCAATCGGAAGATGGACGGACAGAGACGGGAATTCCGGACGTATGTATGTTTCAGAGCCGTCGGCGGCACTCGGCCGTACTCTTGTCGTGCGTAGACAGGGCGCGGCTGGGCCTGTTAGCGGGACCCCACAGGCATCCCACACGGTTGGCACACGGCACCCCATGCGACGTAATGACGGAGGGACGGCATGGCCCGAGACGAGTAAAGTGTATATGCGTGCGACGGCCGGTTCGACGACAACGAGGAGGAGTGAGGGGCACGAGGAGAGGGCACGAGGAGAAACAGGTAGACTCACGCTTCGATGGCTTCGCTGATCTTGAACCCAGTCGACTTGAGATACTGCAGTGCCCGGCATTAGCTCCAACTGTGGAACGAGCAAGATGGTCTGAAGAAGAGAGGGCTGCCGTAATCAAGTGCATCTCGAATTGGACGCGGATGACTTACCCTGGCGGCCTGTCGTTCTGTAGCTCCCGTCACGGAGACGAACTGCGCGACCAGGACCTTTTGCTGCGCGGTCGACGTGGGAGGCATCTCTGTGGACAAGTGAAGATGTCACGCTCCGGAGATGGGCTGGAGGAACGGCGGTGGGTGGGTTGCGAGGCAACAGAAACGCAATCGGCGGTGCTCGTCGTGCGGAGGCAGCAAGACGAGGATGCGCCGCAGATGCCGGGCGATGCAACGGCGAGGCGAGCGGAGAGGCCAAAAGGCCGTTGGAAGGTCGAGAAGAGTAGAGAAACGAGACCCGAGGCGAGGACGGACGCGTAGGCGGGGAAGGCTCGAAGAGGCAACACGAGGCTGCGATGGCGGGGGCCCTGCGGCTTTGCCCAAAAGCTGCCGGCTCTCTCTGTCTCTTTCTCTCTGCTCGGGCAGCAACTGTTGTGTCGTGCGCGTCTCACTGGTGACTGTGCTGTAGCTACAGGCCCCAAGCGCGCCGCGATGCCACGCAAGTCATGGGACGATTGCCAGTCCTGCGGATGCACGCAGGTATAGGTGAGGGTCGAGGGTGTGTACCGTTAACGGCCCGGAGAAGACGCTGCTGAAGGATGAGGTGGTTGACGAGAAGCAGTGGAACGGCAATTTCTGGCGGCGGGGATGGCTGGGCACTGTATTTTGCTCTGTCCCGTATTGCCGCAGGCGGCTCCTTGCAGGCAGAGCGAGCCCTACAAGTCACTTCACAGCAACCACCAACGCCCGTGGCTCTACAGTGCGAACCTCTTCAGAGGGCTCCCCCCCACCCATAAGCATGACGTTATGCCAACTAAAATGGCAGACGCGATGGCTCGACGCGTCCCACTTCTGCAATCGTGGGCCTTCCAATGCCTGCCGGGCCAACCTTATTATCTACATGTACGGCCCAGAGCGCAAGCAAACCTCCACGAGAGCCGTCTTTTTTGCAGACACGTGACGGCCGCCGCCTGCGCTTTCCGCTTCGCGCCCGACAATGACTTCGTCGCCGTCTCCAAAGGACGAGCGACACTGCATAGACCCTGCCGAGCCCTTCAAGGGCATCGTCGTCTGCTGCACGAGCATCCCGCCAGAGCAACGGGTTCGTCGACCCCACTTGTGCTTGCGCCTCTACTGACTGCTGCACTCTGTCCCAGACCGATATTGCGAACAGGGTCCAAGAGCTCGGAGGCATACACAAGTACGACCTCACCCCGGACGCTACCCACCTCGTCGTTGGCGACTATGACACCCCAAAGTACCGCCATGTCGCCCGCGAGCGCCAAGACGTCAAGGCCATGGACGCGGCCTGGATCGAGGCTGTGTCGCACCTGTGGAAGCTCGACGACGAAATCGACTTTGTTGGTCTCGAGAGAAAACATCAACTGAAGCCCCTGGAAAAGTGCGGCACCGAACCATCTCCTCTGGGCGGGCAGCCTGCTGCGCGACAGTCGTTGCTGGTATGTCAGACGGGATTCGGCGACCAGCGAGACGAGATTGCCGACAAGATCACATCGAATGGCGGACGATATACAGGCGACCTGACACGCAAGTGCACCCATCTCATCGTCAGTAAGCCCGAGGGCAAAAAGTTTACGGCCGCCAAGTCTTGGAACATATACACGGTCACGCTGGACTGGCTCTACCAGAGCGTGGAACGCGGCATGATCTTGGAGGAGGCCAAGTTCGACCCCCTACTGCCGCTTGAGCAGCAAGGAGCTGGCGCGTGGGTCAGGAAAGATCCAAGGCGAACCTCCCTCGGCAAGAGATCGCGTTCGGCCGTGGCCAACAGGCCGGAAGAAGGTGTCAGGAAGCTGCGAAAGACGGCGAGCATGAAGCTGAACTCGCAAAGGAACAATCTCTGGGGCGACATACTAGGGAGATCAACTTCACGGGACTATTCCTTCAACGAGTCGCGGCGGGCAGAGGCACCAGCGCAAGATGCCCTACCTCCGGAGCCCCTCCCACCGCAAGATGAGGACGGTGTCTACTCCAATTGCGTCTTTGCCATCCATGGTTTTGATCAACAGCGTCAAAAGGTCCTCGAGGAGACTGTTGCTACTCTGAGTGGTATTGTGTCTCCGACCCTGGAAGCAGTCGCCTCCGGCTCGATGCGGGGAGAAGCACTGCGCCGGTTCCTTATAGTTCCCCAAACCTCTCAGCCCGATACACACCCACGCATATTGAACGACGACGTCCACATCGTCACCGAGTTTTACATTGAGCGATGCATGCACAACAAGCGCTTCTTTCCCCCCAGCGAGCACGTCCTCGGCCGGCCCTTCCCGATGTTCCCAATACGTGGGTTCTCGGACCTGACAGTGTGCAGTGCAGCGTTTACCGGACTTGAATTGAGCCAGATGGCGCGGAGTGTGGCCCAGCTCGGAGCCAAGTTTGAGGAGGGGTTCAGACGCTCGACAAGTTTGGTCGTCTGCAAGTCGCTCCAGGCGATGCGCAAGGAGAAGCTGCGGTATGCCCTGGAGTGGGAAGTACCAGTTGTTTCAGCGGACTGGCTTTGGGAATGCATCTCTACAGGCTTCAACGTTCCCTTTGAAGGCTATATTTTCCCAGAGATCCGGAAGCAATACATCTCCCCGAAGCGGCCTGAGGTGGGGGAGGAGCGAGGGTCGAGCAGACCACAGCAACAGAGGCCGTTGGAGCCGACACTGGCGATCCCTCGGCCAAGCAAGGCGCGGCTACCGGCTGAAGTGGGCCTGGATGCCACTGCCTTTGACCGCGACTCACCAGACAAGGGCGGCCGCAGGAAGGCTCCTCGGGCAGTCCCGCAAGAGGACTCTACCACCTCAGCGGACTTTATGACCGCCAGGACTCATCCCGCAAACACGTTTGCCAGGGACTTGGACGCTCCCCTGGGCGAGCTATCCTCTGCGCGGCTCAACAGGTCGCCCTCGCCCCCTAAACACGTCACGGGGCCTACACGAACTAGATCCGAGCCCTGGCCCCGATCCCTCGTCGAGAAAACCACCGGCTTGGTCCGGGGTCCCTCGGCGCCTCCCGCGGACCCTTCCAGGGGAGCGGAGTCGGATGCGGAGGAAGCCAAGCGCAAGGCCGAGGAGAAGGCGCGGAAACAAGCCAGGGAGGCAGAGCGCCAGGTGCTCTCGTCCAAGCTCAGCAGCCTGATCCACTCGACGACGACGGACGCCGACGGCCGCGAGCCGCGTTCGCAGACGGCGGTGGCGCGTCCCCGGCGGCGGCAGGTCTTTGGGCGCGCCATCAGCAACGCATCCAACGCCAGCAGCGCGGCCAGCGCCGATGGTGGCAGGCCCGCGCCCGAGAGCCTTCGCTCGGTGGCAGCGGGCGGGGCCGACAACGACGTCGCCGCTGCAGAGAGTAGGCAGTCGGCGTCGAGGACCCCGCCCCCGCCACCAGCGACGCAGCTCGAGTATCGCGACCCGCAGGTGCTCGAGAGCAAGGCGGCGCTCGTGAGCAAGATGATGATGGTGGCGAGCGGGGACGCAGACGGGGCCGGTATGGCCGCACGTCCTGCTGCTGCTGCTTCGTCCGAGGCCTCCGGCGCTGGCGTTGGGGTTTATTCCGGCAGGGCACTTCGGAAACGATGATGCGTGTACACACAGGCGCGGTCCAAGGTTGGAGGAAGCGCTGTGGCTGCCGTGGGGCCTCTTGCTGTGTGGCCCTCTCTACTTTCCTCGCCTTGTTTTTCTCATCGTGGCGCGCGCGCGATCAGGGCTGGTTTGGCTTGTTTGGATAGGTACACTTGAAAGACTTGGGGGGGTGGCACGCGAGCGTACATGGATATAGGCGAACCGAGGAACCAAGGCTTCCTGCCTCCCTACCTGGACGATGCATACCAAGGTACTGCATGCCCTCGGCCTCAAATAGTGAGCGAGCGACTTGGGGCGGACGGGGGTGGAATAATTACAGATTTCCCATCTTGACGCCGAGACGGGTCCGGAATGCGCGCCGGCGCGGAGCGGAACACGAAGTACGAAAGGGGGTCGAGCGCAACGCCAGGGTGACTGGCACAGCGTCTCTCCGCCATGCGTTGCGGGATTCCGCTGACCTCTTGACTTACGTTTGGTCTCGACCGGGTCGATCGTCCCCATGGCCAAACAATGGGCATTCACAGACGAACAGTAGACACAATCACGAGGGGCAAAAGATCAAGACAAAACGGAACACAGAGTCCAATACAGTGAAATTAAGCTACAAGAGCAAAGTAGAGCTTGGCAACGCCCAGCCGGCAATGTCGGTCTCGCCACCGCAAAGGGGTATCTCGTTGCGTATTCGCAACCCAAGGGGAGGAGGAAGAAGCCCGAGGCTACCCCCCTCCACCGTGCCCCCTTTCCCCTGCACTCTCTGCTCTGCTCGATCGTGTGTATGCGAATGCGTATGCGTGTGCGTGTGCGTGATGGTGTACCAGCAAAAACTCCCTATTTATTTTCTTGCGCTCCACCAAGGGCACAAAGCAGCCGTGGCCACATCAAGACAGTCTCCGCCCGGCCCGTCGAAGAGAAGAGGCCCTCAACGGGTCAAAGTAAGAAAGGAAAAAAAAAATTGTAAAGTGGAAAGAGACTGCCGGCAGCGAGGTAAGCGTTGCCGGTAGCTGGGCGGGAGACGCAAGGCAAGACGAGACGCCAAAGAGAAAAGAGCAAAAAGGAAACGGCCGCGCGAGTATCGTATACCACCGCGCGCCTTGAGAGAAAACGCAAAGCTGCCCAACAAGGTTGGATCAATATGTGTTGCGCCGTCCGACGGCGCCAAGCTCGCCCAGCCCCATCGCCGAGGGCGCACGAACGCTCGGCGTGTTGCCGTCTGCCTCGGTAGATGGATCCCCATCCCACACAGCAGCCGAACGAACCAGAGCGCGGCTCCTTTCTTTTCTTTCCCATGCGGACCCATCTTGTCCTCCCATATAAAGACTCCGCCTCGGGAAAAGCAACGCTGCCTTCTGTCCATGCAACAAAACGACGTGGCTGGCAGGATGCGACAACGGCCAGCTCCCAAACGGAGCCTTCTCAACACGTTAACGGTCCGCCGAGTCGACTCAGCTGAGAAAAAAAGCAACAACTCGACCGTCGAGAAGATGCAAAGGCTCACTCTGGCTGGGAAAGCTATTCCTTCAGCAACTCGCTGGCCTCGTCATCCCTCTTGGGCAAGCGTTCGGATTGCATCTCGCCCCAACGAATGTCCATTTCGTCCCTGTTTCGACCGTTAGCATTGACCTCGGATGAATTAGGCCAGCGGGCAAAACGTACGCAGTCACCTCAACCGTCCGGAGCTTCCTGTCGCGGCAAAAGTCGAGAAATCGTCGAATCGTTCGCTCTCGCTTGAATGCTGCCATCACGTCCCCTCTAGGCATCCCGTCCTGCTTGGCTTTTGCCGCGCCATGGTTGCTCATCACCAGATGCAACTGCAGGGCGTCGACGTTCCACCTCACCTCGACAATGTCATCGAGCCGGATGGTGAAGTCGATGGGATCCCTGTGGACTCCCCAGGTGACCGGGTCCGTGTCCTTGAGGACCTGGTGCTCAAACAGCCGCTCCTTTTCCTTCCAGTTCCAATACTGCGTCACCTCGGTCGAGCTCGTAAACAACCTAGTCTTGACCTGGTAGAGGCGCCAGTCTTGCCTGGCCAGGGGGGCTCCGCTCCAGGAGTCAGTCTCGGAGTAATCGGCGGCGGCAACAGACTCTTCACGGACCGCCTCCGGCGCAGGCGAGACATGCTTAGGACGCTTGTGCAGACGACCTTCGAAAGGGGATTCGGAGTCGCCGGGCGATCTCTGTGTCGACGTCGGCGACGGCTGGCCGTCGTCTGCGGCCAAGGGAGAGGGCCCGGCAGGCGGCGTCTCGCGCGGGGTGCTGGCCTGCGAATGCGTGTCCTTGCGCTTCTTGGACGAGCCCTGGGGGGTGCCATTGGTCTGGCCCGTCTTATACCCAGATGGCCGGCCGATGCTCTTATAGCCGTTCTTGGCCCTAAGCGCCGTGAGCTTGGGATCGTGGTAAAAATCGTGGATCGTCTTGGAGACGTTGAAGTTGGGGCCCTTTTCCATCATGATCTCGTGCAGGCGGTGGCGGAGCCATTCGATGGCGGTGACGCTGAGGTTATACTTGGCCAGCTCGGAAAGAGACTCGCAGAGGCGGAAGAGCGTGTCGTACGAGGTGATGGCGCCCTTGCCCGTGTGGGTGAATCGTTTCGCCAGGAGCTGATACGGGCTGATCTCGCCGGTTTCCAAGAACTCGAGGATCCGGATTCCGCGGTTGACCTGCCGGCCAGTCTGGAACTTGGCAGAGCCGCCCTCACCTCGGGCCGTGGCTTGCAGGGCGGCGGCATTCTTCTCGCGCCATGATTCGAGCTGCGGCTCCACCAGCGACTTGATGCAGGGCCATCCAAGCTCCCAGTACGGATGGCTCTGGTCAATCTTGGCGACCGGGACACCCTCCACGATCTCCGGATGGGTGTAGACGACGCCGTTGTGCCTCAGCACCAGGTTCTCACGGGTAATCTCCTCGAGCGGCTCCGAGCTCGCCTGCGGCGTAGGTCGAGGGGAGCCCTCGGCCGAGGCAGCCGAGGGCGTGGGGATGTCTCGCGACGGGGGCCTGCTGCGGACATTGGCCGGGGTGAATCCGCTGGACGCAGCAATGGCGTTGACGGGCGCGAAGGCTGGAACGGCGGTATAGGCGGAATTGGCAAAGGACTGTTCCTTGGGCTCCTGGGGCGTCAGCATCTGCACCGGCTCCTGTCCATTGGGGCTCTTGTGCGTCGGCGGAGCGAGCTCTACCGTGTCCATCTCCTGGGGGGCTCGTGCCGAATCCATGGCCGCCTTGGCAATCCCAGCGGTCCGAAAGAGGGCCTCCCTGGCTGCGCCCTCGGGGTCGGAGAGGAGAGCAGGCGGTGTATCCAGCTCGAGGGGCTTCTTGAAAGGTCGGCCCTGGAGCGGCGTTCCCGCGTTGTTGGACTTGGTGACGAGGGGCATGTGGCAGCCCTGGCGATTCCACTCGCAGTTTCCGCATTTCTGGAAGAGGGGACCGCCAAGGATGATGCAGTCGTCGAAGGCGCCCTGGTTCTTGTCACACGAATGGCACCGCTGGGCTTGGATCTCGCCAGTGGCCTGGATCATGCTCGACACAAACTTGACGCCTTTGCCCTCGGAGCGGTCGTAAATGGTGGCGAGGTGGTCCTGGTTGAACTTGCGCCCACGTCGAATCTTGACGGCTCGCTTGATGGGCATGTCCTGGATCTCTTTGACCCATTGGTTCCACGGCTCAATCCTCCGGACAGGCCCAATGACGTTACCATCAGCGTCGACGACGTCGACAAGCACGTCGGCAGACTGGTCCTGTCCCATGGCAGGTCTGGGCGCGACCGGGGTGGGGGTCGATGGGGTGCTGGGGGGCCGCGGGCCCTTGATGGGGAGGGCATGGCGAAGGGGGCGCTCGTCTGCGGGAGGCGGCTGCGGCGCGGTGGCGATGGCGAGGGCATTGCGGACCGGCATTTGTTCATGGCTCGGCTTCAGGTCGGGGTTGGGGCCATGACCGCGTTTGAAGTGGAAGAAGGTCTCCATGGTCTTGACGACCTTATCGCGCGACTCGAGCCTTTTCTGCTCACTCTTGCGATAGTCCTGCTCCATGGCGACCAGTCTGGTAGCCCTGTTGTCGCAAGCCTCGGCAATGCGGGCGAGCTCCTCCTCGACCGAGGCCAGCTCCTTGGAAAGTCGGCCTCGCAGCTCATCGAGCTGTGTGCGCTTGCCTGATAGGGTTCCCAGTTCGACCTTGATGTCCAGAGTTGCCTTGGAGTACTCGATTTCGGCGGCAACACGCAACGTCTCCTGCTCTTGCTCGAAGCCTTGCCAAAAGTTGTGCTCCGTCTCGTGCCAGACGGAGCGCTGCTCGTCGGCCGGAAGGGCGTTCCACTCTGCCGTGTCGTCCATGACTGCAAGGGAGCGACTCAACATCTGGGCTGGGTACGGATGGGACGGATGCCCTCGCGATGATGATTTGATGTCAACAGGCTGGCGTTGTCGCCCACCGGAGAAAGGGACCCGATCAGCGAGCGGCGTCGCGGGTTTGCGAGCCAGTGACGAATAACAGAAGGGCAGTGTGGTGAGCTAGAGTGGCGCACAGAAAGCGACGGGATCAAAAGAGAGACGTGTTCGAGGCAGCAGTCTCGGGTAGGCTCGACACATGAGTGAGGTCGGGTGCTGCTCCGACTGGACGAGTTACGACGAGTATGATGATGATGGCTCTGCAGCGGACATGGAGTCTTTGCAGCAGCGGCGGCAAAATGCAGTCGTCGTCGTCGTCTTATTCCAACCACCGAGAGAGAGGGGGGTGTGCAGTGCAGGAGGGCAGAAGAAAAAGGGCAGATTAGGATGAAGGGGGGCGTGTGCACCTGTTCGCGTGGAAGGAGCCAAATGATTGCACGCCACACGAGGCAGGAGCCAACAGCGGCGTGAGTCGACCCTGCGGTTGTCGGGCTAACCTTATACTTGAGCCTGTCGAGCGCTTCGCGGACCGAGGGCTTGTCGCCTATGTTCACTGCCCACCCGCATGAATTCGCAAGGATGGGGTCGAGGAGAAACAGAAGCGGTCGAAGCGTCCGCGCGGAGGTGCAGGGCCGATGGCTTGGTTCAAGCTAGGCGAGTCAAAGACAAGAGGGGGAGCGAGGATGATTATTATGAGGAGGGAGAGGGAGGGAGGGAGAGAGAGAGAGAGAGGGAGACCTAGTTGGGTCAGGCAAGGTAGATAGGAGACAGGTATGTATAGGTAGGTAGATAGGTAGGTAGATAATAGGTAGGTAGGTAGGTAGGTACAGTCCGAAGTAGGGCGTGCGGGAGACGAGAGAGGGGAAGTGAGTGCGTGTATGCGGTGGCGGGTTGTTAGTGTAGCAAGTAGTGAGCGCTGCTGGCAGTGGTGGTTGATGATTATATGTTCTCTCTCTCGAGCCAAAGACACCAAAGCGTATAACAGGCCCCCTCGTTGCCCTTGGAATCAGGCCAAAGGATAAACCAAGCGAAACCTTGGGGGGCGGACGTGTATAATAAGCTAAAGCATTTAGGTTAGAGAAAAAGGGGGTGTGGTGTGTGTGGGCGCCTGGGCAACTCCTATCATGTATCGAATCTCTCTCTTTCGCGCGCGTGCATGGTTGTCCATGAGTAGTGAGTAAGAGTACGGAGTAGTGGTTTAGGCACCTGCCCGACCCAAGCTAGGGGCATGTCTATCTCTTCGTGTCGATCTCGGCCCGAGTGACAAAAAGGCCCTGTCGGTGATGAAGCAGAGAGCAGAGAGAGCCGTGCCGGGCGGAGGCTTCCCTTGGCACTCACTGACGGACCAACGTACATGCTTTCCAACATCTGCCTTCCTACCTAAGCTTTTGCAACCCGGCCTAGGTAGGCAATAAAACGAATAGTCGCTGGAGATTAGGCGTCGAGGCCCGGACACATGCGGTCCGCAGCGTGGAGACGCATCCATTCCGAGTTACCGCCCAACTTGCCTCATGTATGCACGAGGGGACTAATGTACTAGGCCAAGGTATAAAAGTCTGACCGAGCAAGGGGGCCTCGACGACGAGAGGGGGCAAGGGGGTGCGCATAGAGCTGACCCGGCTAGCTTGGTTTCGCATCCCCGGGTTCCCGTTGTCGTTTGATTGAAAGATGCCACGATGGATCATACCTACATGTGTGTGTAATCATCACGTCGACAACATCTGCAAGCCGAACTCTGGTGTCGGTTGGTCGTTATCGAGCGCGCAACTTGATTTGTTTGCCCCTCCCCCTGCACGTCGCAGATGAGCAAGGCCCAACCAGAGAGGTAACATGTCATGATTAGTTTTCCTCCTTGCGCCAGTTGACATTATCGCATCGCACAGAGCAGAATTAGTCATGGATGCACAGTGCAGTGCAGTGCATGCACATTCATGCTGCACTCCTGCCTGTGGTCTCGACACTCTTAGAGGCCACTCTGAGAGGGACGGACACACGTGCTGCCGACATACCGGTATGCGTCTGCCAACCGCCCGTTGAACAATCTCGCTTCCGCCTCGCCTCTCTGTTCATTGGTCCAGTGGGGAAAAAGACATCCCCGAAGGCGCTGGACGGAGCAAAAAGGCTTCGCCGCGTGCGAGACAGTTTGCCCGAAGAGCGAGATTACAGTTTTGCAATTTTAACACGGCGGGAAAGGGAAAAAAAGCATCCATCAGAAATAACAAGCCAAGCTTTCCGTGCTCTCGTACCTTCCTTACATAGGTAGGTGCCTGGGCATACCTTGGGTCGAGTCTGAGGCATATACTCCGCTTGCGCATGCTATGCCCGAGTCTGTCTGTATTACGAATTACGCGCCCACACAGGTCGCCTGCTGTATCGCCTGCTGTATGTGTACGACACAGCAACAAAAACTGACTAGGCACAAAGCAGGTAGGTACTGTTCGTCGGTGACGCTGCATGCACCGCCATCCTTCGACAGTCATGTGTCGGCAGAATTATTATTAGTGCAGTACCAGGGATGGGGGGAGTCAAAGAGTCGGCCCCAAGCCGGTCCGAGGCAAAATGGATAGGGCTCGCTTGCCTTTTCCCTTTGTAGGAAATGCAAGACTCGTAAGGCTTAAAGCCAATGAGTCTAAACGCCCGTCTTAGCCGCCAGAGCGGGCCCCCCCACTCACACACTCTCTCCCACTCCTAGATAGCACGCTTTTCTCCTCGTATATACTGTAAGCTGCGATAGGCTATTTTTGATGATTTCGCCTGATTAACCGGTACGGTATATGCCGACGGACAGCTGTATAATTATTAGTAAGTATGTGCATGTATGTATGTACTGTATGTCGGCCAACGAGCAGGGAAGGTACTTATGTAGAGTGTACGTCCGTAGAGTAGTCCTTTAACCGTCTTTACCGCATCTTGCTTCATCGCCGTCCGTCCTGCTTTCTTTCCACACCACACCCCACTCCTCTCCCCGCCCCCTTTTTTCCTAGCCCCCTTGTCTGGGCAGATACCTAAAGCCCATACGGAGGAGGTACTTTTCTACTCCGTACAGCCTATCTATTCGTCCCTCCTCTCCGTTGCCCTATGACAAGGTTGTATGTTATAAGCTCGAGCGTGCATAGTAAGAAATGACGGCGTCCCGGCGGAGCATTCCTCATCTGGCCAAAACTCTCCTTCCTAACATGCACCACGCTTCCCTCCCTCTCCCTCTCAATACCCCTCCCCCCGAGGCGTTTCTCAACTTATTACGGAGTGATATCCCTGCCATTGTTCCACTTTCCTCTTTGCCCAACTGCATAAGTTACACTACGCTACAGTACATGCCTTGCTAGTCAAGCCTCGAACTTATTGCTTTCCTATTATCGCGCCGCCGCCGCCATGGCTTACTCCCTCTCCTCTGTGGTTCTCCCACACCTCCTCCCGGCCCCGAGCATCAAGGCGGATTACAATTCACTGACACACATCAAAGCACGACTCGGGTCCCAATTTCTCCTGTCCAACTTGAACCATGCCATGCACTCACTCTGCCTCTTCTTTCTCTTCCAATGCCAGTGTTCCCCATGTTTCAAGCCCTCCCCTCTATTCATTTCTTTCTCCTCTTTCTCTCTCACTCCCTCTCTCTCGTCGCCTCCTCCCAGTTTATGCTACGTCGTTCTTTCATGCATATCTATTCGTATTCATCCGGCTTTATTATTAGTATCGCGCCAGGCCTTCCTTCCCTTCTCACCCATGGATCCTTCCGGCATGCAGCAATGGTCGTTCCTCCGTTCGCCACAGCCCACTCACCCCCCCCCCCCCCCCCGGGGTCCCCATCTCATATGTGGGGACGGAGCCTCTCTCTGCAGTCCACCCTCGTAAGACGTATGATTTATAACCACATCGCGGGCGGGCGAGCCAGCTCGTCGGGACTTTGATTACTCGTCACATCGCTCGGGCGGGGGCGGGCTGCTCTCCTGTCCAAAAGGGCGGTGGCCAGCATAACGCGGCGCCATTCTCCGGTCCAAGTCTCAATGCACCTTGCTTAGGCGCCGGCGCAGAAACAAGCAAGGTCCACGAAAATAGGCCAAGTGGTGTTAAAAAAAAAACGAGACATCAGCTTTGCGCAGTAGGGGCATGTCTCGGGGTTTTTTTTTTACACGACCTGCTCCTCTTTTTTTTTTTTCGGTCGTCACACTAGGCAACACGTCCGTCGCCTCTCGTATGCAAGCGGCCTTAGTCGAGACACGACGTGGTTTAACTGACTATCCGCCTCGCCAATCCAGGGTAGCAGAGCAACATGGTGCTATTGCCCTTAGCGCTGAGTCGTGTCCAGCACAGTTCCGCACACCATCCACGTGGACATAGGCGCCAACTCGCCATTGGCCGACGTGGCCCGAAATAAGGAGGGGGCTGAGCAGGTGACCCGACTCGAAACCGTATGTACAGTACCTATGCCACTATGTCGCTGACACTGCCAAACTTGTCCCCCCCCCTTCCCCCCCCAGATAGGCTGCGAACAACCGTGACGCTGGATATCGTATATAGGTAGCTGGCCATTACTGTAATCATATGGACGGCTCCGTTCCGCCCCTCCCCACTCCTTCAGCTCACCTACATGACACAGCCGGTAGGCACATGTACCTGGAAGCGACGTGACAGCCGTAACATCATCCAGCTGCCTCGGCCCATTCCCGCCTATTCACCATCGCTTATCCCCGCGCCAGCTCCCGCCCCGGCTGCTCATCACCCCGACCGCCGAATTGATATCCATGTCGTTGTCGGCGGCTGACAAGCCTGGACGCACGGGGCCTCGCCTGCCAAGCCCCGATTGCCCCGACAGACAGTAATAGTCTCCACCCAACGCCCAGGTTGAAAAAGGAAAGCCATGCGCATTACCTCATTCGAGCCAAGGAAAAAAAAAACATTCAAAACATGAAAAGGCGCCATGCTTTAGTATTTGACCGAGTATCGTTGCGCCGTTGTCGGATACGGCACGTCGTAGGCGCTCGAGTGCCCGTACGGATCGTCCGCGTACACCGTAGCCCGGCGCTCGTCTTCGGGCAGCAGCTCCTTGACTTCCCAGTTGTTCATCCTCGTGCCCACGGAAAACTCGAGGTCCTCTCTCGTGATGGAATCCCAGTACTGCAAAGGTTAACAATTGATTCCCGCTTCCCCGCGGCCCTCGTGCCCGAGACGAACGAGGCGGGGCTGGGGCGGCATGCAAGCTTACTTTGTACACCATCATGACGGCCAATAGGTTGCACACGGTCGCAAAGAAGAGGCCGTCGAGATAGTGGCTCACGGCGATGCAGATGCTGGCACTAAACGCGTAGAGGATGACTTGGCCGGTAACGAAGAAAAGGATGCCAAAGGCAATGTCGCCAAGCGGCCAGCGGTCGTGGAGCGTCCTCGTCACCAGCAGAATCTGCATGCCGACGTAGATGAAGAGCTGGATAGCGTTGAGCAGGTACAGGACAACAAAGAGACCGACGGTATTCGTCGGGCCCAGGCCGGCCCAGCTCTTGAAGGTGGCGAGCGAGACGAGAAAGGTGATGGCGAAGGCGGCGAGGGAGCATAGGCGCAGCAGCCAGACGGACAGCGGGGTGCCGTCCTCGTACAGCTGGAAGCCAACGAAGCCGTTGATGAGCAGGCACGTCATGAGGGCGCTGCTGAAGCCGTTCTGGATGCTGACAAAGTAGGGATAGGGCCCGCTGCCGGGGGGCACGGCGCCGGCATCGACGACGAGGGAGACAAAAGTGGTCAACATGTAGATGTAGAAGAAGGTGAGGATCTCCTTGCGGCCCACAGCCGTGAACTTGCTACGAACGTGGAGGATCATGACGACGGTCATGACGAGGGCCGCAATGTGCATGGCCGACGCGGCGCCCTCGAAGATGATTGTGTTGGCCAGCTCGATGTTGCGTGCGTAGCAGTCTGGCTCGATGCCCACGCGGCCCGAGGCCGACAGTACGGGGCCGACATTGGCGCAGAGCGGTAGGGGCGCGTTTTCGCAAATGGACCTGAAGTCACCGAAGCCCGACATGGCGATGATGTCGCGTTGCCGTCGTCGGTTGGTCGTCGAGGGTGCGGTTGTCGGCGTCGGGGCCAGAATCAAAGTCGTCGGGGTTACCGCTGGGGGTTACCGCTGGGGGTTAAAGCAGAACGCCTGCTCGCGAGTCGCTACGCAATAGCCGTACAGGGCGCCACGACGAAGGTTGATGGTGTGCAAAATGTTGGCCAGCTATCCGCTGAGCATCCCCCCCCCCCCTGGAATGTGCGCAGGACTGGGACTCCGTATGCCTCTGTGGGATGTCTCGGCGGCGGGCGAAGCGAGAGGCGGGTAGCTCGGTGACGGGAGAGAAGAGTCAAGAGGACAAGGAAGAGAAAGAGAACGCTCTCCGACCCTTGACGCAATGTTCTGGCAGAATAACAGGCCAAAGACCACAAGGACGGGCGATTGGACGCAGACGGATGATGGAACCGAGGACACGTCAGGGCCCGGGCGCGGCGCTATGGGGGAAATGGCGAGCGAGCGAAGAAAAAGTCGTCGTCTCCGTTGTCGTCTTCAGCGATCTCTCGTCGACTGACTGACGGATTGAAGCGTCGGAGTCGGCGTCGTTGGACTTGAGACGACGACGAGTTGCTACAGTGTGCACCACAGCCGGCCGGTGCGGAGCGTCGTGGCCTTGGCCTGATCTGTACTAGCCGTTGCCTCGGACAGCGAGGCAGACACAAGGGGGCCCCCATGCTCCCATGCCCCTTTTCCACCTGCCTGCCTCTCTCTGCCCCCCACTCCACCTTGCACATGGGCCGCCGTGAACATCTCACAACAGCCAGTGAGCTTACCTTGGAATTACCTCCCCCTCTCTCTTCCATCCCCCCCCCCCCGGGCCGGCATACGTCATCTCTCCCTTACATAAGTTACCAGGTACTGTACTCCTAAGGGGCACCATTCAAAACCAATATCTCGCAGCTATCGTACAATTAGGCCAAATAGTACCGCACCAATCAATACTGCGACTTGCGCTCACCAAAAGCAGTCCCTTGATCCTGTTTGACCATTCCTGTACTTCATCAATTTCATCCATGCTCCTTTGCCTGCCCTGCCTCGCACAACATGTCCCAGCCATCAATCCCATTCAATCATCAACGCATAGCCTGCTGTATGACCCCGACTCGACTGAATCACACCTCACTGCGTACTGGCAGCGTACTGGCACTTCAAATCGTCCAAGTCATGGACAACGCCACGCCCCAAGACGCGAAACCAGTACAACCCCTCCTTACTTCTCGCCTGCCCAGCCAGGGCAAAACGGTCACCAGTGGGGCAATGCGCAACCTCCATGACGGCTACCAAGTCCACCACTGCCCTCATGTATTGGTCTACCACGCCGGTCATTGCTGACAGTCGAATCTACCTGTCTTGGTTCCTGGTGTCCCTCAAGTCCTATCTACCTAGCATAACCAGCTTCCTATGCTGCCCACGCCTCCTTGTGAGAGGCTGCATCACAGTTGCCTTTGCTCAAGGTCTTGTGTCTCAATCCATCTCAGTCCGTGCCTCTTCACTGCTCTTGGCACTAGACAAATTGTAATACCAGGAAAACGCCTTAATCATGCATTTGGTCGAAATATCGCGGCCTCGTCGGCCATCCTCGTGGCCAGTGGTAATCGAGGAGAAACCATGCGCCGGTGGAGAAGAAAAAAGACTCAACAAGTGAAAACAGGTGGGCCCAATGGCTGCCCTAACCAACGCCAAAATACCATGCCGTGCTGTGCCATGCTGTCTAAAAACGCGCAGAAGGATGTGAGGAAACATGGTGAAGTAACACAGTGAACGCGGGCGGGTCGTCCTGGTTCAGAATTATAAGTGAAGCGGCTCAGTGACCCCACGGGCTGTGGCTGCGTGCGGCCGGGGCCCGGCGAGGTTTGCCGCAAAGGCTCGCTTGCCAGGCAAAAGGTGAACACTGCCGCCGCCCCTATGACGGATAGTGACCCTGCTGCCCGCCTTGCGAGGCAAGGTGCTGCTGCCCTCGGTTGTAGAGAACAAACTCGGGTACCACGCCCGTCCGGACATCGTGCCGTCGTCCCAGGGGTTGATAGTGCATCTGGTTCGGTTGCACAGGCACCGATAGGTGATACTGGTCCAGAGACGCCGAGGGCGGGGGATAGAGGAGGGTGTTGACGTGTCGAATCGGTTTATATGGGCTAGCCCGCTGCTGCAGATAGACGCTCGGTGAGTTGGACATGGGCGTGTGAGGCATGGGCGTGTGAACGCCCACAGACCCAGGACCGAGGTGCTCCACCAGAGGTGAGGAGCCAAACGGTGCCAGGTTGCCAGGGCTGTGGTGTTTTGTCGGAGTGCCGTAGTTCATCGTTGCATGGCCCGCCAAAGGGGCGATTTGGAACGGCGTCGTAGGCATGGGTGTTCCCGCCGAGGCCGGCATGGCAGACTGCTGCGCCATGGTCGTTACCGGGTTCGATTGGTAGACGGTTGAGATGGCGCGGATCCCGGGCTGCAACGGAGGGAGGGAGACGATGTGCTGGCTCGTACCCGGCATTTGCGGAGGGTATCCGTTGACGGCCGTATAGGCGCCTGCGAGGTTTCGGCCTTGGTTGGTGACAATGGACAGCTGAGGTACCGGCAGTCTTGCCGCGTCAACGGGGCAATTCGTTCTCGCATTCATGACTAGGTTGGGAGCCCCGTGCCCAGCCCTTGAGAGAATTTGACGCTTTGCCGGATGGTCTGCCAAGTCTTGGTCGGGGCTCCGTTTTCGCGTCACGGCAAGATTCATCGACGGCTTCGCAGACAGAGGCGACGTCGGGTTCGTGTGATAGGCAGACAGCGTCTTCGAGGTACACGAAGAAGGCGAGTACGTGGACAAGGCAGAGGGAGTATATGGGCTCATGTCGGGGAATCCAGGGAGCGCCGTTGCTGTGGGCGAAGGAATGGGCGAGCTAAAGACATTATTCGTCGGGGAAGGGTTGCGAATTGGCGACGCGGGTAGATGGCGGGCTCGCTCATAGTACTCGTAGAAGCAGGACAGCTTGACCAGCCAGCCCTCCCACTCCTCCTTGGAGGCTAACAGATTGTATCGCATGTTGCTCAAGAATTCCACCTCCATGACGTGAATTTCCTGAACGGCGAAGCAGGACACCTCGGCCCACGTCTTGTTAGTGTAGGTGTTGTCGTCCAGGACTGCAAGTCGCAAAGTTAATTTAGCCTCGCCCCAGTCACGCCGCCGCCGGAAGGGTGTTGATGCTTACATTTGTTGCCGAGCATCAGCGCGACAGTGAGCAGGCGATATTCACTACCCGCCCGCCCCTTGATCTGCGGCGTCGACATTTTGAGACGATAAATGAACAAGAGCGCCAAGAAGATGACATTTTGTGTCACCTGCGTCGTCGAGAGAACATTGTGAACCCATTTGCGGAACTGGTCCCAGGGCTTGGCCAAGCTGGGGAGTCGAGGGATCGGGGCATTCAGAGGTCTCGATCGAATCGTCTCAGCCTTTTTCAGATTGTCCGCAGCGTCGAACCAGAAGAGACACGTCATCTGGAGGACGAAGAGGTCAGCAAGAGATTCTCGGATACGGGAAACAGGGCTGTCCCACTCACATGGGCCGCAAAGTCGGATAGGTTACCCCCGTCGGGACTGATGCACTTTGGTATTTGGAGGCTGTGATAGATGAGCGTTTCCGAGCCGTTACGCGAGGCATCGCCGTCCTTCTTGGTTGTCATGACGGCTTCCAAGGTGGGTGTTGAGGGCCGGGCAGGACGACGCGAAGCCGTGTCATGCAACGGGGTCGTCGACAAGGAGCTGTTTCTCGCCTGGAACGCCGGGGCCGGCTGCGTTGGCTGAGGCGGACCACGATAGTGCTGCGAGCCCCTCGTTTCGTCCATCAGAGTCCTCGACCGGCCGACGTGGGCCATGGCCGACGAGGGATAGCTGCGGATGGCATGGCCATCGTAGGCAGGCATGGCCGGGTGGTAGGCGGTGCTCATATCGTCGGCAGGTGGTGTTCTCAGCCCGCTTCCCACAAACGCAGCGTCGTTGGCCAGAGAGTGGGGTTTTTGCAGAGAGAGGCAGCTTTGAGGCAGAAAAGCTCCCCGGCTCTTCGAGTAGTGGGATGGCGGAGGAGGAAGAAGCGAGGCCGGAGTCGGGATGCCAACTGACATGGAGGGAAGAGAAGGCCGAGGAACCGCTTCCAGAGTCCGGGTCGAGCGGTCGAGGCGTCTCCCGTGACGAAGAGCTGGGCGAGAAGCGAGGGCGGTGGGAGGTGAGAGAAGGCTGGGATGAATGCTGTGCTGCGCGGTTCTGTGTTGTATTGTCTTGGCCTGGAAACTAGACGAAAGAGGTGAGAGGCCGGCACAGATTCGAAGACGAGATGACTTTAGGACAAGTAGGAAAGCAGGCCATCAAGAGGGAGAAGTCGGGAGCGGGTGGACGTGTAAGTGCAGTCGGGCTTGCAGGCGAAGCAGAGAATATATCCTCCCTCGTGGAAGGTAAGGAAGAGCGAGATGGCGGCATTCGTTTGGAGGACGTCAGGCGTTTCGGACCAGATCCATGACCGAGGATGTCGAGTGCGGTTCGGCTGATATGAGCGAGGGCAGAGAGGGAGAGACGGTCTCGGCGGGAATGAGGGAGGATTTCAAGGTTCAAGTGGCCTCTGGTTGGCTGGATGGAGCCCCGGACGAGGAGCGCGGCACTGGGTGCGCCCACAGTGTTTATGCTTCTGTTGCTCGAGGGTCAATTGGCTGCGGCGGCACGGCAGGGTGCTGGGGAGGGTTGCTAGCACTCGTCAGTCGAAAAGGCGACGAGAGTCAGTTCCACGTCGTGGACGACTGGTCGTTCTGGAGACGAGGTGGCTCCCGTTGGCGGAGCGTCGTTTCTCTCTCAGACATTCGCTGGCACACAACACGGCACGCACGCACACCCACCACCCCCAGCATCACCACCACACACACCACACACCAAGCAAAACTTGGCAGGGTACCTTCCTTGCCGTCCAAGCAGGCACCACGATCGAGGTAAAGGCAGGAAGGCACGAGCATGCAACAGAGGGAGGCACCCGAGGCCCCCTGCGACCGCCACGGATAGGTACCTGGCCCATCTGAATGGGACTCGTCGATACATTGTCGCTTGCATGCCCTGGCTGCCCAGGCTGCCCCGACCCCGCCAGAGCTGCTCCCGCAAACCATGTGCCAGAGGTATCTTCCGGTACATGCCTCAGCGCCAAGGCACCGGGTACCCAGTACCCGGACGCAACCCCGTGCTCGAGGACGTTCTGAAAGGCACCTTCCTCGCAGCGCGCAGCCTTTGTACAGTAGTAGTAGGACAGCCCGGACGACCCAGCCAAGCAGGCTCGACGTAGCGGCAAAGCTAAGGCGCTACCGTACCTAGTGGGTACTTTCACCTGGGCCAGAAATCCCACCACCAACAGGCCAGGCAGGCCGTCTTGCCTCCTTTTGTTACAGTAGCGATCCCAGGCAGGCAACGTGCTGTTCTTGCAGCGGGCGGAGATGCAAGTCTTGAGTGTACTGTACGGTATGTACAGTACATACAAAGGGCGTTCAGTGCGGTGCCAAGCTACTGCAATCCTTTGCGGCAAAGAGGCGAGTACTGTATGTACGATACCCATGCGGGCCCACATGCCTCCCAGCAAGAGCCACGGACGCGTCGACAAGCGGTATTTTTAGGTGCCGCAAGTCCACCCTCCGCGAGCCTCGCGGTACGACGACTAGCAAAGGTACGGAGTACATACTATGAGCGTGCTCCCTGCAGAGCGACCAGGGCTGCTTGTGGGGCCGTCCTGCCTAGCACGGCAACCGCCAGCGAAAAGCCTCCACGAAGCCTCAAAGTCCTTGGATGGCAATTGGCAAACCAAGCCCGGCCGTTCGCTGGCTTGGCCAGGTGACCCCGGCCTACTGTAGGTAATATACAGCCATAAAAAGGCAAGATTGGCATCTTTCATGTTTACTGCACAGCTTTTGATGATGAGACTTGCCTTTGGATTTGGGTTTTTGCGGCCACAATCGCGGTGAGTGAGCAACTTCAGCATGGCGCGGTGCTTCGGATCTATTCGCTCCCAGGTATCCGATACGCGGTCGGAGCGATGACGAGAATCAGCCAACCATGTCCCTCCGCACCCCCCCCCCCCCTCTTCCCCTTTCTCCTTCTTCCTCCTCCTCGAAATCCGCCCCTGCAGCCCTTCCGTACCAGGCAAGGCCTTGCAAGCGCATTGCCAGGCGCATTGCTTCGTACCTCGGTATGTACAAAGTCTTGATGGGTACACAGCCCGCACAGTCCGCCGCCCACTCGACGCTCCCTAGTCTCACGCTCCCCTTGTTTTTGTTCTCCCTCATCCTCTGCTGCTGCGCCTTGGAGCGGGACCAATGCCTGATTAACGTACCGCGCCAATTTGCGTGGAGCAGCGCCCGGCAATACCTTGGCCAGACTGTGGGCGTGTGAGGAGAGGTTGATGGAGTGAAGCGGACACGTCAATGCCTCGATTTGAGGTACCGGTAGACTTTGCTGTACACTACCTAGGCGGCGTACCGGAGGCGGTGCCTTGCGCCGAAAAATACTTTGTACTTCTGGTGTGTATGTACGGAGTACATGGAGTCAGTCAGTACCTTACCTAGGTACCTAGATCCCTAAGGTACCTACCTGCTTGGTAGAGTCCTCGTCGTGGAAGCCACGGGCCGAGATTGGAACTGCACTGTGGGCTCAGCTGCCTGCTGGCAACCTCCGTCGCCCTGCGCTTCTGACCTGGGCCCCACCGCCGCCGCCTCCGTTCGCTTTCCTCTTCGGGCCTTGAGCCTGCTCCGCGTTGGCTCCGGCGGCGGCTGCCAGTGGACATGCGAGAGTCGGCTGCACGCAATCAAATAGGCAGGCAGGCAAACTTTTTTTTCGGTCGTTTTGATTACGGGATCCAACCCATGAGCGATATCCATTCTCTTCCTTGCCCTTGTCCATATCACTTGCGGCACAAAGCATGCATGGTGCAACTTTTCTCATCACATTTGACTGCATCTCTGGCATCCTCCGTCCGTTCCTGTACTTGGTCCTGTACGCCATGTACATGCTTCCGTCATTACGTCGTTGCGTCCTTGCTCTAATCAGCTCCAACAGGCAGCTGCCCATTCCTCCGTGTCTTGTGCTTACCCTGATCAGCCAGCGATCTCGACGACGGACGCCGAAAATAGATGGTATCAAAGCATATGGGAATCAAACACCAAAAAGAAAGGCAAAGGAAGCATGGTGGGAGGGGGGACGGAGCTTGCACACCCTCTCCATGTATGCACGCACAGTAATTAAATAGGTAGCTATTCGACTTGGGCAACCAGGAGTTGTACCACCGACACTAGGTAGCGACTTGTCTTGTAACGCCTGGATTGGCGCTCCCCTAGGGCTTGCTGGTGAGCTGAAAAGGGGCGCTGCATTTGCCCCGGCCGACGACAACAAGGCTCGGGGGCGTGAGCGAGCGCCGCCACATTCATCAGGTGGTGCGGCCGGACGCACGCGCACGAATGTATGTCCGGTTGCCAAGAAAGGCCTCAGGCTTGCGAGGACAGACGACGCTTTGAACTTTTAACCGAGCGTCGGGGCTGGTGATGGGGACAAAGGGAAAGCCACACAGCTCCACGGATATGGATCGTGAGAATCGGCACACATTCACTTCCCGCGCTTATTAACTGGCCTGATGAGACCCAACACCAGACTCCCGGTGTCCACCCAAACTCCCAGCATCATCCGCCAGCACGGTCCAGAGCGCCCCTCGTTGTCCGGGCCCCCTTCGAAACCAAGACCCCGTTGCGGCTTGTTGATACGCCAAGGGCATCGGAAGACGAGGCAAAGATCGCTGGCCGGGGGCCAAGCCGAATCGAGCAGTGAGCGGCAGCAAACTCGGGGCAAGGGAGGGAGGAGTTGCGTTGAGGTGGTGGCCGCCCGGGCAGCGACTTTTCATGACGACCTGGCTTTAGACTTGCACACAAGTAGACTCGTAGGAAGTTGCCAGAAGGGTGAGGATGCGTACAGATGATGCTTGGTACCGTGAACAAGGTGGAGTTTCTCCCGAGTCCAATACCTCGGCGACCTTGAGTCAGAGGTAGATTCCAGGTATATGCGTAGAAGGTAATGACGGGTACGGACCGACCTGGCCGGCAGGGGTCCGTCCATACTGTCCGGCAAAGGCCTGGGTGCCAATTTGCGGAGCAGTTGCAGAGTAGGGCCAGGCGTCCGTGATTTTGCATTTCTTGTGGCAGCCTTTCCAACAAGGCCCTATCCTACTACCTACTGTACCCGTCAGCCCCGTCTCCCAGGATGTACTAACCAACTGCGGCGATGCTCGCAGGCCTGCACGCTGGTCATTGCCCGAACTCTGACCGCATATGTATGTACGAATCTAGCCCTTTTCCCCTTGTGCTGGATCAATCAAAGGTAGCTTTGCCAAGGTGGCATACCTGACGACGACGACTACTGTAGATATCCCCTGGAGCATTATTGGCGGGTGGGAACTTATTGGTCTAGGCAAGTATACATTGACTTGCGCAGGCTTGATAACGAGGTCCGTATATGCTTGGTCGGCATCTTGGCAACTTGGGCGTAAGGATCTAGTGCTTGGTGCAGGGGTGCATGCTGTGTCTGTTGGTTGACGACATCTGATGCTGGCACGCGCAGAAGTCATCAAGCCCCCGGAGTTGGTGGTGGTGAGGAAAGAGACATTACAGTACCGGTAGACATTGTGGTTTATCACAAGCAAATGGGGGCGGCTGTTGGTTGAGGGTGCGGTTTCTTTCCCTTGATCATTTGACAAACCTATAATTCCCTTTGCTGTAAGCTACTTCTCGGTAGCCACAAGGTGGATATCGACTCTTGCTGTCAGGAAACCGGGTCTACTCGGTAAGATTAAGTCATTACGCATACAGCAGCAAGTGGTCACGCACGGCTAGCCGGGAGTCCTCCGTTCCCAGGCTTGTGTGAGTGCATTATCCTCTGCACC